AGCATATAGGGCTGTGTGCTTGCCTTGGATTTTTATCTTTACTTATATGCCCGCAGTTGTAGAGCTACCTTATGGAACAGATGCATACTGGGCTAATTACTGCAATGAATGCAGCTTTGGTCTCACTCAGTGTTCTTAAGCCCATAGTTGGATATGTCGTGCTGCCGAGTAGGTGTGCTGAAGGACTGTATTCAGAAACTTCCCCTGAATAGCTCATGTTTTTGAAGGCTCTTATAGAATAGAGCAGTAGGGAAATGTCCTCCCTTTTTGTTCTCCGTTTCTTTTCTCTGATTTTCTTTGCACTGCCCTCATCATGAATACAAATGCAAGTTTGAAAGGGAGAAATAATTGTGAGCAGGTACAGTCCTTTCCTCCTGTTGTGCAGGCTACAGCAGCTTAAGGCAATTCCACCTCTGAACCGATATATTAACTGCTCCGTGTTCGTTCAAATCAACTGACTGAATCACCTTACTGCAATACTGCAGGGGATGGGAGTGCAAGGCTAGTTGTGTGTTGTAGTAACCTGGCTTGTAACAACCCATGCAGTCATGGTAACTGCAGACTGATCCTGCTTGACTCCGGAGGTATGAACTGCTGTGGGATTTTTTGCCTTCTCCAGGTCTCCCCCCACCCCAAAAAAAAAATTTTTTTTGTTTGGCAGCCTTAAATTTTAGTCTCCTAAATAATGAGTTGGGAAAGGAATATAATGTGGATGTTTTCCTCTTTAAACTATTGCATTATTCTTTTACATATAGGAGTAAAAACCTCTGTTTGAAATGCATTTATCACCTAGTAATAATAATAATTCAAACTGTTACATTAATTGGAAATGGTCATGATTTGACAACTAAGTACTGACTGTATCAGGTACTCGAGATTTTAATTTTCAATAAATACAATATATTTGCCAAGGTAGTAATTGAGAAACAGAATAAACAGCAAGTATTCAGTGCTGCTTTTTCTCCTTGTTTTTCTCTGTTGCACGTTGGGCAACTGTCCCTCTAGTTATAGACCTGTATGTGCCATACGTCATGTGTAAGAAGTTCTTGCTGGTCCTGCATCTTATATGGTAGGAGCTTAAAAAGGAGTGCATGTTTTCCAGGAAATTTTCACTCCTCATCAGTTTGAGGAAGCTCTAAAAAAATGTTTCTGGGTTTTGTCCAAGAGCACTTGTGCTTATGTTTACCATATCTAGGAAGTAGACTAAGATTTATTTGAACAACCTTTTTCTATGTGGTGCTGATGTGGTTTTCTGCTCCATTCCATTTTCTATGTGTATTCTTTTTGGTACTAATTTCTGAAGCATGTAGAACAGTAAGTCAAAGAATAAATGATGTGAGAGGTGGGCTGCGGAGAGCTGAACGGGACTGCAGGTGCTGCAGTTTTCCTGTCAGCTTGCCCATGCCACTGGTGCCAGACATCTTGTAATAACGTGGTGGAAGGATGTCAGCATAGCAGGTAATTTGGGATAGGGATGACATGGGGACGACATGACACAAAACCTGGCAGGCTTATTAATCTGCTTCTGGGATGCTCGATACAAAACCTGTCAGGCTCACTCTTCTAGTTCTGGGATGCTCCTGTGGTGCTGACCGTAACAATTCAGAGGTGCCTTGTGGCTGCCTCTTTTAACTGACTGGTCCTGGTGAGATGAAGTTGCAGTATATTGGTACTTGCAGAAAGGCCAGATGTTCTTCTGTATGGAGGACTGCTCTGGATACTGCAGTGGACAGTGCTGTTGGTGTTCCTGTGGCTAAAAGTGAAGCTTTCACCTTTGCACGTGATGCTAGAAAGCCAACTGAGAATTGGGCCCTTTAAAAGGGCATGATGGGACCTCACTGGGATGGGGGAGAATCAGTGTTATATGGTTTCTTCATATTCATACAAACTACTTCATATTGGATGACTCTGTGTATCTGATGGTACTCTTATAATGACACTTAAATTCATACAGCTGATTAAAGGCTTTGGAAATGTGATACTACCCTAACTAGCATTTTCCCCATTCAGTCATTCCATAAATCTGGAGTGTGTTTGACCCTAGGTGCTTTCATGGATCAGTAAGCCCAGTAATTCTGTAAAATTTTGGACTAGTTGGGTATTTTTGCATGATATATATTATGATTTTATATGTTTAATGCGTATATTGATCCATTCGTAAGTTTTGTTTTTGACCTGTGCATCTAAAAACTCATACTCATTTAGATGTTTACTGATAGCAAGTCTTGGTATTTTAATGTCAAATACTTAGTCCCTCTTCATGAAATTGCTAACTGTTCTCTATGATGGCCACTCTGCCTTTCCTTTTTCATTTTTTCTGATTGTTTTACTCGTTAACCCTTTTTTCCTGCTTCAGCAGCTTCCTCTACTCTCTGTTTTTCTGCAATCAGGAACAGTGTGGTGAGTAGGGCCCGAGAAGTGATCATCCCCCTGTACTCGGCACTGGTGAGACCCCACCTCGAGTACTGTGTCCAGTTTTGGGCCCCCCACCACAAGAGGGACATTGAGGTGCTGGAGCAGGTCCAGAGAAGGGCAACGAAGCTGGTGAGGGGTCTGGAGCACAAGTCTTACGAGGAGAGGCTGAGGGAGCTGGGGTTGTTCAGTCTGGGGAAGAGGAGACTGAGGGGCGACCTTATAGCTCTGTACAAGTACCTGAAAGGAAGCTGTAGAGAGACGGGGGTCGGTCTCTTCTCCTAAGTTACAGATGTCAGGACAAGGGGCAATGGCTTCAAATTACGCCAGGGGAAGTTCAGGTTAGATATTAGGCACCATTTCTTTACTGAAAGGGTTGTCAGGCATTGGAATGGGCTGCCCAGGGACGTGGTGGAGTCACCATCCCTGGAGGTATTTAAGAAACGTGTAGACATGGTTCTTCAGGGCATGCTCTAGTGCCCAAGATTATTGGTTTGTCGTGGGCTGCTGAATGGGAGGGTGATGGTTTTTTTGGTTTGGTTGTTGTTGTGTGTTTAGGTGGTGGGTGGTGTGGTGTGTGTGGGCACGTGATGCTAGAAAGCCAACTGAGAATTGGGCCCTTTAAAAGGGCATGATGGGATCTCACTGGGATGGGGGAGAATCAGTGTTATATGGTTTCTTCATATTAATACAAACTACTTCATATTGGATGACTCTCTGAGAATCAGTGTTATATGGTTTCTTCATATTCATACAAACTACTTCATATTGGATGACTCTGTGTATCTGATGGTACTCTTATAATGACACTTAAATTCATACAGCTGATTAAAGGCTTTGGAAATGTGATACTACCCTAACTAGCATTTTCCCCATTCAGTCATTCCATAAATCTGGAGTGTGTTTGACCCTAGGTGCTTTCATGGATCAGTAAGCCCAGTAATTCTGTAAAATTTTGGACTAGTTGGGTATTTTTGCATGATATATATTATGATTTTATATGTTTAATGCGTATATTGATCCATTCGTAAGTTTTGTTTTTGACCTGTGCATCTAAAAACTCATACTCATTTAGATGTTTACTGATAGCAAGTCTTGGTATTTTAATGTCAAATACTTAGTCCCTCTTCATGAAATTGCTAACTGTTCTCTATGATGGCCACTCTGCCTTTGCTTTTTCATTTTTTCTGATTGTTTTACTCGTTATCCCTTTTTTCCTGCTTCAGCAGCTTCCTCTACTCTCTGTTTTTCTGCAGGTTTCCTCCTGTTCCTTTTCCCCATGTTATCAGATTAATTAGTGCAATAGCTATTTTTGACATATATTGACATCAGTAAGTGCTGGAGTTAAACCTGATTTCAGAGAATTGTATTTGAGTCTCACTTTGGCTTTATTTTGTGTGTTCATTTTGCTTATTTTGAAGGGCAGCATGGCACCTTTGTTTTTGTGGGTTTTTTGTTTAATCTGCATTCAGTATTAATAACTATGGAAATACAGGACTTTATGTAAAAATAACGTATTTTTAAGATTAACATCATAAGTGCTGATATAAAACTGATGTATTTCTGTGAATACACCTTTTAAACAGGCTGCTCAGTGTAGCAGGTGTGTAACCGTGTATCCGTTGAGTAGCAGTCAGATAGAAGTTGCTATAACGGCATGGGTGTAAGGAGAAAGGACTGAACTAAATCCATTTCACAAGTTAAATAAAAAGACATGGACATCACCTTTGTTCAGGGTGGCTGTTTTACAGGAAAACCAAGCTCTCAAGCAATGGATTTTTTTTGTATATTGCAGGTAGAATGTGGCAGTTATGTTTACCTCACGTCCTCATTTGACTATCTATTTTATCTCATCACAAGGATATATTAACAGAAAACTTGATAGCTTATAGTTGTAACCTTGGAGAAGGCTTATTCCTTATGAGAAGGATGTCTGGATTTATGCTGCGAGGGAGATGTTACTTGGAAATGCTGCCTAAACACAATACTAGAGTTGAAAATACGATAATCCTTTTTAAGCTGTTTAAGGTGCTAAGGAAACTTGGGTAATAAATTCTGTCAGTGACATTCTTTACAAGTCCCTGGTGCTTCATAGAGCTGTTATAGTCTGATAAAGTAGAGCATCTGATTCTTCAACAGAAGAAATTAAAATAACCTGGCTTAATTGATTTTCTATTTATGTATTGTAGGCTGCTTTCTGGCTAGGAAGTTTTGCTGTAGTCTCTTAAGGGGGTGGCAGAAAACGAGCATGAGGATTCAATTTCGTTAATTTTAATCTTAAATCTTATGCTGACAAAGATCTGTTTAGATACATTTTTGGGGCGTTATTGTTTTTGATGGTCTTCCAGAAAGACTTCTCAATATATTTTTTTTCCTAATGATTCTAGTATATTAACAACTTGTTCCTTTAGTAATCTGTCTTGCTGTAATTCTGGATTGTCATTGACACACAAAGTTACACTGAGTAAAATTTGATTCTTGTATTGAAATGAGTCTTTAGTACTGGTGTGAGATTTCTTGCTTAATTGCAGTTTTCCAGTATGTTTTGAATGTGCAGAAAATAGGAGGATAAAGCAGTTTTTCTGCAGATGTATATATTTTATCAAGATAGGATCTTCATCACCCATGGGTGTGTTAATCTTGTGGTCCTGCTACCTTTTTCTCACTTACCTCTCTCTCTACCTCTTTCAATCCTTTCTGCACAGTTTGCTTACTTCAGACAACGAAAAACAAAAAGCGACATCGCGCAGTCGCAGAAAAAGACGGCGAAGAGGAAGGGCTCGTCTGTCCACACACATGACGCTCCGAAGGAAGAGTACGCACTAGCGGCCCAAGATGTTGGTAAGGGTATAGAGAGTAAAGCTGAAGACACCAGCCTACTAGAGAAAACCACAGAGACAGAGGTAAATCTTAGTATTTCTTGTTTCACTTCACTCCATCTGCAGATAGCAATTATTCAAGGTGATTGTTTTACGTAGTTGGGTGTTAGGTCTCTGGCAGTGTGAACTAGCTGCCATTGAAAAGTAAGTGAAGTGATGTATTTTCACTTGTAATAATTAATTCTCTTACAAAGTCATGTAAAGAACTGGAAAAAAAAATATCTCCATTATATGGATTGGACAGCTGGTATTGTCAAGGAGCTGTCTTCTGTTAGCCAATTGAGGTCTTTCACCTTTCTCTGCCATGAGCTTCTGTTTGGGCAGACTTCTGATTATGTGGCTGTGACTCCATGAGATGCCAAGTCCAGACCGAGAGGCGTAGCAGATGAGCAAAACTATCAGGACTTTATAATGCACAGCATTAGTTTGGTTTTGTATCACTTTGCTGGCTCAAATGTGCTTCATGTTTTCTAAAAAAAATAGGATTTGTTCCAGCATGCTCTTAGTAGCCATTGTAAAACCAGCATAGATGTTACATTCTCTGACAAATTTGTTTAAAATATGACTCTGCTTGTGCCTGTTATATTTCAGTGTATTTGTACTGGTGATCCTCTAGAAGTAGCCCTGTAGTCATGTCAATAAACATAGAAACAGACCACCTACTGGTCTGCCTGAGCTAAGCAGTTGCTTTCTTGCTTTAGCTCCCAAGCAAGACTTTCATTTTTATATCAGCTGTGGATTAGACAATCATGTGACACTTTCTTTCTGTCTGGTAATAAAACCAGGCAAAACATAGTTTTGAAAATCTTTTTAATAGGAATCCAGCTTGCTTCAGAAGTGGTTGACTAAAGCTTTCACAAGCCTCAAGCTACAGCACAACTCTCTGGCTACAACAAACTCTATCTGTCTTGGTCTGGGAGTTTCAGAAAATAGTTTCCCAGTGCATTTCAGCATGTTGTCTATGCAAAGATTTGTGAGTTTTGGCGAGGCAGTGCTCTCTGCATAAAAAGTGTCTCTCCAGGTGTTCATGTGTTTTGAAAACATACAACAGTAGGATCAAACTAGTGTATTTACAAGCCTGAAATAATGGAGGGTATAATTTGCATGTATTATCCTGTTTTCTGTTGTGAGGGTAGTGCTTTCAGGACACTGCAAACATGTTAGCATTGCAAAGGCTGTTATGAAGCTACATGCCAAGCTGTCTGCACTAAGAGAAGAGCATACAGTATTTTGTCACTCGGCCATAGCATTGTTGGCAGTGTCCTTATTACATTCATGTGAACCAAAATTAAAAAACAAACAAAAAGCGCTTACTGCTTCTAAACAGCTTCTGTCAAAATAGCTGGTTTGTAAAGCAAATGGAGTTGCTTTCTAGGTTATGTGGAGAGGGTGCCAGTAGTCATTGGAAACTACTTCATGCGGATTCAAAATACCGGGAGGGTTATGGGCTTCCTTTTCTAAGTAGCGCTACAGTCGTCTTTGTCTTGTTATGAATTTAGCGAGCGGTAAATATCTTTCAAGATATCAAGGTACATTAAGTATATGTGTCACAAAATAGTACTGCTTTCATAATTACCTGAAGGATTTTAGCGTGTTTGTCACGTAATCTCCTGTCAGTTAGTTACTAATACTTAGTAGTGGATTAAAGAGTGTTCAACTATTTGCAAGCCACAAAAACAGAAGACAGAACACTGAATCTCAATGGTGAGACTTAGCCCTAAATTTTTGAGCAAGCTTTCATGATAATTTTTTTCCCATTTATTTCATTCATTTGACCAGGGATGACCAGCTGAGTTTAGCATTAAAGTCAGTCTCTCTCTCTCACTGGAATGCTGTCTCCCAATGTGGACATTTCTTGCTCGTGTGCTTAAGATGGTTCCAAAATAATTCAGCTTTTCCTTCTGTATCTTTAAAATGGCCATAACTTAGTGTTTGTTTTATTTGTTTTCTTGCCAGGGCTGTGCTGACTTTTCCAACTGGGATGCGCTGAATGATCATGCAGCTGAAGTAAGTGTGAAGGAATGTATCTTAGTAACAGGTGCTGATATGTATGTGAAAGTAGAGTATGATAATTGGTTACTAAAATGATGTAGTTACTGAGCATTGTTATCCAATGTGATAAGTTATGTGATTTCACTCTTTTACAGTCTAAACCAGGTACTTACGTGTACGTACATGTACTGGCTGTGAAATTGGTTACTAAGAGAATTGGTTTTAGTGAAATTATGGACCTTGTCCAGAGCAATTTAAATGATGCTTTTAATTGAAAAGTAGGCTTAATCATTGTCATACTTTAGAAAAAATAAAGTATTTAAAATAAAATACAAGATACCATCTCCCCTGTGAGAATTGTAACAGTATTGCTCTGAAGACACCACCAGATTGACTGGAGCAGCTTCCGTCTTTGCATTATTTTTTTCTTGTTTTGATGTTAAAGGCCATAGAAGCTCAGAGTATGTTGAATATTTATTTGCAATAGATGCTTACACTTGAATTTAATGTTAAGTCAAGAAGTTTATATTATTATTTTTCCTATGGATGGACTGTTTTCCAGGCAGCACAGATGTGTGTAAAAACTTTGTATAATTTTTATAGTATTCTCCCTCTGCCCACTTGTAAGCTGGAATGTATTTTAAATCCCAACGTGTGAAAATGGCACTTTGCCCCACTTTGGTGCTGTAGAATCAGAAGTCTCTTCCCCCTAACTCACTTTTGCGTCTTAAAGTATTATATGAAAATACATTATGAAATTTTTTTATTTGAAATTTTTAAGAATTAAGTACTTCCTATATAATGCTTCTATTAAATACTAAGTCCCAATGTTGAATTACTTTTAAACTAGAATATACCCCAAATTTAAGCTTGAATTTATATTCAGATTAATCACAAAAAAGATGTGGCATATGGTTTTGGTGAGTAAATATATTTTTGTGTTTTTTCTACGAAGAAAGTTTCGATAAATCCTGCTGCAGAGTATAGTGAGCTTGATGTTAAGATGTGTCAGATGAGAATAGCTGAGTTAGAGAACAGACTTCTGGAGAAGCAGGAAGAAGCTGAAAGGCTCACCACACAGATGGACGAGCTACAGGAACAACATACCCAGCAAAGTGACTCTGTGCAAAGTCAGGTATGTTTCATGGAATTGGGGGATAATACGATTGTAATCCGAAACATATTTAGGAAACAAAACTCAAAATAAGTACTGTTTTTATTGAAAAGTACTTCACCTTGCTAACATGTGCTGCGTAAATCAGTACTTAAGTTTTCCATTTACCAATCTCCAGGACTTCATATTGCTTGAATCAAGTGAGAGTGAAATTAAGTTTGAAAAGCTTTTATTTTTAGAGAGCTTTTATGAAATGCGTAGTTGATTTCTTCTGTTGATGAAAGTATAGTTAATCATACATTTAGGTAGAGGCTCAATGTAAAAGCTTATATTTTTATAAATACTGACTTTACATTATATATATATATATTTATTTATCAAGGTCATGCTGAAGATGGTGGACACTCCACCCCACCCCGAAGTATTGTTCAAACTATTGAAAAAGTACTTACTGAAATGTCAATATTTCTGTGGATGTGCCTGAAAACCACTTTGTAGGTGCAGCTAGGCCAGCTTTTCAAAAATTCACACAGGATGGCAGACAGCACTGCCACCACGACCACCCAGAGCCTTTTTGAATACTTGTTAATACATGTGGCTTTTTGATTTTGGGATGGGTTTCTTTGTATGGGCAAATGGTTAAGCAGGAAAAGTTAAATTTTATTAAACTGATGTCTATGTTCCCCTCTCCCAAAATATTAAAAAAATATTTTGAATTCCCTTTCTCTAGCATTTCTATGTAAAAGTACATTATCAGGTGCTTCTGAAGAATAGTTACTTCCCCCTTTACATGTTGTTTTTCTCCTTTTAAGACTGGGAAACAAAGACATTTCCTGTTGGTGAGAAAGAAATTTCAAAGGTTGATGTGATTACATACAGTAAGATTAATGTTTCCCATCTCACTAGCTTTCTCTCACATGGCTGAAAAGAAGAGCTGACAGATAGGAGACCATTTAGGGGGTATTAAATATTCATTATATCCTGTAGAAAACTTGATTGCTTTTACATCAATAAGAGTTATAAATGTAAGTAAAAATGTTTCATTACTGGTATCCTGTCTTTTTTTTTTTTTTTTTTTAAATCTCTTTTGATTGGCTTTGTAATCTCTTTTGAGATCTGTGGCAGGTTCCTCTTTCATCACCACTGCCATCATGTTTGAATACAAACATTTCTGGTCCTTTAGTACAAGTTTGTTAAAACTCGGAGTCTATAGTTACACTTAACAGTTTTGCTTTAAGATAACTTACTGTTATATGTTAAGAGTATTTTAATTTTAAAAGTGCATTTCTTGTGATCCATGTAGGAAACTACTGTTCAAGAGCAGAATGAAGCCATCAGGAAGCTAACAAGCTGCCTTCAACAGGTGAAACAGGATCAGGATGACCTACAGGAGGAGGCTTCACGTGTAGGTGCTCAGGTACATGATTTACAACTTCAGTTACATCAGGTTTTTGCTTCATTTTTCCTATATGATTTTTGTTTCCTTACCAGGAGAGTAAGAACATCTTTGGAATATGAATGTAAAAGCATATTGAGCTTATCATAGCTCTTCGTAGTTCAGTTTGCAATGCAGCAGTGAAAATGATTTGAGGGTCGGGCAGAGCTTTTTCCAGTTGCTAGGGAGAAGTTCTGGAGACATCCTTGTCTTTTCTGCTCACTTGCTTGTGTAATGTTTGGGAGGTCATTGCACTTCTTTGTTCATCGGTATAGCCCCTTCTAGTGAATTTTACCCCATGCTGTGAGTGGTTTGGATCTATACACAGCCCTCACTGCAATGACATGGGCTTACATGGGATCAGTTTTCTGTGCCTTTGCCAAAGAAAGCTCTCAGCATATGCATGGGCAAGCGTAGCAGCTCAGCTGTTAAACAGAAAGTTGCTATGTTGAGGTAGTATGACTTGGCGCAAACAGGGAGAGTTAAAATAACCTGAAGAAGGTTGATTTGGCTCCTATGACACACAGGAACCTGCTTCAGTGCAACAAGTTCATCATGGATCTAACCCCTGGGTAGTGAGATACTACAGCCTTTTATCTACTTTACTTTTTTTTTTTTTTTTAATACTTTATTCTTTTTTGGTGATACTCAGTGTTCTGGTGGCTATTCTCTCTAAACACCTGTGTATTTGTAGTCTTAGAAGCCTTGTAGTATATGCCAAAGAGTAATATTTACATTTACTTACCATTTCAGGCTTGCAAGATAAGAATTAAACTAGGAGGGATTACATGTCTAAAATGTCTGGATAGGAAGGGGGTTTAAAAAAAATTAAAACCTGTGACTTACTGAAGCCCAGGGATTATCCTGAAGGAGTTGTTTGTGCCCTGGAAAATAAATCCTGTGCTAAATGAAATTTTGGAAAAGAACAAAAACCACTGCTTTCTAAGTACAATTCTGATTGCCACTGACAAAATATGAGATAATAGTGAAAATTACTCCACAGATGATTGTTGGGATTTGCTTCATAAGCCATTGAAAGAAAATGACAAAGCCTCTAGCACTGTAAGCATATTCTAAATAAGGCTAGTAATATGATGTGAGTTGTTTATTGGAAGCATGTCAACTTTGATAACAGATGACAGTACTAATACTGTCTTAAATATTATTATCTTGGTTTTAGCAAAGTCTTTAGAAAAAGGTTTTAAAAATTAATAAAACATATTTTATTTTACCCCCTGTAGGGGCAAATGTTTTCTTTTTATTTGGAGGGAGATGGAGAGAAAAGAAAAACCTTTAGTAGGGAGTTGTAAACCCTTCGTAGAGAAGACTGGTTTTGTTCATTGTGCTCTTACCAGTATGTCCAGTCTGTTGGAAATCCTGCTTTGTTTTGGAGGCTTCATAGAGATGAATTATCTAACATTTATATCTTTAAGTAACAGCATCTAAAACATGACAAGTATTGTGTGGCTTCTTAGGGAGTTTCTTATTCATTAAGAATGAACAATATGGGGTAAACCTGTAGTAAATGAATACAGTATATTTTATGTGTACAGTAAGGTTAATGTATGAGTTATTCTGATAGAAACTTTCTTCTGACTGTGAATACCTTTATGTGTCAGGTTAACGAGATGCTGAGGAGTGAAAGCTCTGGGAAAAACGATGTCTTAAAAGCCCAGTGGAGGATGTCCTCCCTTCAGAACCGTCTCAGAGAGCAAAATGCACATTTGGAGATGCTGCATCAGAAGGCACATGACCTGGAAGTACAGCTTGAGTCTTCTCTGAAGGTAAAAAGCGTTTAAAGTGCCTTTATAATTATGAGTAGTTAGGTTTTTGTTGTGATTGTGCAAGCCAAGGTGGTACTTTCTGGAGGAAGAGACTGTAATGAACACTTAATTTGTGCTTAAAGTAACATTTATGCTTCAGGACTGAAACAACACTTAGGTATGAAACTAAAAATCTATTCTTCTGAAGGTAGTGATATTCAGCTGAGGCAAAATAGCTGATCGCAATTTAAAATATTTTTTTTGTGTGAAAGAAGGATTTAGTTCTCGCTCTTTAACATATGCTTATTTATTGAAATTACTCCATTGGTTACTGTTGCAGAATAACTCTGTTATTAAACTGTTGTATAAAATTAAGAAGTTTCCATCAGAAGCGGGTCCATCTGGTGTTTATAGAATGGAGGCATGCGGGAACGTAACTGACAGAGCTTTGCAGTGGGGTGAAGGTTCTTGGACATGTTGTGTAAGCATGTAACGATGCAGTTGTATGTGAACTTGAAACACCTAGATGAGGGTAAAAGTTAACTGTATCTGTAATCATGTTAGTTTCACATACAAAACAAAGTGAAAAGCTTGGGAGGGAACATTTTGATGTAATCATTCCAGAAACAAGCACTATGAGTAAAGAAACTTAGTTAAAAACACATATTATGAAAAAAAAAAAATAGTAGTACCTCTTCTGTATTTCAAATTTGGTGATAACTCTGTGCTATAGTGGCATGGTCATGAAAAAAGTCTTTTTCTTTAGGAACAAGTTTATAGGGATTGTGATTACTAACATACATTAAAGGAACAGCTTAAAAGGTCAGATTTCCTTTAAGCACGTAACCAGCAGTGCTATAGCTAGAAGCCCTGAACTTCAAAGTGAGTCAGAGGAGTCAAAATTTGGCATGGCTGTTTTCCTGGCCTACTCCTGCCTGCAGGAGCTGTTTTCTCTGTGCAAATGGATGTGAGATGGAGAGATATCAGTAGCTCTGATATTTATTAATTTTTTTTAATTAAAATACCTGAAATTTGAGACAGCTGCTATTTTCTTTCTCTCTGGAGTCAGTGTCATACCATTGGTTATTGTTTAGGCAATTTGATGTTTGTTATCACGTTTGAAGAGTCTCAGTATTATTTGCCACTTTCAAGGATGTGCTTAAAAATCTTGTTGCCTAGGCCAATGATATACCCTGCACTTAAAGGTAAATATTATTTGTGAAGACAAATTGAAAGCATGAGGCTTAAGGAAATTAAAACATGTCATATTTCAATGGCATATTCCATCTGTAATATTTTCTTTTTAAGAATACCAAAGATAAAGAAAACCTGCTTGCCGAGGTGGATGGGGATCTGAAAGGTACAATGGAACAGTTATACAAAAGCATAGAAGAAAAAGATCAACATATTAAAATACTTCAAGGTCTACTGACATCAGAAAGATTTAGCTTGTCTATACTACAACGTACCCTTTCTCTCCAGGACTCGGAAATAAAACAATTGAAAACTGAAATAGCTTTATCCAAAATAAAAGAACAGCAACATATTGAAGAGCTGAAAATCAGTCATGAGAAGGATATTTGCAGACAGTTGGAGAACTTGAGGGCTGAGCTGGAGAAGTGCAACAGAAGAGAGATTGCAGAGGCTAAGCAGGTATACGAAGAAGAAATTATTTTAAAATATAAGAATGAACTTGAACAGTTAAAAAAAGAACTCCGTGCTCTGAATTCTGAAGAACACATTCAGAGCTTGAATGGCATAATAATTGACTTAAATAGTAGTCTTCGCGAGTCTGAAATTAATAAAGAAAATTTGAGAAAGAAACTTGAAAACCAACAGGAAGACTTCCAGAGAGAAAAATCTGAAATTGAGACTAAATACAAGGATTTAATTGATGGCCTTAAGTCTCAACTTTCTGACGCAGAAGAGCAGGTCAAGGAAGCCCAGCGATATAAAGAAGAAAAACAGTCCTTGAATGAAGAGATTCAGAAACTGAATTCTTTCATACAGGAATTAAATGAAAAGCAACTTTACGAAGCTGAAAAAAGTATAGATGTAAGGCAAAAGCTGGAGACCGAAGCTGAAAAAAGTATAGATGTAAGGCAAGATGTCTCCAATAAAAAGCTGGTGAAATTGAGGAAAAAACAGATTTTACCAGAGGTACTGCAGTTGCAAAGAGCAGAGCTTGAGGACATGTGGAATAAACTGCACCAGTTCAAAGGTGAAGGTGAGCTAGCTCATGAAGATCTAGAGTTCCAGCATGACTTGGAAGTAGCCTCCTCAAGGGATCAATTAGAAGTTAAGAATTCAAAGATCACAGAGAAAAATGAAGGAAGTGAAGGAGAGAACCTGTCTGAAGAACACTTGTCAGAACTAGGCCTTTTCAGTGGTGATGAAGGCATATTGGCTAAATATCTCCTCTCCACGGGGAGACCAGAAGAGTCATATGCATCCAGCAATTCTGAAGGTTATGACATTGAAGAAGGTAGATACAGTAGATATGGATTAGACAGTAGTGTGCTTCTAGAACCCAGCAGAGATTTTATACCTCCTCTGTTAAGCTTTGGCCTTGATGAGGAAACGTGTCCTAGTGTTTTGGCTCAAGAGACTTTTGAAGAGACTGAGGTGGGAACAGAAGCCTTTGTTTCATTTTTGCCAGATAGATTTCTGCAGCAAAACAAAATAAGTGACCATGATGGCGTAAAGGATGATGAGACAACTTGTTTAGTAGAGAGATGTGTGAAGCTAACTGAGGAGCTCTGTGAGAAGGAGACAGCCTTGAAGAAATCTTATCTGGAGACCCAAGAAGCTGTTGGAAAATGGGAAAAAGTAATGGCTGAACTATCTCACACACGTGTGGAACTGGATGAGGAACGTGAAGCACGAATCTATTGTGAAAATGAACTTCTTCAAAAAACAGAGAAGGAGAAGGAACTTGAAAACAAAATAATGTTTCTGCTAAAGCAGCAGGGTGAGGACGGAGGCCAGCCTTACTGTGCTGTAGAGCCTTTAACACAGGCGTCAAAATCTTCTACCTGGCAAGGAATGGTAAAAGACCTCCAGGGAGAAAGAGAAACGTTGACAGTGCAGCTGCAAACTCAGGAGAAATTAGTGAAAGATGTTCAGGAGCAGGAAACAGCTTCAGATTCTGTAACAAGTGAAGTACAGTCTCTCTTTGCATGTCAGTTAGCTGCTTTGCAAAGTCAAAGAGATCTAATGCAAAGTGAGCTGGATGCTCAGAAGGCTAAAAACCAGACAGTACCAGAGCTGCTTGGTCAGAAAACTCTATCTGAAGAGACATTGCTAAAAGAACAGGAGTTGCTCAAAGCTGATATCTATAATAAAGAACAAAAGTTGGCACTTTTATTGAAGGAAAAAACAGCCTTAGGAGAAAGATTATCTGAGGTGGAGGAGGATCTAATAAAGACAGAAAAAGCACTAGCAGAGAAGGCTAGCATCATTGAGGATCTTGAGAAAAACATACATGAACTTAATGCTGAAGTGAAAAACCTCAAAGATACACAGGAGCGAGATAGACTGGAATATGAGGACAGATTAAATTTCAGCAACCTAGAAATTCGTAAACTTAATGCTGAAATAAAGGCCAAAAGTACTGAATACAGTGAGAAAAAAAGCCAGTTGACTGAAGAAATAGTCCATTTGAAGAAGGTTTGTTTAGAACTTGAGACTCGCTTGCAGGAGTCCTTTCAGTCTGCACAAGCTGCACAGGAGGCACAATCTGAGATGATGAAACAGTTCAAAGAGGAAATTGGTAAAATGGAGGCTCAACACCTTGCCAAAATAGCTGAAGTGAGTTTGACACACAAGAAAGAGGTAGGAAACCCTGATAATGGCAGGAGTGAGTCTGGGATTTCAGAATGCTTACGGTAGTAATTGCAAATATTTGTATGTCTCTTTTCAGATAGAAGAATTAAATGCTGAAATAAAACATAAAGTAGAAAACCAGCAGAAGCTGGAAGAAGAAAGAAAGGAACAGATTGTTTTAATAAAAAAGGTAAATGCTGTAATTTGGTTTATTTCAGAAAAATTAACTCGTTTTGTGGTGTTTGTCATTTAAGCAATATAATTATTTTAGAAATGCAAAAATCTAATGTTTTTTCCGTAGTGTCTTTGATGTGGGGTCAGGAGGAAGACAGAATTTTGGCTCAAGAATTCATTAAGGGGCTAACTAACCGTGTTTTAAAGAAGGCTATCTCTCTGCAGGTACATGAACGAGAGCATGATCGTGAAATCTCTGAACTGATTACTAAACACGAAGAGGAAATGGAGAAGCTCCGTGCTGAACTAAATAAAGAACAGCAGCACCTGTTGGATGAACTGCGGCAGCAAATGGCAGCCACACACAAAGCAGAGATTGAGCAAGCTCAGCTCCAATTGCAGGTAAAATAAAACCAGTAATTGCTGTAGTTGTTACCTGGTTATTGCAAATAGAAAGCTCCTTGATTTTTGTGCATGCTGTGTGTGCTCTTATACGTAATGCTGCAATTGAAGAATTAGAAGTGTTCCCTTGGTGGGTAGAAGTAGATATTTTCTACAGATCTCCATGACCCTCACTGCAATTGTATTTTAATTATCAAGAAAATTGGATGCTTAAATTGATGGGTTTAAAAAAAAAAACCAAAACAAAAAAACAACACGAAATCCAAACTTTGTCATTTTTCGCATCCTGATAAGCTTAACAAAAAATAATAAAATTAATTTAAAATTAATTATAAAATATATAAAAATACTGAACCCCTCCCACACCTTAATTTTCCCACTAATGTAATTAGGAATGCTTTTGTGCTATGTATGTAAACCTGTGTTTATGTATGTAAACCTGACTTTTTCCTCTAAATATTTACTGGGTTTTTGAATGCTTCCACTAAATACAGAATGGCAATAGAAGAATACGTCTAGTGTTAGGTCTAATTTCAGGATGTTGGGAGACATTGTAAATGTTTTGTTTATTAAAGAATTGAAGTGGTTGGTCTATTTATAGCTGCCATTTCTAACTGTTGGATATCCCTCGCTTTTTTTTTTCTTATTTAATGAGGCATGGTGAATTTTAGTTCCATGTTTCCAATACCACCTCAGAATTTTGCTTTTCAATGAATCATAACCAATAGCAAATATGAGTAACTTTTTTAATAGAGAGTAAAAGGTTGGGGGTGAGCTTTTGTTCTGCTCTGATGTTGTGAGGAAGTGAACAGATGCAAGGTATTTGGTAGGAAATGAAATTAAGAGACAGGTAAGGAAAGCCTTTTACTTTGCACTGAAAACATTATGCAAGTGTCATTGTAATGGAAGTCAGCTAACTTTCAGGTTCTATTGCTGCCATGAAGAAACACTCTCCAAGTACAGAAAGGCAAAGCTTAGATGCGTTTAACAGTTGAAAGCAATCGAAACTGATCCTGAAAAAAGTGAACACATTTCATTACAGGGGAGGAGAAAACCCTTTTTCTTCTTCATTACAGACACTACACAGCCTTGAATTGGAAGCTTTACGCCTAAGCTTAAATAATATGCACACCTCCCAGCTGGAGCTTACACAGTCTAACTTGAGAAGAGAAAAGGAAACTGCCCTTGTGGAACTACGGGAGATGCTCAACGATAAGCGTGCTCAAGAGGTAGCAATTCTGCAAAGTCGCCATCAGCTGCAGCTGGACAAGATTAAAGAACAGTGTCTGAAGGAAAAAGAAGACCTTGAGTCAAATTATCAGCAAGAGCTAGGTATTAAAATTTGAGAATAATGGTCCGGATTGAAACCCCACCTGTATTTTTATTTTTTTTTTTCCCTTCATAGGTTCCTGTCCTGGTGTAGAGCTGTCTTTTGAATAATAGTTGGTGCTGCCTTGAATAGGGACAGAGCTAAACTGGCACGTGCAGGAGTGCATGTCTTATATATGAGAATGAAGTTGTCCAGACTTAAGTTTAATTTTTCTTCAACTACGTGGGTGTCTTGCTGCTATTTCTGTAAAATAGCACAATACCTAACTAGTTGCTTTCAGGCATTAGACAGAGCTGTCAAAGAATTTAATCAGTGCAAAGAGTTAGAGCTTTTATCTGAATCGCATGTTTCTCAGTGATTTTGTGGTTTTTTTTTTTTAATGCCCTAAGTCAACACTGACTACTCTTGTGTTTCTCACAAGATATGGAAATGCTTCCCGTCTTGCCATCTCAGTGGTTTCAGAAAGAGGATATAGAAATTGGAAAGGAACTGAAAGGCTCACTGAGAACCTGCAGCTGGGTGTCCTTTGAGATGTATTTGTTATTGAGTTTGTCTTTTTAACTCAGCAAGAGGAAAGCTGCACTTGATAATACTGAAGGGTTGCTGATGGTGCTCTTGGCATTGTTTGGGATATGTGCCTCTTCCCAGATTGGGAGACCATTTCTGACTTGTATGGCAGAACTTGAGGAATTTCTGGAGAAAGATGAGGCCTGCAGCCATTCAATGATGAATTTTAGGAACCATTCCTTTGATTGTCCTTCTCTGAGAGGAAGAGAATGTTTAAGGGCTGTGTCTTTTTGACCTGTGAGTAGGAAAGCATTTATTACCACCAGTAATACATTGAACTGATGGCATGGTGGGATTTGGGGGCAGGAAGAGATTGAGATGCTGTTCTTAAGATCAATGCTGTTTATGTGCATTTTGGCAATGTAACTTAATATGAAGGTAACCACTTATGAGTGCTTGAATGGAGGGGCTCAGAAGCTGGAATCAGATTATTATAAAATAATTTGGGTTGGAAGGGACCACCTAGTCCACCCTCCCCTGCAATAAGAATATCTTCAACTAGATCAGGTTGCTCAGAGCCCCATCCAACCTGACCTTGAATATTTCCAAGGATGGGAGCATCTACTACCCCTCTGGGCAACCTTTTCCAGTGTTTCACCACGCTCATTATAAAACATTGCTTTCTAATATCTAGTCTAAATCTATCCTCTTTTAATTTAAAGCCATTAACCCTTGTCCTATCGCAAGAGGCCCTGCTAAAAAGCTTGTCCCCATCTTTCCTGTAGGCCCCCTTTAAGTACTAGAAGTCTGCAATTATGTCTCCTGAGAGCCTTCTCTTCTGCAGGCTGAACAACCTCAACTCTCTCACAGCCCTTCCTTACAGGAGAGGTGCTCCATCCTTCTGGTCATTTTTGTGGCCCTCCTTCAGACCCACCCTGTGCTGAGGGCCCCAGAGCAGGATGCAGAACTCCAGGTGGGATCTCAAAAAAGCAGAGTAGAGGGGGAGAATCACCTCCCTTGAGCTACTGGTCATGTTTCTTTTTATGCAGCCCAGGACAGGGTTCACTTTCTGGGCTGCGAGCACATTACTGGGTAATGTCTATTTTTTCATCCATCAGTACCCCCAAGTTCTCTGCAGGGCTGCTCCCGGTCCCTTCAGCCCCCAGTCTGTATTGGTACCAGGGGTTGCCCTGGCCCTCATTCAACCTCATGAGGTTCACATGGGCCCACTTCTTGAGCCTGTCCAGGTCCCTCTGGATGGCATCCCATCCTATAACACTCACAGAATCATAGAATGGTTTAGGTTGGAAGGAATCTTAAAGAGCATCTGGTTCCAACTCCCCTGTCATGGGCTGGGACATCTTCCGCTAGACCAGGTTGCTCAAAAGCCCTGTCTGGCTTGGCCTTGAACACTTTCAGGGATGGGACCTCCACAGCTTCTCTGGTCAACCTGTTCTAGTGTCTCACCAGCACAGTGAAAAATTTCTTCCTGATATCTAATCTAAATCTGCCCTCTTCCAGTTTGAAGCCATTGCCCCTCATCCTATCACTACATGCCCTTGTAAAAAGTCCCTCTCCAACTTTCTTGTAGGCCCCCTTGAGATACTGGAAGGCTGCTAAAAGGTCTCCATGGAGTCTTCTCTTCTCCAGGCTGAACAACCCCAACTCTTTCAGCCTGTCTTCATAGGAGAAGTGTTCCTGCCCTCTGATCATCTTCATGGCCCTCCTCTGGACTCACTCCAGGAGGTCTTTATCCTTCTTATGTTAGGGTCTCCAGAGCTGGATGCAGTACTCCAGGTGGGGTCTCACCAGCGTGGAGTAGAAGGGCAGAATCACCTCCCTTGAACTGCTGGCTGCACTTCTGATGCAGCTGTGGATGCAGTTGCCTTTCTGGGCTGCAAATGCGCATGGCTGGCTCACGTTGAGCTTTGTGTCCACCAACACCCCCAAGTCCTTCTCCTTGGGGATGTTCTCAATGCATTCTCTGCCTGTACCTGTATTTGTGCTTGGGATTGCCCTGACCTGTGTGCAGGACCTTGCACTTGGCCTGGTTGAATTTCATAAGGTTTGCATGGGCTCACCTCTCAGACCTGTCAGCTTCCCTCTGGATGGCATCTCTCCCCTCCAGTGTGTCAACTGCACCACAGAGCTTGATGTCATCAGCAAACTTATTGAGGGAGCACTCAACCAACACCCCCAAGTCCTTCTCCTTGGGGATGTTCTCAATGCATTCTCTGCCTGTACCTGTATTTGTGCTTGGGATTGCCCTGACCTGTGTGCAGGACCTTGCACTTGGCCTGGTTGAATTTCATAAGGTTTGCATGGGCTCACCTCTCAGACCTGTCAGCTTCCCTCTGGATGGCATCTCTCCCCTCCAGTGTGTCAACTGCACCACAGAGCTTGATGTCATCAGCAAACTTATTGAGGGAGCACTCAATCCCACTGCCCATGTCTCTGACAAAGATGTTGAACAGCACCAGTCCCGGTACCAACCCCTGAGGGATGCCATTTATCATTGGTTTCCACTTGGACATTGAGCTGTTCACCACAGCTCTTTGAGTGTGAGCATCCAGCTACTTCCTCATCCACCAAGTGGTCCATCCATCAAATCCATGTCTCTCCAATTTAGAGACTAGGATGTTGTGTGTGATGGTGTCAGATGCTTTGCATAAGTCCAGGTAGATGACATCTGTTGCTCTTCTCTTATCCACCAATGCTGTAACACACCCCCCCCCACCCCATCATAGCAGGCCACCGAATTTTTCAGGCATGACTTGCCCTTGGCGAAGCTGTGGTGTTGTCCTCAAACTTGCTGAGGGTAGATTCAATCCCACTGTCTATGTCATTGATGAAGATACTGAACAGTACTGGTCCCATTATGGACCCCTGAGGGACACCGCTTGTCACTGATCTCCATCTGGATATTGAGCTGTTGACTACTATGCTCTGGATGCAACCATCCAACCAGTTCCTCATCCACTGGACAGTCCAGCCATCAAATCCACATCTCTCCAATTTAGAAAGAAGGATGTTGTGGGAGACTGTGTCAAAGGCCTTAGAGAAGTCCAGATAGATGATATCTGTATCGCTTCCCTTGTCCACCTGGGTACTCACTCTATCATAGAATGCCACTAGGTTGATCAGGCAGGACTTGCCCTTGGTGAAGCCATGTTGGCTTTCTTGAGTCACCTCCCTGTGCCTTATGGTGCAGGAGAATTCGTGGGAAGCTGTGGGTACTACTGCCTCAAGGACTAGAAGTAATAGTCTGGGCATGACCTAAGTCACTTGAGTGCTGGGACACTGCCTTGTAACTTAATGATATTTCTTCTTCTGGATCATTAGCTGGGTAGCTGGCACCACCTTAGTCTCTGCATTCTCCCACTGAAAGACTTAAAATTGTAAGCTAAGGTAACAGTACTTTGAGGCTGTGAGAAGGGGACTGATAGACCCTTTACAGAGTTCTTGCAGATCAGGAAAGGTGCTGAATGAGAAGTTGGAATGAGTGGGGGAGAGATGGGAAGGAAGAAGCTGTTGTTGTCAGTGGCAGTTGGGCAGATAATAGCATCTGTCTTTCAGTCTGTTCTCTAGGCATATTTAAAAGAATTTTTAAAAGAGTTTCCTGCGTGCTACTGCTGCCTCTTTTTTTTTTTGGTGTGTCATTGAAGATACAAATGATTCAAACACTTAATAGTGACATGCAGTGAAATGCTAGCATCTAAAATAACATTGATAGGCATTTGAATTTATATCTTTAGTAATAAAGCTGGGGCGGGGGTGGTATCATGTTCTCTGTAGATTTAAGCAGACTTTCCTTTGTTATTTAAGCACAACTTAACCTTCAGGGTTGTCTTTGCACTTGTAACTGCTAGATGCTTATTTTCTAAAATGAAAGTGAATTACTGGGATATAGCGTAACAGCAGATTTGGATAGAAGATTCTTAGATTCTTCTAAGAAAAGAAAAATTGGGCTTGGACTGTGAATAGTTAAAGCTTGATGGAACAGTAACTTTTTGAAATACTGTTTGAGAAGTGATGTTTTTGAGACTATTGTAATTGGAGTTTTCATTAACTTGAAATCTGGATGAGTACCTTGCCAGCTACATCTGTTTTTTACTAAGGTGCAGATAGGAGTTGGGACTACAAAAAGTTTGTGTAGGTCTCAAAAATCTGACGTATTTGTCAAGATAATGGTTGACCATCACGATAGTGTCAGATTTGCTGTCAGTGATGTCATGAAAAGGAGCCACAAGATGTGGTGTGCCATGAAGTGAAAAGAGATAGCCAGTCAGGTTGCCTAGCCTCTGAAGCACTACGCGAGTAAGAGACGTGGGAAACAATACTCTGTTAAAATAAATGGAAATGTGGTGTTAAAAGTACTGGATGATGCTTTCTGGTGGGCAGCAAGACCAGGTTTGAGAAGTGAAGAGACTTTTTGACCTGCCAAGGGTTGGATGCTTTCACAGTGTTGCTTGCCTTTGGCTGCTGTGAGGATGTGTTTGTAGCAATGGCTTGTTCTCCCCAGCCTGCACTGACTTTTACAAGTTTCCTTGAACCTGTATCGTTAAAGTCTGTTCCATGAAGATGAGCATCTTTTGCAGCTCACTGTGGTGGAAATGCAGTCACTTGATTGCAGATTCTTTCTGGGAAGGTCAAGATTTGTTGGCCAAATGGGGAAGGAGCAAGTTTACAGGGTTCAGAGAGTGCTCGGTGCAAAGGCAGAGTGTACTTGACACAACCTAGTCCTTCTTGTCCATATCTGCTACTGCCTGCTGTTGAGTGTGGTCATAGGAGAAGTTCTTTGGTTAGACCATTAAAAAACACTTGATTCCCTAGTCCAAGTATGTGTCCTTCTCATTCAGGATGGTTGTTTGTTTATGCAGAGAGCAAATGTTCATCTCTCTGCCACTACTGTTGTTTACATCTTGGCTACCAGTGTGGGATGCAGAGAACTAGGAAGTAGTGTGGAAATGTTTGACTTTCAAGTACTTCACTATTCAGGTATTTTTGTGATTCCCTGTAAGCTAGTAGTCTAGTCCAGGGACATGCATTTCTATTTAATTGCAGAAATGTTGTGCAGGTTATTCAGTAACAAGGATGGTGGTATAACAGAACTCATTTTTAATTTTAGTAAAACGTGTCGAATTGGAGAAGCAACACCAGTTAGCCATTACAAAATTACAGGAACAGCTGCAGACTGAACATAACCAACTCCTAGAAAATATGAAGATGAAAAGCCAAGAAAAAGAACAGAGTCTTGAGAAGGAGGTAAGTAAGATTTCTTTACGTGTTTGGAGTTGTTGATTACTCTGTATAGAATGTAACGAAAACTAGAACATATGCATTTCATTTGGGTGACTTGTTTGTATTTAGGGATTTTATTGAGAAGCTGAAATGCATCTCATGAAGTAGGTAGATACTCTGGGATTTTCTATAGTGGTTCAACATCTTTTGAATGCAATTGCCTTTGTGCCATTTGGTGCTTTTTCTTCCTTTGTGTTTATATGCTTAATTTTGTGGTTACTGTGTTTCATTTTTATCTAGCTAATAATCTTATTTTTGCCAGTGATGATAAATATGGCACTAGAAGCAAACTCCTCTCTCTTAGAGGAGTGGGTCTAATGTTAAGTGCTATTCAGTATCTCTGGCAGCCTGGGTCAGGAACTGAGAGTCTAATTGTCACTATGTGTTATCACCTAGTTCTGCCAGAACTGTCTGTTGCATATAAAATAAGCAATTAGAACAAAATTGTTTTGAAAAGGTTGGTAGTTTTGGTTGGTTTTGGATTTTTTATTTTTTTTTTTTTTGGACATATTGTCCATAGCTGGAGAAACTTCAGGTCTTGCATGAAGAACTCAAGACTCGTTCACAAGAAGAAATTGGGCAGCTTTGGTCTCAGCTTGATAGTACTCGAGCAAATCGGCAAGAGCTAAGTGGTATGTTCAAAATTGATGTATTTCATTTTCTGCCTCTTCTTCTTATAGAGGTATGCATTATTGACATGAAATACTCTAATTGTGTACCAGAAACACACGGGTAGGTCACAGAGGTGTCAATGGGTTGCACCCTAGTGAGCTGTTTCTGAAGTGAGAGGTGAGTCAGTGTCAGATGTCTAGTTGGTTTCTGCAATGTCAAAAAGCATGGTATAGCTGTGGGAAAAAGCTCACTCCTATTGCTTTCCTTTCCCTTCCCATTCTGTTCCTGCACCTCATGAAATTTTACAATATCAAATTAAGTATAATGTATTGAAAAAATGAGAAGATGCTTGTCAATGCAATAACATGCTCCTATTTGCATTCAGTATGGAAGTGGTATGAATTCAGTTGAGAAAACTGAATTGAGAAAAAGGGAGACAGTGAAGATCACCACTTTGTTTATGACTTTGAGTGGCTTATTGTGCCTTGATATCTTTTCTTTTATTTGAAGAGATAAGAGATAGAAGAGAGATAAGTCTATTTACAAAAAAAGGCAGAAATATTCAGAAACGGTGTAATTAGGTTATATCTTGACGTAGAAATTTCCCTTTCAATTTTGAGGTGAATTAAATGAAATGCTTTTTTGTTGACACTCAAAATGGAGGTTCATCATCTTCTGAAAGACTTTTAATTCTTACATATAAAAGAATCTTGGGTTAAAAAGATCTCTATTTTTAAAGTAAAATCAAAACATTCAGGTGAGGCTTCTGAAATCAGAATGAACTATAATGTTGTTTTTCTATAAATCTAAAAATAACTGCCTTTTTCCATAACAATGCTTCTGTTTAAAAAATAAACAATTCCCCTAAACCTAAAAGCAAAAAAAATAAGAGGAAAATATTGTGCACAGCAGTTAAATATGAAGATTTTTGGGGGATTTGTGGGTTTGTGGTTTTGATGGGGGGTTTTTTTGGTCTTATATTTATCTACATTAACCTTAAAAAAAAATTTAAAGTGTGAAAGAAAATAATGACTTGCTGAAATTTGATATTGTGTACTTTATAGATCTGTTCTAAGATGTAGGTGTATTAAACAAAAGTTAACTTTACAGTGTAGTGATTGGAGATGACACACATTTTCAGTTGAAATAAAGCAGGACGTCTCAGATGTGCTATACATCCTTTTGCACACACAGAGGAAAGAAGAAATTTTGGAAAAAAAAAAGCTAGAGGCCATGATATTACCTTGATCATGTGTGTTTTCACCTTGTATTGAGACTGTAACATTAGGTGCTGTTCTTTATTGCTGCTGGGGTAGTTGAAGCATATTACATTTGCCTTTGGTTTTAAATGCAATTTCAGATTTTCTAAATAACATAACTGTAAATAGCTTTTGAAGTCTAATTGGGTTTTGTCAGACTGGTTTTTTTTTTTTTTTTTTTTTTTTTGTCAAATTGAATAAATAGTTTTTCTATCTAGTCAGACTTTACCATGACTTTTTCAGATCTCTGATATTACAAAATTATAGCAGATAGCAGTTTGCTGGAATTCTTTTATGTCCTTTCTGTAGCCCTAATCTTTATTAACCTTTCAAATATCTTTTAATCTTCCTAATCACTCACATTCCTGTTCTTTGGACCCTTTCTGTTTATTCATCGTGCTTGAGATGGTGAGACTGGAATGCAAGCCCATGGTGCAGGTGAGGGTATCTCTTTTGGTGTGTGGGATCTTAAAGGTTGCTTGTTTTACTCCTGTTCACTTGAGTGATCATTTGACAATGCATTTGGATCGGTTTGAGGACTTGTGCTGGTGGATTCAAAACGTAGCAGCTGGACAATAGGATGGATGCTCTGATCTAAGAGTGACATGCCAGTTCAAAACTGTTAAACACTTTTCTGAGATACTTTTGTGCTGGCAGATTTTGCCAAAAAACTACCTGTGCCAGATTGGGCTTCCCTTGTCTATCCTGTTGGTGGTGTTACTGGTCCCTGCTTGTCATTTGATTCCTCTGGTCCCTGTGCTTGGAAACTTCTCCCTTTGGAAGCAGGCTTGAGGCATATATTTATTTCTCTTATTCTTGCTATCTGCATGCTCGTTGTGATAATTTTTCATGCCAAGTGTGCATTTGCTGGTTTGCTACACAAAAACACTGTGACAGTCAGCTGTGTTGCTTCCTGGGTGGCATCCTCTCTTTTCATAAATGTTTCTGAAGTTTCTCTTCTTGCATAACATAAGCAGGTGCTTTTCTCCAAGTTCTTTCTTTGTGAAATGCAGTTCCATCTCCAATTGATTGTGTGGGGATTCAGCTAATTTAAGTCATCTCAGAAGTTGGGCCACCTGGGAAACTTTAATTCCCTCTCATGATTTTGGTCCTTTTTTTTCCTATCTTTTCCCTTCCTGATATATTACTGCTTCTTTGATACAGAACATGGGGAAGAAAGCTCTCAAAGAGTTAATGAATATGTTGTAATGCTGGCCACTGCCCTGACTCTGAAAGGAGGGTAGCTTGCTGAACCAGCCTTGATCACTGTTTTCTTCTGCATTCTATACTATTTTTTCTTTTTTTTGATGGTTCTCTCAAATTTAGTCTCTGCTTGAGCTAATGATGGATAGCCAAACCATCACTAAAGTAATCCAGAATTGATTTTTTTGTTGTTGATTTTGTTTTCGTGGATGGTTTGTGCTAGTGATGGTTTTTTGTTGTGTAGTTTTCCCCAGAGTAAATTAACTGTTCTTGACTAAATTGCTGCTTCTGGTTGCTACAAGAAGCAGGTGTGAAGATTAAGCAGTATTGCAGGACTCTGCATGCCAGTAGCCCAGACCCGAAGCACAAGGAAATGAGGAGGGCTAACAGTCTGCTGCTAATTTTGATTCTTGTCATGAGGATGAATTCTCTGAATGGCTTTACTCCCTTCTGAAGTTTATTTTCTTATCTAGTTTGTTGGATAACATTTTACTGCTATCTCAACAACTAAAATACAGCTGATCTTCACAGAATGCCTTAGCCTAAAGATATGTACTTTGGAGTAGTTGTGTTGATTTTGCCTCCATTCCAGAGCTAAAAGAGCAGCTCCTGGCACGTGCATCACGAGTGGAAGAAATAGAGCGTTTAAAACAAGAATTTCAACAGCAGCAGCAGCAGAGAGAATGTGAGCATGAAACTGAACTGGAACAGTTGAGACTTTATTTTGAAAAAAAATTAAGAGTTGCTGAAGAAAACTACAGAGAGGAATTGACATTGCTGCATCAGAGATTGCAAGGACTGGAGGAACATTCACTGTCAGAGTTGGAAGTGAGTCAAGATCAAGCAGGGGACAGCAGGTGATCTATTCTTTTTTCCTTTCATCTCATGTTATGACAGCATGCTTCCATTACTTTTTTATATATATAAAAATTATGTTAAACTCTAAATATATTGGGATTTGGAAGTCATGAGTCTGCAGTCCTGAGCAGTTGTTCCAGTTGCTCTGTGCCTACTTTCAGTGCTATGTTGTAAGTCAACAGGTAAATTTAACTTGGTTTGTGACACGGTGCAGTCTTAAACTTTAAACCCTTTCCTCAGTTCTGTTGCAGTTTTTGAAGAGACTGCTGAGACAGAGGAAAGAGATACTCTTGGTCTGCTAAATCAACAGCTGGAACAACATCAGGTAGTATTTTTGATAAAGTTTTACTGTTCATTATATGACCTGTATGTAAATTGATGCCTGACTCCTAGCTCTTAGCATAGAGCTAGTTAATTTGACACATTTATTAAGGCTTAATTATTTTTGACAAGTATATTATAAGTTAACAATTTTAAATAGTTCTCAAACTAGCAGAACAGATGAAGCATGGTGTTCTGTAATTTTGTGTCTTCTGTTTGGGTTATCCTGTGCTTAGTAAGGAGCTTATTGACACTCTTCCACACAAGTGCAAAATTCATGGTGTTCCTCTTCTATATAGCTTCTGTAGTAATTGTGCATTTTATTGCTGTGTGCTCTTTTCAAGTTGAGAGGCTAATTTGGTCCAACTTCTATTTATGCACCTATTTTCCATGTACCTTGTTGTAATTTAAGATCTTGACTTCTTTTCTCAACTTATTTGAAGTTGCCTAAGAGTTTCAAAAAGGAATTTTCCTTCTTTTCTTTATATTTTAATTTTTTAAATTATAAAAAGAGTAATTTTTTTAATGAGGGAATGACAAGCAAACAAGACATAGACAAGATATCATGAGCACAATTTCATCAGTAAATTGCACACACGCACAAAAAAAGTTATAAACAAGAAATGTATACATCACACCTTTTTTCTTGCTGCTGTTTGTTACCTAGCTACATATGAAACTGCGTTCATAGGTCATTACTTCTAAGTTTTGTGATGTGTGTAGAAGGGGTCTTCAGTGTTGAGAGTCAATAGTTTCTCTATTGACAGATGCATGTGGGACAAATGCATGTCCCACAGATGCGTGTGGGACTTCTTCCTCTATTGTACTTTCAAGCAGCTCCTGAAACTCATATCTACCTTGTGGCATGGTGCCAGAGTGTGTCTACCCTGAGGGGCTCTGCCGCTCTAGTAGAGATGGAGTGGTGAGAATGGAGCAAAACCAGAAGGATTTCTGGGGACCAGATATATATGTGTCAAGCAAGTGCCTTACAGTGCAACTCATGTAGCGCTCTCACTGAAAGTGTCTCAGCTTTCTCCAAAGCTGAAGATGTCTTTCTAACCCATTTCTTATGTAGAAAGAACTTGTCTCTTTGCAGGTACAACTTAAAGAGCGCCACAGGCATGAATTAGATTCCTTAAGGTCTTCCCTTGCACTTCAATATAAGGAGGATCTAATGAAAATGAAGATGGATCTGTCGGACAAATATATAACAGAAATTGAGGAAATGCAAAGAAAGCATTGTTTAGAACTTGAGCAGCTCCGTGCCCAACTTTCAGAAGAACATATTAAAGGTAAGATAAGCTGACACACTGGGAAGTAAAATGGTAAGCTCCTTGTGTGACTTATATTTGCCTTTAAATATTTAAAGGCTTATCTGAAGAAGTTTTCAATCTGTTACTAATATACTCTAAACTGTAGGAAACACTTAACACATGTTAATTCCTGCCATTGAGCAGTTTGCTTTATGACTTCTATGGGCATGTTGAATTGCACTTCCAAAAATGTGGTAACCTGAAAATGATTATTCTGTAGTTAAGCTTATAAGAACCGTGGAGCTGAAGTGAGTTGAGCAGATTTCCATTGTCGATGCCTAGATGGACACTGTCAATTCCTAAATACTTATTTGAATATTTCGTAGTGTTGTCCATCAGTGATTATTCTGTAGTTAAGCTTATAAGAACCATGGAGCTAAAATGAGTTGATCAGATTTCCATTGTTGATGCCTAGATGGACACTGTCAATTCCTGAATCAATACTTATTTGAAAATTTCGTAGTGTTGTCCATCAACTATGTTAAATGCCTCTCGCATTTGCATGAAATAAGCCAGTTCTCAGTCTATTCCATAGACCAGACTCATTTCTGTGTTCCATGCTTCTTTTGCCTGTATTCCTTTTGCGGGTTTGAAAGTGCTCTGCTCATTTAACATTAATATTTCTTTTTCCTCCTGTGTTTTCCACTAGTTGGCATATATACTGAGATTAATTTTTCAAACAAAGAGGGGAAAGTATTTAGGGGGAGCGGAATTTCTAGTAGGTACCTTTTGCTGTAGAGTTCAGGTTACAGTTCTTCCTATGGCTAAACTTAATTAGACTTCCTGTGTGATCATGCATTCATGTGATTCTTTTAACTGTTGCTGCTTTTCTTGGAGTTACAATTTATAGAAATATACTGACTTGTATTGGTTGAATATGAAATTCATATATTGCTGTGATGCAGGTAAGGGATAATGGCAGTTCTTGTATCTGCAATCTCTTCCTGTGAGCATGGTATTATGCACAAACACTTGAACTCATCATCCAAAACTTAGAGTTAGCTACATAGCTACATATTCCACTGTATGTTGGTTAAAAGGATCAGTACAACTTTTTGAACTTGCAGTTATATTTCTTCATTTATTTATTTATAATACTGGACAGTATATCAAAACTTCTTAACTTAAAATGTTTAGATATTTGTCCATCTGCTCTTTGGGGAAATGCCTTGCATAAATAGTATGTGCAAAAGGGGAGATAAATCTGCTATAACGTTGTCCAGAAAAACAGTTGGCTCCTGTAACTGTTGTGGGCAGGAAGTCCTGCCACAGGTTTCATGATCCTTCCCAATTATTCTGTCTGATAAATTTCAGAGATGGTGATAAAGTGGAACACAGTACAAAAATCATCCTGATGGGGCCTCTTCTGTAGCTAGTATGGCTACTGTTAAACTGCGTAGCTGACAACATCCAGCTTTATTTCTGTGCATTCAAACAACCTGTGAAACAGAAATAAATTGCAGAATGTCATTATATCATTTTATTGTTTGGTTTAAGGGTGCGTTTTCTGTTTGTTTGTGGGTTTTGGGGGCTTTTTGATAGTTTGTTTCTTATCTTATGTGGTTGTTTTGGGTTTTTTTACCAGAAATTGCCAGACTGCGCCTACAGAGCGCTCAAGATGCAGCAGATGCAGCGCGTCAAGTTGAAATGGAGGTGGCTGAGCAAGTGTCTGTGCTGGAGAAAGAGCACAGAGCTAAGCTCGCTCTCCTTCACTCTGAGAAACAATGTATTGCAGAGCTTTCAGAAGAAATAAAGCATTTAAAGTTAGAGATTACTAAACAAAAAGATTTTTCTGAGCAGAAAGAAAAGCATCTGAAAGAGGAAATGGAAAAGGTAATTCTATGTACAGTACTGTTTTCTATAGAGTTGGTCAAGCTCAGATCTGTTAGGAAGGCCAAGGAGAATGGCCTTCCTTTTAGTGGGAGGTGTCCCTGCCCATGGCAGGGGAGTTGGAACTACATGATCTTTAAGCTCCCTTTCAACCTAAACCATTCTGTGATTCTGTGAGATAGAAGCAGCACTTACCTTTAAATGTGCCTAGTTTAGTGATAATAGCTTCAGCTTTGAATGGACTGGATGGATACACACAAGTATTGGAATATGAGATTGAAGTTCAAAGCACTTTAGTATTGAACACTTAGTTCCTCTACAGACAAACTTTTCTTTAAGAGCAGAGATAGTGTGGGAAGTGGATGCCTCAAGGGTTGATCCAGTCTACCTTTTATATTGCTGTGGGTCAAGCATACGTATACCACTCCAGTACAGGCATATACAAAAAGTCTTCACTCTGAACATCTCAGTGCAGCATGTCATAGTGCCCCGGTGCAAAAGTAACATGTGAACTTGCATACTGTCACGTGGTGATGGAGAATTCAGCAGAAAGCACTGTGGCGTGTAGAAAAAGCCTCTCTGCTGAATGGGTCGCCTCTGAGATATTTCTGGTTTTAATAGGACAATTTTTTCAACTAAATAACCAGAAATATTTTTTCAGACCATTTTCTGAGGGAAGAAGAAAGAATGGCACAACAGACTTCTGCTTTTGTTTTTCTTTGATGTAGCTCTTGTAAGTCAAAAGTCTTAGAGTTGAAAGAATCGTATCTCACACTTTCGTGGAATCACAGAATTATCAGAGTTGGAAGGGACCTCTAGAGCCCATCCAGTCCAACTCCCTGCCAAAGCAGGGTTGCCCAGAGCACATCACTCAGGAGCATCCAGGTGGGGCTTGAAGATCTCCAGAGAAGGGGACTCCACACTCTCCCTGGGCAGCCTCTGCCAGGGCTCTGCCACCCTCACCCCAAACAAGTTTCCCTCTTACCTCAGCTCTCCTATCTGAGGACAACTTAAGATTGGATGTTAATTTATTATTTAATTTGTTCTGATATTTGAATACTTATGCAAGTTAGATGGATGAAGCTCTCATTTCTCAAGTCCTCCTTTCCTCACTTTAAAAGAGAGATAGATATGTGTATGCTTTTTCAGACTTAAAAACAGAGAAGGCCAGAGAAAACAGTCGCAGACAGCATAGAGACTCAGCTGAAGCTTCCAGTAGTGAGGTTTCCAGTAACTGCTAGTTTATTCCTGCCACCTGCAGTAACTTTTTTGTGGCACTGCTGGCTGGGTAAAACATAAGCATCTACAGAATGCAGTATTTCAAATGAGCCTGTACTGCGTGCTGACCCACTCTCTGGAAATATGTGGGTTTTGTTGGGTTTTTTTGCCTCTGGTCTCTTGCTCTCTGGAACAGAGCAAGCCAGTTTCCTCAGTTGCCTATTTCAAGTGCCTGACACCTCCCCTCTCAACCCCCCCAAATTTTCATGGATTGTGTGTTAATCAAAATCTGGGGTTTTCGGATTCTTTTGCGCCTCTTCATTTAGATTGTAGCATAAATGAATGCTTAAATATTTGTTCAAAACAAAACTTCAAAGTGAAAACTGAAGAGTATACTTCTTACTGATGTGATCTCATATTAGCTTTTAATTTTCTTTTAAGAGATTATGCTGTTCTTTCCTTAGTTCACTATTTATTTATTTACCTTTAGTGTATTTTTAGAGTATTTTTTTCCCTTTTGTCATTGACCAATCACTTGGTGCTTCGGTTTGTGTTTTTCTGCTACATGCTTTTTATGTTGCTTTTATGCTACGTACAAAATCACGGTCTTGGACATTGCATATAAAATAGCACTGGTATGTATAAGGAGAGGAGAGATTTAAAAGATTTTTAATCATGTCCAATATGAATACCTAATGTGCCTGTAGCTTTATATATTGAACTTCTGAAATGAAGAAGAGTGTCCCCAAGAGAAAACAACATGGAGTACCATATTAATTCCAGAATTTTTCCTTAATTTTTTTAATCTTCCTTAGTCCAGTTAATTTTTAATAGTGTCCTGAATTGAAGTACCTGTAAGTTGACATTTCAGCCTCACTTTTATTTGGAAGGGTGACTTCACTGCAAGAATTGAATCTCTCCAAGACCTTCAATGCCTGAGAACATTCACCTCACACACTTCAGTTTGGTTTTGGTATTTTATGCATTTTTTTCATAACTATGTTCACAGGTAAAATGCCAAATTGCTGAGGATCACAAGAATAAATTAAGGGAAGCCAGAGAAGAAGTCCAGAAAATAGAGGCTATGTACAAAGAAAAAGAGAAGAAATGGAAATGTGAAAGCGAGGACCAGAGAATCCTGGCAGAAGAGAAGTTATCGTTGTTACGTATAGAGTTGCAAAATAGAGCAGAATATGAGAAACAGAAATTACAAAAGGAGTTTGAACTTCGTGAAGCTGAAATGAATCAGCTTAAAGATCACCAAGCTGCCAAAATTCTAGAACTGGAGAAGTTGGTAAAAGAGCAGCAAAACAACTTGCAGCAACTAGAGGACAGCCTTGCAAGTGCACAGAAATCTCTGGAGCAATATGACAGTGACCTGCAGGGAGCCAGAGCGCTCATGGCAAAAGAAATGGAAAAGGCCACACTTTGTCTGCAGGAAGAATGGGCACTGAAACTTAGGGAAGCACAAAACAAGTAAGTCCTCAGTATCTGAGCACTTTCAGTCATTTTTATTGTTATTTTTTCTTATTTTAGACTTCATGAGTCATAGTGGTGTAGGTTTGTTACTTGATGGCACCAGCTAACTTATGTATGTAAAGCTTACTCTACCAAGGAACAGTAATGCTGTCCATTACTGTAGGTTTACTATAGAATTTTGCTTCACGTAAATAAATTAAGCTAGTCAAGCAAATCAAATGAAGTGTAGTCAACTACTATAGAATTTTGCTTCACGTAAATAAATCAAGCAAATCAAATGAAGTGTAGTGAAGTTCTGCCTGTTATAGTTAATAATACAACACACAGCTGAAAAGTCATATACTAGCCTTGGAGGAGGGGAAGTGTTACAGGACACGTAAGTGGAAAAAATCTCTATATTTTTTCAAGTGTTTTCAAACAGCTTAAATGAATTTGAGCAAGTTTTTCCTGGTGAATAAAGCTTGTGTTATCCACTGAATGCTGAGGTTGATGGGTTGCTTATGGTATTCTTCAATTCTGGTTAGACATGAAGGTTGCAACTGCTTGGGTTTTCCTCTCCTTCCTACCCCTATTGTTTTTAATGTATTAAAGGAAATATTCAAACAACTACGTGTTTGTATTTGCATGTGTTGCTTCAGATTTATCCCTTCTTTCCTCCCTGAACATATGCTCATAGAACAAGTTTGGGGAAGTAATTACAGTAAGAAAACTGAAAGCAGGAAATTAGCCTTTAAATAACCAATCACTTCTTAATTATTGGTGTATATATCCAAAAATACTATAGTTAATGATTACAGTAGATTGCAGCATTTCAGATACTAAATCATCTGCATCATGCTTTAAGCAGACCTCAGGAAGCTGAGTTCAGAGGAGCCCCAGGTATCCCACGTACACTTCCGCAGTGGTTTGTCAGATGTTTTTAGACATTTTGCTTATGACAGATTGTTTACTTGCTGAGAACACATTTGAGATGTAGACAATGTATATACCGTGTCCTAGATGTTCTTATATGGCAGTATTTTTTCAGAGAACAATGTTTATATGTTGCTCTATATTAGTGAGTAACTTAATAGGGGTTTCAGTCTACCTAGTAGTAACCAGATACTATCAAGTAACATTACATAAACCTCTAATAGTGTGGCTATGAAATCATCTTTGTGTCTTGTTTTGAATTAGTTCTCTATTTGAAACAAAGAAAAATATGTGGAGGCTAAGTAAGGCCTACTTGTTTTTCTTTTATTTTTATTTATTATTTCAATTACTCATTTTCTTAAGTGTCATTTTGACAATATTCTCTTAACTTTCTTTGAAATAATATAGGTTTATGGAAGAACACAAAGCTATGACTCGGAAATTCACAACTGAGCAAGAGATTCTTCTCCAAGAGTTGAAAAAGAAACATGTGGATGAGCTGGAACTCCAAAGACAGCAGTTGCAGGAGAAGCACAAGCAAGAAGTTTTGTCTCTTACAGCTGAGTTTCAGACAAAGCACCAAGCTGAAATTGAGACACTTAAATCTACACTAGAAAGTAAACAGCAGAATCAGCTTGAAGCTTGTGTTGCTGAACTACAGACAAAGCATCAGGCACAAATTGATGAGCTGGAGTCGAAACACTTATCAAATCTGGATTCCTTGGAGTCATCCTACTTATCTGAAATTCAGAATATAAGGGATGAACACAATCGGGCTCTTGAGAAGCTGCAGTACACAGAACAGCTCCATGAAAAGGATAAAATGGATCAAGCACGCTTGCTTCAGGAGATAGAGATGTTGAAATTAAAGCATGCTGAAGAACTTCAGCTTTCCCAAAATAATTTGAAAATTGAGCTAGCTACTGTTCACGTGGAGAAACGTAAAGCCATGGATGATGAAGCAGAAGAAGCTTATAAGGTGAGCCAAAGAAAAATTGGCATAGAAGGTGAAATTTCACAGTACATTTTGTGGTATCACCTTTTCCCTGGTTTTCTTGGTCTGTGTTTCTACAGCCTCCTTTGTGCCAGCACGAACACTTGTGTGTGGCCAGTGGCCATATTGTGAGCTGAAATAGGAAACCAAAGCTGAAAATTAAGTGCATCTGTCGCCCCACCTCCTTCCCCAAATGCTCAGACTAATGAGTTCTCTATCACAGTGTGTGGAAAAATACAAATGAAGTAAATCTTTTTAATGTAGTTTAGATTGGAGGTTATCCGTTTTGTGGCTGAGAGCTTCTCTGTCTGATAGAGTTACCATGTAATTCTTCAGAATTTATTAGAACACAGTAAATATAATTGTGTAAATTAAGCTACATCTCTAGGAATCCAAAGATTCTCCCTAGTGGCACACTCTCGAGGGGAAGAATAGAAGAAAGGTATCTCTAAAGGTCCCAGATGGGTAGTGAGTGAGTGGACCTTTTAGGGCCTTTAACACAAGTCCATAGCTTTGGTCTTGACAGGGCAGAGGTGTCAGCTCCTTTAGAGTTCAGAAAGGAAAATATGATTCCAAGACTTCTGCAAGGCAAAGAGGTACGAAGGCTTGGATCACTGCTAAAAAATCAGAGCCTTCCAGAGAGAGATGTAGTTTTTCAGATTTGTCTGTCACCATACTCACTTCCCAAACTTATGATTATACGTGATTTCTGTGCCCATAAAGGCTAAGAGGAAGATCTTGTGAGGGAAAAGGTGAACATTTTTCTTCTGCCCTATCTTTGCTAACTTACCTTAAAATCTGGATTTTGATTATTCTTGATTGTAAAAAAACTTCAAAAAGAACAAGTTGAAGATTGGGCTGATGGGGAGTGCTGTCATGGATAGAGGAAAAAGCTGGGGATTTACAAAACTTTTACTGAGTAGGAAAAGTAAACCCATTTCAATGATATAAAGAGTGTGTATATGTATGTGTGTTCCTGTTCACACTTATGGTTGGACTAAAAGATCTGAAAGGTCCCTTCTAACCTAGGCGATTCTATGTGATTTACAGATGGTTTACAAAATTAGTAGTGCCTTATTTTTTTCTTCTCCTTTTGAATTAATGCTTACACAGGATGACTTGGACACGGCACTTCAAGATCAAAGGAGGTTGCTGGAAGAAGAAAAACATCTGGCCCTGGATACATTACGTGAGGAAGTATTGCATATGGAAGCAAAGCATAGAAAAGCACTTCAAGAACTTCAGGATCTTCATGAGGCAGAAATTAAGAAACGCAAGGAAGAATACTCCAGGGAGCTGGAAAAAGAACTGGGGAAACTAAAAGCACAGCATAAACACGAGCAAGAGGTAAGAATATTGCTAGTACCTAAACCCAAAGTAATCCGTACTTTAACCTAAAGTAAATGCAGTTTTATTAACCTTGGAGGTAAGGCTGTATATCTAGATGCTTTTAGGATTTTTTTAATAGTGTCCGGAAGTAAGAAGATAAAAAGTTAACATTAAGCCTTGCTTTATCTAAAAAGACTTAAGAGAATTGATATATGTGTATTATCCTGAATTTTTATCCAATTTAAATCCAAGTTTGCAGTGCTGTTTTTATTGGGAGTGCAAGGGAGGGGGGAAGTACTCTTGCTTTCTTCTGAGTTCCTGCCTTATTTCAAAATTTTAACGCTGACATTTTGGTAGAAAACTAATGGGTAATAAATTAGGTCATGAACCGTTTGTGGAAAGTAACTGCTCACTTCAAGCTTTTTTAAGTGAACATACTTTACTAACATTGATTTCTTCTTTTCTTAGACAATATAGTGGGTAATACTTTTCCAAACATGTTTTCTCAGTGAGGTTTGGAAATCTTCTTAATTGCCCTTAAAGCTTTACCACTTCTTCTTTTTGAGAATGAAAGTAAACATCATAAATCTTATATATAAACATAGTTGAGGTTAAAAACCTTGTCATCAATACTAAGTTCTCTTCAAAAATTGAAATGGAATAAGATCTTTATTTATTTAGTCTTTTATACAATCCGACTTATATTGATGCAATCATCCTGAAGTGATTAAGGTTTCTCACTTTTCTATATGTTGGTGAATTCACAAACAAAATGAGTTTAACCAGCTATAACCAAACAACATATGTCGTGTTTAAATATAACTTACTTTTGCTTTTTCACTTACTAACTTGAAAGTTGGATAGTGAGCTAAATAGCTCCTTAATCACTGATGCACCTTTGTATTACTTGGTGCACCTCACAAAAAACATTTAGGTTTGAGGAGATGCCCTGTGTTCTTTTGGACTGTTAGGCCTTGGAGCTGCTGTTGGTTTCCATTTGGGTGGAGCACGTTGCAAACTCTCTTTACTTATTATGGAAAAATAGCTTGCCTGGGAAGTTAGCTTTGTGGGAAGTTCTCATGATTATTGATGATTAAAGAGAAATCCTGGTTTTAGGATATTCTTATGACTAAGTGACTCTTCCTAGAGAGGATAATAGGAAAAAAAAAAAAGCCAACAAAACAAATGAACAAAAAACCCAAACCTTTCTCTGGGATTTTTGATGGATGACTTTGCTGTATCTCATGGGATAAGTGCATTAAGTATAACTGCATAATGTTTAATCCAATTTTCAAATGGGATTAGCAAAACATGCTCTTCTGTGTTTCTCTCCCACTCTTTCTACCTTATTTCTTTGAATTTCTCTTAGACAAATGTCTGTTGGAAAGTACAAGTAGGGAGTACTCTATTAGTATGACATGATGGTCTCATGAATATGGGAGGTACTTGGTACCTAATGCCTTGTTGCTTCTTACCTGTTTTTATCAACTTGCTTTTTTTCTATAGTCACCCTGATGATAGATAACAGTGCTGTATGACTTGGAAGGTTGGAGAAAACTATTATGAAAATACTCTTAAGAATGTGGCTGAGCTTGATGGTATCACTTTGGTTTTGTTTTATCTTTTCCTTGGTTATATATTGTGGCTGAAATATTTTTATATTACTTACTTGTCTGCAGATGTATGCTTCTGCATCAGCTTCTGAGGTAGAAACTGTGCGAACAGCTCTTCTGGCTCAACTTGAGGAGGTAAAATTGAAGCAGCAACTTCAATTCCAGGAAGAGATTGAGCTGCTGAAGTGTCAGTCGGAGGTACTGCTTGAGCAGCAGATTGCACAGCTGAAGGTAGAGTCTGATTAAACTGAACTTCAGAGCTTGCACTGGTAGCATGTTTTTTCTGAAAATGCAGTATTGGAAACAATGCTGTGTTCTGTAAGCAATTATAGTGTTTACTACAAGGTTATCTTAAAATCCTGTATCGGATGTGAAATGATGTCCTTCAAGGAAACAAAAATCAGTTAAAAGTGTTTGCTCTAATTAAGAGTCCTTGCATACATTTATGTTCAGTTTGTCGTCTGAAACTTTTTCTTCTTGGTGCTTGCAGAGACTGTGCCCTTGACCTGTCATCCCTTGTTCACTGCGCTTGTGTATATATGGCAAAAAACGTTCAGTCTTATCTAAGATTTTACCAAGTGTGTGATGACAGCAAGTGCTTTGTGCATGAGATTTTTTTGGTGGTAGTTCTTAGTCTCTGCTTTCCTGGGTTCATCATTTGACTTCCAAGTTTTCATCTTGATGAGCATCTTCAAGATGCTTATCCCAGAAAATTATCTTTGTAGGCAATTACTACATTGTACATCATCTTCTGAACCTTGTGCAAAATGTTTTCATTGGTTAGGTGACAAGCACATGTAGAGCTATCAAATGTACATGTAGGGCTCTACATGAGGAGACACATCCTGTGTCAGAAGAGAGAGGGGAAACTCACCAGCACACTGAGAGCAGTGCTTACATTCATCTCAACATTATTGCTGTACTGAGCATGTGTCCAGTTCAAGTTTTTGAGCACAAATAACTTAGATTAGATGAACTGTCATCTCCTCAATTGCTTCTCCTCAGAATGTTTCACAAATACTTACTGTTTCTGTCACTACTCCAAACTGAGGTGGGGCTCTTCTTAACAGTTGCACTCATCTCTAGAGCTGGGTGCTGCAGATGTGCAGAAAACTTCTACTATTTCCTGCCTCTGGCCCACTATAGAGTCCTGTTCATTCTTTGACCTTTCTCTGTCTGGTGCAACTGTCTTTTGAAAGAGAGGACACAAGAGTATCATGAAAAGCTGCTGGAGGTACATTCAGTAGTGCTGTCCTCAGCTGAACCCCAGCCTTCAGTCCATGGAAATTGGGACTGGACTGACTTATGCATATACTCCAGAAGTGATTCCTGTTTTTCTCTCCTTTGTGCTGCCTAGATGCTTTAGTTACTGAGTAGCATTTGGGACACCAGAAACCTCTCTTCTCATGGAAATTTTGCCACAGGTAATTCTTCTGCTAGTACAGATGTCTCTGTTCTTTTGTTTTCTCTTGTTACCTAGATGACTGGTGTTTTGTCCCAGAAGAGACTGTCTGGATCTCTTCGCAAAGTCATGCTGAGTTATATAATGGTTTGACACAGGTTTTTACAATGAGCCTTCCCCTTCCTACTTCCCCTATGCTCATTTATGGGGTTGTCTTCGTGCCAGATGGTTTACTTGCCTTTTTCCTCCTGCTTCCCCTTGCAGATTTTAGGGTATTGAGAGTTCCTTTGTACAGTCTGGCGTACTCTTTTAGTGGATGCATGGCTTCTGAGAAGAATAAATAGGCTGTTTAAGAGACAGTCTGCAAGTTTACTGTGCTGCTCAAGGAAAGTCCTCGTATTCCTTAGTGTATGCTCATTTGTATCTTGATAAATGCTAAGCGTTCTGCTGTTTGAGTCTATAATTCTGGGCAGACTTGGCTCTTCTGCCTTGCTCTGCCTCAGGGATTCTGGGTAGAAGTTGGTATTGTTATTGCCCAAGTGCCAGTATAGATCTTGGCTATGATGTCAGACCTTACGGTCGCAGCAAGCAGGTGATGGATGGGTTGTTCTAGTCAATGCAAGGACTGGCTGAGTCTTCCACAAAGGATCCAGGACAGCTCAGGTGACTACATGTGTTCTGCCCTGAAGTCTTGTTTCATGCTCTGGAGGAAAATTGTCTTCTTGATTTACCAATAAAAAATAGGCAGCTATCACCTTGGAGTGTATTGGTTTTCATAGATCAAAGTGCACAATTTTTTTATACTGTGCTCAGGAAGACTTACTTCCCTGTTCTTGTGTTGCAGAAGCAATTACTTCCTTTTAGCCTCTTTGGGAAGGGATCCCAGGACCTTGTTTCACCTCCCCTATTTGCGGATGCAGGAGTGGGAGATTTGTAGTAATCCCTTCCTTTAGAGCACTCTGAGGCAAGTGAGACCCCAATTTAATAGCTGTGTACATCTACCTTGTAGATTTTCAGCTTGTTTGGGTAAATCACTCCTCTTGTGTGGAACCCAGTAATACGCATGGTGTTGAAAGTGGCTTCTGTCCATCTCTGTCCTGGTGTGTCCATCTGTTTTCTGTTCCTCATCACTGTCTTGGCAGCCTAAAACTACCTCAGTCTCAGTAAGCACTTTCAGATATTTACCTACTTAACTATTTTTTAAATCATAGTTTCGGCATAGTTTTGTTGATTGAGGGTGTTAAATACGTGAGTTACTTCTCAGGTTAACTAGCAGTAAGGTGAAGAAGGAAAAAAGAAGAGGGATGGGAGTGTTTGATCAGCGGTTTTTGGGGCTTGGTTTTTGTTTGGTTCCTGCCCCCTTGTAAATGGAAGCATATGTGGCTTTATACAGGAAGAATTTGAAGCTGAAAAAAAGGCCTCGCTACATGACAAGGAGCACATGTTGATTCAGGAGAGAGAGAAGGCACATGCTGCTCACCAAAAGGAGCAGATGATGTTATCAGCCCAGCTGCAGGAAAAAGCAGCAATAATTACCCAGGTGCGTGGAAGATATTTTAAACCTACATTTTAAATGTGTTTTTGTGGTTGTATTTTAGCACAGTGCTCTCACCTTTCTTCAATATGTATATAGAGGGACTGTGTGTATAATTCTTGTGATTGCTTGTTTTTAAGGGGTAATGTGTGATGGGCTCTGTCTCTTGGTTGGAATGCTACAGTTACAGCAGTAACGTGAAAATTGAAACTGGGTATCAGCTTGAAATCTGATCTTCAGCCATTTCACAGGGACATTAATAATGCTTTGTGAGAGAAGGCTAGGTGTTTGCCTTTTGGTTGTCTGTGTATTTATGCCACCTCTATCTATCCCATTTTTGTGTCAAGAAAATAGTGCTCTAGTAGCTTTTGTTAGACCAACTGGCTTATAGCTCGGAGGAAATGACAGGTAAATGGGAAGTTTGGATCCAGAAGTGGCAAAGATAGTATTTGTTTGCCAAACAAAACAAAATTTTATGCCTCCTGTAAAAGAGATATCTAAGTTGAATCTAGGTTACCCAGAAAGCTTTAGAGAGAGAGGAACAACTTGAAAAGGGTTTTGATTAGGAAGTTTGGAAATATCAAGTTCTTTTTCAATGATTAAAATAATAGCTTTGAGTTTTCAAAATAGAAGATAAAATGAAAATAAAACATTTCTATCTTGTCTCACAATTCAGAAGCTCTGACCAAAATGTAAATCTGGTATATTAGACTGTTCTGTTAGACCTTTATGTATAGTGGAAGAATTGGGAGTAACACTGTAACCGGCTCTTTTAGAGAGATTCCAAAGTGAGAGCTCACATGGAAACAAAAATGTTAACTCAGCTTTATCGTGAAGCCTTGATAAGCAATCCCCAAAATGTTCCAAAAGTTACTTAGGAGAGTTTTACCAACAAACAGCAGTTACTTAGGAGAGTCTTCCCAACCCAAGCACAGTAGCAGCTCCGCCGAGCAGCAGATGGCAAGGAGCCCCATGGGTACGGCGGGGGGTACTCGTGTCTCTCTCCCCCCCGAGACAGCCCCCTTATGTGGGGGGGACAGTACCAGCTCAGGTCACTGCACGTGTGGCCAGCACACGCAGCAAGCCTCACCAGGCTCATGCTCAGGCTTGGCCAACAGCAGCCGCCTGATACGCGACCACGTCGTTGCATCTTCTGGTTGTTTTCCTTCTTTGAAGGTCAGGTTCTCATGGGTACGCATGTAGTTTTGCAACAACAGTACTGAGTTCCCTTGTTTTTCTCAGCGTGTATACTAGACTTAAACTATTAAATTTCCATCATGTCTCACTCCAACCATGCTCTGTTATCCCTGACACATGCCACCGCATGGTCCGTAGCTGGGACACAATGATATTCTACAACTTGTATAAGGGTAGGATGCAAGGCGGCATCTACAGATGATGGTATATTGCTTATTAAACATGGCAAACAGTATACTAATTGTAACAGACAAATTTCTCCTATACAGACAATAAGTATAATTTGCTTCAACCAACCCCACCCCCAAGTCCATCCACAAAACGGGTTCCACCCAGTGGTTTCCACAAGTTGCTGGTTCAGTCTGTGCAGTTCTTGCAACTGGCCATGGATGGATTTGGAGTGGTCACTTAGATCCATACAGCACAATCCTTTAAAATCTCAACAACTCTGTCCATGAACTAAAAGCAGAAAATAGTCATATGCCTAGAGTAACTCTTTGTGATATTTAGACTAATAATATTACACCATTGTGTGTCATTCTGGTACCATGGGATGGTGGCATTGACCCACCAGGAGACTGTGTTATTGTTTATACTTAATGATGCTTGCATCCGCCTGGAGGGTGTTTCTGGCAGAGGTGCTGTTGATCCTCATATTGAATTCTCCAGTTGTTAGCAGCACGGCCACTAGACACGTCGTGAATGGATTTTGGGTTGTGGCTGTGCTAAGCCACAGCCTGTCTTGTCCCCTTGCATTAGCCAGAGTTATCCAGATGTTTTGATTGTGGGGGTAGCGCGTTTGCAGGTACCTACTCAATTATATAAACAGTAGAAAAGGTTAGAGGGCCCCCCCCCTCCCCTCAGCCCCCTAACCTCTGCAGGATAATTGCTGAGCCATTGTGCTTCTCCTGGCACTGCTGGCCTGACTGCCTGTGTGTCATCAGCTGCCATGGGCCCCAGCTCTCCTGGGGCTTGATACCAGGCATGTGCACATGCAAACAGCTTTGGTGTAGGGGTGATGCAAAGTGGGGGCATTATCCAAAAGTAAATATAGGCCAATGGCCCTGTGCTCAACTCCCAACTGGTGGATGCAGCATTCCCTGCTCCTAGGAGGTAACTTGGAGTTATTGGGTTCACTAGAGTGAAATCACTGGCCACGTGTCGGGGATGTAACATACAAACAAGGAATATGTGATGTTCTGATTCTGCACCAATAGTCATGTCTGTGGACAGCCATTGAATATGGTGGCCTGCAACTGGTACTGATTGCATGGTATGAATGATAAAACAACCTTTCTTAGCAGTTATTGTAAATTACTGTAATGCACCTGAGTAAGTGGGAATCTTATTGGCCTAGCCTCTTGGCTTTTCATGAGCAACAAGGGTGTCTAATCTCCCCCCACCACGCGATTGCTTAGGATCCTCACATTATCCAGAGGCAGAACTACACCATGAGAATCATGTAGCTTATCACCAAAGTAGCTCTCTTCAGAAAGGGTCTTGCCATATACAAGAAGTTCTGGTTGTTATTTGCAGTCAGGTACCTCCGACTGGCCCACAAGGCTTTGCTGGGCACAGAAAGGCCACCACTCAGCTGACCCTGGGGTGATACCAGGTGGCAGGAGCTGCAGGTGCCCCGGTGAGCAAAGCGATGCTTCCCCTTCTCCTGGCCGGCCTGTCCCTATGCATCGAGGCAGAGGGAGAAGCTGTTGGGATGTGGGGCAGGTCTCTGGCAGATCCCCATCCCCCCCATTTCTCAGTTTGAATCCATTGCAGGAGAGGGAAAAGAAGTCATAAACCAAGTAGACACCAAACACGGTGCTGGTGCCTGCCCCAGCAGCAACAAGCAGTCACTAAACAAGGGCAGCGCTTACCCAGCGAACACACAAACCCATCACTTCTGCCTCGGGGAGACAGTGCTCTGGCAGCAGGCAGTGTCTCAGGACAGGGCAGTCCTGGTGCACTGTGCCCTGCCGGGGCCCAGGCCCTGCCTGTTATTCCCCAGGCTCTACCATTGCAACCCCATCCTCCTGCCCTATTATGGAACCGGTTCTTTTCGAGAGATTCCAAGGTACAAACGAGAGATCCCATGAAAACAAAAATGTTAACTCAGCTTTATTGTGAAGCCTTGATAAGCAATTCCCAAAATGTCCCAGAAGTTACTTAAGAGAGTTTTCCCAACAAACAGCAGTTACTTAGGAAGACTATTATCTCTATTCCTGGCACAAACACTTAAGAATATCTCCTACTGGAAGAAATGCATTATTGTTTCCTGCTGTTCATGCAGTATTTGATGAGGGGTGAGAAAGTTGGCACAGGAGTAGAATGCTTTTCTTTCCTTGCAGTTTCATCTCAAATAGATATTTTGACTAATTTGTCCTACTTATGAAACAAAGTTTCTAACAAAACATTACTCCTTTGTTTGGCAGCAAAATCTGGGGGTCAGAGGTGGGTATATACATACATATATGTCTTTATATATATTTTTTTTTATGGGATCAAGGTCTAATCTGAAGGTATAAATATGAGAAGACATTTTTCTAGAAACTTGTTTGCAGGCAGAGCTTACATAGCAAAGAAGACAGCTGGTGCTAGTTACGCTGGGTCAGGTTTGTGCACTACAGTGTCAAAATTTATACTAGGACATTTCTTTGTGTCTTTGAGGCATAACAAGGAAAGCAAATTAAGAGCCATCTAAACTACGACACAACGTTTTTACAAGCTATTTGCAGTGCTTCTCTGCACTGAGTCTGAACGCAAGTGATGCAGCTCCCTGAAGCAAGATCAGCATCAGTAAAGGAGAATTTAAAAAAATCATTCATTTTTAGTCTTTCTGCTGTCTTTCATTTCGAGTACGTGTAGAAGCAAAGCTGTGTAACAGCAGACAATGATTGTGTGAATATATATGAAGTGAAGAAGGGTAAGATCATTGGGTGAAGTTCGTAGTTCCGGCAAAATGATCGACTTTGCATTGTTATTGTATTTTCCACAGCTGGAAAAGAAAGTAGAGTCTTTACATCATGAAATAGAGGAGAACAACTCTGAACTGGAGACACTCCTTCAGCGGCGGGATAGAGAAAACCAAGAAGGAGGGAATTTGATAGCCATGTTGAGATCTGATATTGAGCAGTCCAAGGAGGAAAGGTTTGTACATCTTGGGTTACTCAATGCTTAGTGGTTGTTTCTTTGTTTGCTTGTTTTCTCACTTTTCATAAAGAAACCAATAGCTAGGGAAAACTAAGCCAACTCAAATTGATAGTGTAGAATGATGATAAAGATCTTATTTGCAAGCTTTTTTGAGGATTTTTAATTACCAACTTATCTTGAGATGAAGAGCAAGTTTGTGTTGTTTTTTTTTCTTCTTTTTGTTTCTTGTGGTCTGTTGAGGACTTTGCTGTTTTGGGGTTTCTGCTGTCTTGGAAAATCTTGGAAAAAGCTAGGAAATGGAAAAAGGTTTCTGAGACCATGAGGCTTTCACTGCAATGTGGATTGGTTAGATATGTCTCTGGAATGTGTGGGTTAGAGAAGCTGTCACGCTGAACAAGCTTCTAGAAGAATTTCCTCTCTCACCTTTAAGAAACTGGCTTACTGTTTTTCCTAAAACTAAAATGTTTTCCTATTTATGATTTTTGTTACCTATTCTGCTAGAACACCCCTAGTTATTTTGATGTCACAGGTACTATCAGACATTAGAATCGGCTGCCCAGGGAGGTGGCTGAGGCACCATCCTTGGAGGTGTTCAAAAGATGGGTTGATGTAGTGCTGGGAGGTATGGTTTAGTGATGGTGTTGTTTTTTATTTGTTTATGGGTATTTATTTTTGTCAAAATTAGGTTGACGGTTGGACAAGATGATCTTTAAAGTCCCTTCCAACCTAGAAGATTCTGTGATTCTATAGTAGTAGATGTGTTCTCCCTAGTGGTGCTTCCACAGACGTGGAAGCCTGAGATGCTTGTGGCTGCAGTTATGGTCTCTCCATCTAACTGTGGAGAAAACAAAGATTTTTAATTTTTTTTTGTTGTTGTTGTTGAGTCTGCCCTCTAAAAATGGCCTTAGTTTTTTGGGAGTCAACTGAATCATCTTCACTGATAACTGTCAGACTATGGCAAGATACCCATTTTAGGCTGTTGGTTTTCCAGTAGGTTCAGATTCTTTTAAATCAAGTGCATACAACTTCTGAAGCATTTGATATGCTTTTGTTCTAGGAAAAAACTACAGGAATCTTATCAGCATCTTTTGAAATTGCTTATGGAATTGGTGAAGGCCACAATAGCTATTGAGGACCTTATCTGTAGCAAGATTGGTCTTTGCCTTGATGACAGTCTGGCTTCTGGAGATTCTAGAGAAAGTCACAGTATTATGGAAGAAATTGGATTCGTGCAGTATTTCAAAGCCAAAGCAAAGCATCGCCTAGAAAAAGGTGAGTACAAAATGCATAATTGGATGTAGTCAATTCATGTTCTTGAAATCATTTCCTTTTGTATCGATGAGGTTCAGAAAGAGGATATCTGACGTTGCGGTGTTTTCTGTGTTTCTCCTAAAATTGCTTCACACTTAAGATGGTGTCTAGCAGTGTTCTTTCAATTTAATTATTTTAATAATGCAAATACAAAAATATTGTTGGAAAAGGCTGAATGGATAATAGGGCAGGAAAGATTAACTTTGTGATTACAGAGTCAGCATTAAGTTACTGATGTGTACAAGTTCTTACCTTGTAATACATCTTCAAGATCAAGTAGTGTCACTATCTGATGTCAGTTGTTATCTGAGCAGCCATTTCTTTGTCTTTTTTTCTGTGTTTTTAAATAGCTTCCTCGTCTTCAGTAGATGAGCTGCTTGATGAAACACTCACAGAACACAACCAGCTGTCTCCAGTGACTGACGAGGGGGCCGAGTTGAGCCAGTACTTATGCGAAAGTGTTTTTGCAAAGCCAGAATTGGCATGTGAAAATGAAGAAATTATTCTGAAAATTTGTCATCGTTTGCGCACTGCAGTGGAGAGACTTCTGGAACTGGTTACAGAATCAACTAAACAAGTAAAACTTTTTAATCTGTATAGATGTATAATTAGACTGAAAACATGAAACCTGTTTTAAGGCTTGTGTATTTAGCACCCTGTAGGATTGACTACTAAAAAGAAACGGGTTTTGTCTGAATACATGACAGTTTATCAGCATAGGGAGGCATGTGCATCCCCTGTTCCTTACAAAGAAGGTTGTGGCTTTATTTGATCATTTCTTATAAATGAGATTTTACTTTTTTTTTTTCCTTTTAGCAAGTCCTGTAGGAGGCCTGTAAGTTGGTTGCCTTAAGTAGATTTTAACTATGATTGTTAGATGTATTTGGTAGCTTAAGAAGACCAAGAGTTAAGAGTTTTTGAGGGGTTTTTATTGTATGTTACATCAGTGCTTCTTCAACGTCGATAGGCAGGTTCAAGAAAACTCCATCCCTTGTTAAAATGTTATGGGGTTATATATAGAACAAGAAGAAAATGTAATTATATACTGCTTAATTGTGATAAAAGGAGCTGGACTCAATATTGCAAAAGAATTGAAGTATTTCCATACTGAGTTTTGCAGTGTGTAGACATTCACTTTGGGAAAATAAGTTGTAAATCTGATGTGGATGCCTGAGTACTGTCTACATTTAGAGGACTGAATTTAGTGCTACTGTAATTAGTTTGTTGAGTTAGGAAGCCCTTAATTTAAGAGAAAATGTGAAGGGAAGGAATGTATCTGAAAAGTCATCTTCTCATCAGGTATTTTATGCAACCCAGAGATAAGCATCTGTGTGAAATGTATATTCACCATCTTAAAAAAATCCCTCCAAGAGCGAGGTGCTTAAATTTGTGTTTTGGGTACTGATGCTGGTTCCGCTAGCATGTAGCTAACTTGTGGTTAAAGCACTTGCCCAAGCCATGCCAGATCTGGCTTCTATGTCATATTTGTAAGCTGCATTCAAGAATATTTTGCTTACGTATGTGAAATATCCTATCCACCAGGATAAAGTAAATATAAACTAATGGTAACAGGGTCGGTCTGTTCCTTTCCTTGGAACTTGAGACACTGCATGTAGGAATGCAAGATACATAGTCTCAGAGAACTGGTGCCATGCCTTGGAAACCTGATGATGTATTGACTTCACTGTCTATTAGACATGCCGGAATCTCTTGAAGGATTTAAGTGCAAGGATAGTGTGAATTTCAGGAGGCTCAGGAATTGTCAGGTTGAGCAGTTTAGCCAACAGAAAGATATGTCGTCTTATGCAGACTAAAGAAACTTATGTCCCTAAAGAAGATTTGTGGCAAAAATACAAGTATGTGAGGACAGGGAGTCACCAAAGTGTCCGGGGATTTTGGGCAAAGTCAACCTAGTACTGAAATGAAACTTCAAAACCTGGACCTTAATGCATTAATGTTATAAAAACTTAAGAAAGTTTTTGTTTTGATGTCTATAATATTGCTACATTGCATGTGCATCCAAGATCTGGTGCATGGGGAAATTGTTTACTTCTAGCTGGAGAAAATGCATGAAAACCATGTGCAATTTGAAGAAGAATTCAGCCAACGAAATTGGGAAACTGCCCAAGTGGTTAGTCAGCACCAAGAGCTAATGGAGTGCCTCAGCGAGGAAAGTGAGGCAAAGAATCAGCTGGCACTGGAGCTTCATAAAGCAGAGGGTAAGAAAATGAAACCAGTGTGAAGAGATTTCAGTGACGTTTATTCATTGCTTATTCCTCCAAATATCTGTGATATGCTTTTTGTGTCTTTTGTTGTTGATTTGCCTGTCTATAATCCATTCTCTGTGTTTCAGATCACTAAATTACTTGAAGCATGGATCTTGCAAATTACTACCTAATTCTCTTCATGCATTTCCTTGGACAAGTGTGATAGTGTTTAGTCCTATACTTAGACCATTGACTGCGTGTGAAAAATACTATAATTTTAAAAATAGCTGTTTGCCTTCCTGCATATCTAAACATGGGAGCTTGGATTATTGAAAAGAAGATATACTCCCAGTGTAAATCAGCCCACCCGTCTGACCTTGGAAGGGTTCAGCATAAACTAGAGCAGCATTTGATGGTTGTGCAGGCATAAAGTTCCATGAGGAATGACAAAAAGGCTGAGGCTATTGATCTCGATGCTATCACACGGTGTCGTCAGTCTGAGTCACCTAGTGAAGATTACAACTTGAGGTCTTCGCCTTCATGTAGGAGAATCTTTGAGGGTTTATGTGTCCTTCAAGTTGAGCTTCTCTCCCTAATCACAGCATCTGCTTTCCATTCCTCTTCTCAGTCATTCTCCTTTGGGCTTATTTGGTCTTTCCAAAATCCTATTTCCTTCCTTTCTGTGAATCATTCCTGGATTACTTTGGCTCTGAATCTAACACTTGATCTTACTTTCTGGAGATTCTGTTTCTTTGAACCTCAGTGCCCAGCAGAGGATGTGTCAGTCTGTCCTATGTTGTGAGGTGATCCCAGACCATTAAGGCCTAACGATCCCCATATATATTCTATGCGTTCGGAGATATTTGGTGACATGGCAGCTTCATAAAATCTGTTAGAATACATTAACTGATACATTTTTATCTTAAGCTACTTCAGAAAGCCTAGCTACACTGTTTAAGTCATCTTGCACTCCTTCCTTTCTGTCACCTTGCCTTGTTTGCAAAAAAAAAAATGTTTACTCATGTTTTTAAGCCGTTTTTTTTTTTCCAATAGATGAATTTATCTATTGCTTTATTTGCCTTCTGACTTGGGATTTTAGGCATTATCGAAGGCTATGTTGCAGAAAAAGCAGCATTGGAAGAGGCCTTGAATTTGAAAGAGGAGTCTGAACGACGCCTTGTTGTGGAGCTGGAGAATATGCGTGAACGCTTCCGGGAGCTAACCCAAGAGCAAGCAATTCTTGGTGAGGAGTGGGTATGACACTATCAGCAGAAAGTAAAATTGTCTGTAGTTAGGGCACACCTCAGTGTGTTTCTGTGACATACCAATCTTCGGTTTGACCTGATGAACAGCTCAATCTGGTACAAAAGTTAGTAGGGTCTTCCCTAACAAAGCAGCTGGTTCTTTCCTTTTAAGGTGATCATACTGTTAGTGAAGATTACTGATGTAGTCCTATGCTTAGTTAGAAATGGAAAGTGTCTGAGAAAATAAGAATCATGTATTAACTACAGGTAGTTGGTTGCAACAGCTAATTAGCACCTAGTTAACTGAAATGCTGGTTATTTGACCCTGCAGTCAAAGAGAAGAGTTGGAGCATCAAGGTTTTTGACTGCTTCCAGGTCTAAGGAGAATCACAGAAGAAATAAGTTGCTCCTGGAAGATTCTTTAAATTATGGAAAAAATTGTGGTTCTGACGTGTACTTTGTTTCAAACATAAGCTTTTCCCCGTTCCCCAGCACTGTCCTGTCAAAACAATTGCACACGTGATCAGTAAGGGTGACTGTGGAAAGATTTTAATGATCGCACTCAAAGTCTGTTTAGGTTTTAAAGGAAAGTACATAGGCTGAAAAGGTAGATAAGAGGATAAGGTCGGGCAAGTATCTTAAACGTTTATATAGAGGGTGAAAAAAGCCAAAGATAGCCACTGAAATCAAACTCCGATAAGTAGGTGCAAATAAGCAGTCTGCATAACTCCTTCTGCATCTGCATCACTCCTTTAGCCCCACAGAGCATGTGATGCAATGCTATTTGTATAGACAACTTGCATTTTGTAGGAACTCGAGACTAGCTTATGCTGGTTCTTAATGATGAATCTGTGAATCATTTAAATAGCATTATATAGTTCTGGCTTCTTGAATTTGCAGCCTTAATATTATTCTAGTATTTCTATAAGTGAATTTCTCTGTATTCCAGTAGAAATTTTATTATTTGAGATCACTGTCTTTCCATTTCTGCTAATGCCAACCTTACACAACCCTCAGCTATGTCACCACAGTGGCGCCTTCAGCTATGTTGTATAGATCTTTACTGCCTGAGCAGAGTACATAACAGGTATCTGTACATAGCACATGCTTAGGTTAGAAATAAAGACATCAAGAAACAGTTTTTATAGAATCATAGAATGGTTTGGATTGAAAGGGACCTTAAAGATCATCTAGTTCCACCCCCCCTGCCATGGGTAGGGACACCTTCCACTAGACCAAAGCCCCATCCAGCCTGGTCTTGAACGTTTCCAGGGATGGGATTTCTGGTGAATTTCTCCATTGTTGGTACTAGAGGAACGTAAAAACTCTAGGTTTCAGAGAATGGATCCAGATACAGGGAGGGGTGTGTTTGACTGGACACAGTCTGTATGTTGCAATTATCTGTCCACTTCTCAGGAGCCTCTGTTGTAGACTCCTGCCTGGCTTTCAGCCCTCTTGTATCATTCCTCTGCAACTCTTGTCTGCCTCTTGTTTCTCCCCCACCTCATCTGCTCTTCTTCTCTTCACCTCTCTTCTGACTCTTAATTCCACCATTGTCCTCTTCTTGTTGGCCACCATCCTTCTGTGTTCTTCCTTTTGGCTTCGCTATATAGTGCAATGAAAATGCTTGTGTTGTACATAGAATGGTTTGAGTTGGAAGGAATCTTTAAAGGTCCTCTAGTCCAAACCTCCTGTAATGAGCAGGGACATCTTCAACTAGAACAGAATAGAACATTTTCAGTTAGAAGGGACCCACAATGATCATCTAGTCCAACTGCCTGACCTCTTCTGGGGTGACCAAAAGTTAAAACATGTTATTGAAGGCATTGTCCAAATTAAACACTGGCAGTCTTGCGGCCTTGGCCATGTCTCTAGGAAGTCTGTTCTTGTGTTTGACCACCTTCTCAGTAAAGAAGTGCTTCCTTATGTCCAATTTCAACCTCCCTTGGTGCAGCTTTGAACCGTTCCCACTCATCCTATCACTGGATTCCAGGGAGAAGAGCTCAGCACCTCCCTTTCCACTTCCACTGTTCAGGAAGCTGTAGAGAGCAATGAGGTCACCCCTCTGCCTCCCTCTCTCACAGCTAGGCAAACCCAAAGTTCTTAGCTGCTCCTCATAGGACATTCATTCTAGACCTTTCACCAGCAACTAGATCAGATTGCTCAAAGCCCCGCCCAACCTAACTTTGAAAGTTTCCAGGGACGAGCCATCTACAGCCTCTCTAGGCAACCTGTTCCAGTGTTTCACATCATCATAAAAAAATTTCTTCCTTGTGCCTACGCTGAGTCTAACCTCTTTTAGTTTAAAACCATTACCCCTTGTCCTTTTGCTACAAGCCTTATTAAAAATTACCGCACCTATGTTAGTATTAATCATTGTGTAATCTCTGACCACTCATATGCCATCTTCTTAGTATCTTACTATTACCTAAAGAGAAAATTCAATAGTGGTCTTGCATCTTGCAGATTGTCCTGGCTTACAGAGTCTACGCTCATTTACCCCAGTAAGCAAAGGAAGAGATGGGGGCAGACCTTTCTTCCTCAGGGAAGCAGAATGTAAACAGATTCAGGATCTGTTACTGAAACTAAATGCATGTCGTGCTTTATTTACAGCAGTGATTATGGCCTCAAGTAATATTTCCTATGGGAAACACAAAATAATTTCATCATATTGTTGAATGCAAGTACATCTTTGTGTTATGGAAATGTATGGCATATTGCATAGTCTGTAAGTCTGTGCCTGCCCGTCTGACTCCTGCTTTGAATCTCCCGGCAGGAACTAAAAGGAAGGTTTGAGGCAATAATTATTCCATCTCTGGGGAAAATTGCTAAAAGAGAATATTAATTGTCTTAAAAAATGCTTAAGTGACTAGCCAAACAAACTCACATGGTTATGATGTAAAACCATTTCTATAGTAGCTCTAGTCCGATTACAGACATGGATCAATGCATGTCATGAAGAGCTTTGTGTCTTACTAAAGATGAAGTACACTTTTGCTGAATAAAAGGTAGGCACTATCTGTATTACATATGTGACCCATTCCATCTTCTAAATCACTAAAGATTCAATGTCCTCTTCTTGTCCTGTACATGTTTGTGTGGTTTGATTTCTAGGAACACCTGTTGCTAATGTAGCACAGAAAGAAGGTTCAGGTTTGTAAAGATGAGTGTGGGTTTTTACTAGTTTGTGTTGCTGTAACACTAAGTGAATGAATTGATAGTTTCAATTTTTTTTTAACAAAGAGGAATGGTACTTTGTAAATTAGTGAATTACTGGGGCTATGAATAAGATGGCCAAGATGGCAAAAAATTACAACTTTTGTGACACATTAGAAAACAACTAAAATGAAGAATATTCAATTCACTGATCGATTTTTAAAGGGAAAAATGTTTTGCTGCTGTTAGGCTTAAAGTGCATTGTACCATTATCTTTGTGTTTGCTAGCTTTTTGTTTTGAGGGGATGGAGTGAGTTGTATGCTTGCTTCTAATGATACACAGGGGGCTGTTAAAATCATTAATTTAAAGGGCAGTGAGAAAAATATTTGAGTGGATGTAAAATGGAGAGTTAAAAAAATACAGCAAGAACTGAAGGAAGTCTAAGGGAGACTAGAGAAATGTAATTGAATTGATAGGTAGATCAGAAAAAAGAAGGGGAGAGCAGAATAGTTAGGAAGGCTAGTTATGGGAGGAGATCAAACTGAAAACAAAACATGAAGCATCAGGTTTTATGCTGACTTTGGAAATGTAATGCTGAAGTAAAACTTGCAGGTGCTAAACTTAGAGGCATCATTTTTTGGTTTGGTGGGGGTTTTTTGTTGTTTTTTTTTAACTGCTTAACTAAAGTATGCATACTTAACTCCTGAGGAGCAAACATCTAGATCTGGTGCATTCATGGCTGCCATGATTAGGTTTTGTGGTCTAATCTAAATATAATTCTCTTATCATGTTTTTAGATTAATTTTATTTACATGCATATATATTCATAGATATGTTCTCTTGCATATTCACTTTCTAGACTTTTTCTTTTCCCCCCAAAGAGGGGGTAACTGGGTAAACCAAGGTAAATAAAAAATAATTACCTAGGTAAATTCCAGTTAGAGTTAAAAAGCTGCACTGGGCTGTCTTGCCCATTACTATACCTTTATTCCTTCTGTCTATTCCTCAAACACTATTTTTATTTAATGTATTTTTGGCAGCCACCTCACTGTCCAGAAGTTTGCTGCTGCCCACTCAATGAGAGGGAACGTCTAACCTAACTTGTTAGAGTGTGTTTGAGGACTGATGTTCTCCTGGTAGCTGTAGTCCAGCAGTTCCTTAGAACTTGAAAAGTTGCGTTTGCTACACGTCAAGGGCCGAGCCCTCAAAATCATCCCCTTTCCCCCAGCCCAGCCATCATAGTACTCTTTCTCTGGTTTGGAATTGTTTGTAGTATGTGGAAAATATGATAAATAAATAATATAATTTGGAGTTGATTAACGTGACTTACTCCTTGCAAAGCTGATGTCTCCTCCCTTTTTTTATGTGGAGTACTAATGTGAGTAGAATAAAATGCATCTTTGCATCTATCTTGTTAATAAAATGCATCTTTGTAACAACTTTGTTATTTTTGTGTTCTTATTCAGGTCTACTTAAGGAAGTAGAATTTTTAGCAAAAGAGAAATTAGAGCTTCAGTGTCAGGCAGAAAAGGACCATTCCGATTTACGCTCTCAAATAAGAGTTTTGGAGGTGGAACTGGAAGAACAGCTACATAGTAATGAAGACCTAGCTACACAGTTATTGGTGGTTGCTGAATTGGAACAGCAAGTTCAAGTTCTTGAAAAACAGCTTAAAAAACAGCGGCAATTCATGGATGTAAGCAAGCTTGGTACCACATTTTCATCATTTTTGGATGTGATAAGTACTCCTCCTAGTTTGTGACTGAGACTTGGAAGATGGTTCCTAAAATAGGATACTTCCCTTTTTGTTTGAAAATAAGACCTTGGTATTATAGTCTTGTAAAAGAAAAAAAAAAAAGCTAGTTTTTTAATTCCCTTTTTGTAGTATTACAGGATCATTTTTGTCCTTTTTATTACTTTCTAATGGTAGTCTCTATGTATATTGGAGTAAAAAAGTTGTGTTTTTTTTTATTTTACCTGTAATTTTAGCAATACTTTCAGGACTGACTACTGTGCTCACTTACAAATAACTAACACTGTTTAGTTTCTTCACCACAAAAGCAAATGCCAAATTTTTCTTGTATTCAATATTTTAATGAAACGCAAAGTTTTTTAAAGATTTTTCATTATCTCTGGCTCCATTTACAGGAACAAGCTATAGAAAGGGAACATGAACGTGATGATTTTCAGCACGAAATTCAGAAACTGGAAGAACAGTTAAAACTTTCAGCAAAATTGCAGACTTCAGGAGAGCCCAGAGAGTACAGGGTGAGTAAAATCACACTTAATGGCCAAAGGAGTTTGGTTACTACAATTAAATACCATAACCTGTATTGTCTCGGGTGACTGTTTAATTTTTTTTCTTAGCTGTCACCCATAGAGCAGATTTTCCCCCAGCTTTACTGGTCTCCATTTAGGCAGTGAGGGTATACTTATTTCATATGGAGACGGAAGGAAATATTTTATTTGCGTTACAGTAAAGTTTCACAGCATATGAGTCTGGTTTAAATTAACTGAGGAGGACAACAATACAGACACTCTGCTCTACAAAACACACCTTAGGGATGACTTCTGGATTCTAAATATGTCTAATTTTCCCAGCTATACAGTTGAAATAAGATGTTCTTTGTTTGCATGCCTTGTCCTATTTAAGTTTATAAATCAGTCCTCTTTTTCACATGTTCATTTGTTTGATGCTTGGTCTCAAAGATTAACTTCTGCTTTTTTGTGGGGTTTTTTTTTTGTGTTGCTGTTGCGTTTTTTTCACATAAATGAACATTATATAAAACTATGAATTGATTCTATGAATGGAAAACAGCATGAACATCTCTTAAACTTTTCTTTCCTTTTCCTTTCAATCCCTTCCATTAGTTAGATCTACTTTGGCTTTTTTTTTCCTGTGCTTGATATGTCAAGGCTACTTTACCTTGACTGAGAGACAAGAATATGTGTTTTAGGGTGACAGAACTAGTGCAGGGAGTGAGGAACAGCTTTCAGTTTAATTTCCTGTACAGGAATGCTTCATTCTTATGCTTATTGCTAAATTAACTCTATAGAGAGGGTTTTTTTGCTTTAGTTAATATTTGTACAATACTTTGGAGATGTAAAGCTCTATATTAATACAAAGGATTTTTCTTTCATAATATTGAAGTGGAATTTGCATAAATTCAGATACTTATTGATGATCAAAGCATTTATTTTGTAAAATCTCATATTTCTTGCTCAATGGTATTGAGCAAATTATTTCTCCTTTAGAAGGTTTCCCATTGCTTTTCTATCCAAGCTTGCTTTCTTGCTTAATGACGTTATCACTTCTTATGTAGTCTGTCTGTCATATATGGTTCTTTCCTATCTCTGTTATGCACCAAAGCACTTAGCCTTGCCTTCATTTTAATTACTGGGGTGAATCAGTGACTGTTTTCCTGCAGCTCTGTGCATGATTGGATCTCAGTGAGCTCAAATGCAAAATTGTTATCCTCCTCGTTATTGAACATACCTGTTCTATGTTGACTACTGTTAATTCTCTCATGTGTAGACATTGAGTATGTTACATTGCATATTTGTCATTCAATTCTTAGTAGCTTCCTTTAAAATGGAATTCCTTGAAGTAATGGAAGAGGGTTCTGAGGTTACATAAATGCATCTAATGATTTAGTAGTAACTCATGTAATCTTGGAGTTTTTTAATCTTAAGCAAGCAAACAGACAAACAAAAAACCCTCACACTTTTGATGTCCTTGAGAGTATGTCCTCATACCGCACTTTGCTAGAATGCTGCAAATTCTGAGAGAGTAATCCAATGTGTATTTAAGAGCTGCTGCACTTGGAAAACAAGATTTCAGAAAGTTACTTTTTCATCTTTTCTGTCCACATTTGGTTTTATTTTCATCTGTAATTTTAGCATACTAAAGGCCATAGTATAACTCCACCTGCTTTGCCATGAAACTACTCTTGCTTCCGATTGGGTTTGCTATATTGCCTGAATATCTGTATAATGTCATTTCTGTATAGGTAGAATCCTTGCAAGCAGAAATAAAAGGGAAGATGGATGATTACAATAAGCTGTTATTAGAAAAGGAGCAAAAACACCAAGAAATTGCAACTCGTGATAAAGAGGTAGAAAAACTGATGGCACAGATACAAGAACTGGAGCACAGCAGTACTGAAGCCTCAAAGACTGTACATTATTTGGAACAACAACTGCAAAAAATGAAGAAAGTGGAAACAGAATTAAAACAAGTAATTTTAAAATACTTTAAATGGGAGTGGCATTGTGCACACAGTGTCTTCATGGGGGGATATCAAGGACTGCATTACAGTGTTGTTTAAGACTATACCTGGCACCTAGTGCTGAGTTAAACTGTTGTACCAAGGGCAGGTATCACAGCCACAGTTTTAAACAAACTCTGGTTTTATGAACTATAAGCCTACTTACTGCTTTTTGACAATTGTCATGTTTACATGGATCGGAGCTGCTCTTTTGCTTCTCTGGGAAGTTCCTGAGAAGATAGTGTTATTGAATATTAACCATAATATTCAATAAATAACTGTGTTTAAAATCATGTGATCTTAGTTGGTAGCTCTTCTTGCTATGGACTTTTGGAGCCAGATCTGTTTGCCATACTCTGAAACGTTTTGTTGCTACTTCAGATTGAATCACAGCTTAGAGTTAAGAATTAAATTCCATTTAGCAAAAGTATTTGTCTTTTGCCAAACATCAGAGTACCCTTTTCTGTCTTCTTAAACTATCTGTTTCACTTTCCTCCCAGCAATTTTCCTTGGTTAAATATTGTTGGTGTGTCTGTCAAGTTTGAAGATTTGACAGTGGCGTGTTGTAAACTAAATTTATTAGTTTAATTGCTGATTCTGTAAATATTTGCTTTGATTATTTTTCATTTTAAAAATATTGAACAAAATATTGTTTTGTTTTAGCTTCAGCTGATACAGAACAGGCAGTCTTAGTTTATTAGGTACTATCATTCCTATCTAATTGGCATCTGTGAGAAGACATCTGGAGACATGCTTGGTTTTGGAATTTCATGTACAAGAAAGACATTGGTGTACTGGAACAAGTCTAGCAAAGGACCATCAAGGTGGTCGGGGGCTGGAGCAAATGATTTTTGAGAGGAGGCTGAGAGAATGGGGTTTGTTTAGCTTTGTGGAGACCTTACTGTTGCCTACAACCACATAATATGAGGTTACAGAGAAAATGGAGTCAGACTTGGAGGTGCACAGTGAAAGGATGAGGATATATGAGCATAAACTGCAACAAGGGAAATTCCAATTAAATGGTAGGGGAAAATGGTCATACTGGGGGCGGTGTTGAAAATCAGGCTTAGAGTGGCAATGGTCCCAAGTTGGTCTGCTCTGAATCAGAGGTTGGACCAGAGCGCTCTAGAGACCCTTCCCAGCTTAATCTATTTTGTGATTTATTTTTTTTTTATCCAAATATACAAAAGCCATGCCCATTAGCTTTCTGTCTGGCTTGCCTTGGAGTGGATGGAGATGGTGATACTGTTGTGGCCAAGTTGCTCCTTTCTCTGAAAACTTAGCTTTCTGTTAAACAGAGTTTCTTTATATTGTAAGTTCAAAGTGTTCTTTTAGCTGTCTGAATGTGCCAATATTTTGGTCCTTCTTAAAAACCCTAAATAAGCCAAATTCAGACTCTTTTTTGTTTGTTTTCTTTTTTTTTTCCCCAAGAAACTAATTCATCAGTTTTAGACAAGGTTATATTATTTGATTTGCCAACTGTAGGCATTGTAATAGCTTGTCTTGAAGCAATTTCATGCAGTAAATATGTGCCAGCAGACTTCTAAGAATAATTGCATGTTATGAAATTTTTCTGTAAAAATGCACTTGATGTGAATGGCAATTACGGATTATTATTGTCCCCCAAATTCCAACATACGAAAAGTGTAGGTGTTGCAAATAATGGAGACCAGCTCTAATCAAAAATAGGTCTGAAAAAGTAATTTTGAATATGGAACAGTATATTTTTGCTAAGAACATTGACTAAACTCACAGCTAGCAGATCCATTTATCCCGCTGTCATGTGCGTGGAGCAGGTCTTTGCTTTTACCTAGTCCAGTTCTTTTCAGTTGTTTGGGTTGTTGATATGTAATATTGACAATCTGGGTAGGGTTGTGCTGGGAGTGTTGCTCATCCTTTGGCTTGAGGTCTTAAAAACGAGGCTCGATTAGGGAGGCTGCGATCCTAGGGGTTTTGGTCTCAGTGAAAGAAGGTAGAGCCTTAGACTGTGTCTGCGTGGGCAGGTTTTACAGTGAAGGTGCATTACATAAAGCTCTGATTTTTGCCTGAGTTGCCACTTGTTTTTGCTGAGTTGCTGTAGCAACCTCAGAACATAGCAACTGGAGAGAAACTTCACTCTTGCCTCGAGTGTGGTGCAGGCACTGGGAGCAACGGCTGGCCAGTAACGCAGGAACGCCTGAGGTAGGGCAGCCCACTTCTGCAGGAGTCTGGTTTTGCACCTTGTTCTTTTGTCACTTATCAAGATGAGCAGATCATGTTATTTTTAGCTGATATAAAACAAAAGAAGGCTCTTTTGTTGCCTGGGTTTTGTTATTAGTGTGCCTTTCATGCACGGGAGCAGGACACCTGAGGGGCTGGTTAGTATCATAGATTTCTTGTGGTGGCAAGAAGAGTTTTCATTTTTCCTTTCAGGAAAAACAAAATTATTTCTGTGATAGGTGTTTTCCTACCTAAACAAAGTGCAGGTGATGTTTCCATAATTATTACATTGTTTTTATCCTGCCAGTGATACAGGGTGTGACTGCTCCAGCTGTGTACCCTGACTGGCTGTCTCCCCCAGGATCTCCTTCCCTCCGGTGTGCTGTGTGTGCAGCAGGGACTGGCTGGGGGCCAGTGGGTAGGAACCAGGTGGCCTCTTTAGTATGGAGGAGAACTGCTTTAAATACCTGTTTAGTTTTCATTTTTCCTTTCAGGAAAAACAAAATTATTTCTGTGATAGGTGTTTTCCTACCTAAACAAAGTGCAGGTGATGTTTCCATAATTATTACATTGTTTTTATCCTGCCAGTGATACAGGGTGTGACTGCTCCAGCTGTGTACCCTGACTGGCTGTCTCCCCCAGGATCTCCTTCCCTCCGGTGTGCTGTGTGTGCAGCAGGGACTGGCTGGGGGCCAGTGGGTAGGAACCAGGTGGCCTATTTAGTGTGGAGGGGAACTGCTTTAAATACCTGTTGTTGGGCGTGCTGCTTTGATACTGCGATACAGCATTAACTTTGTAATTCATTTTTCATTTTTTAATTGATGCTTCTTTTGTTTTAAGAACAGATGATACTATATATGTACTCTGGGTTTTAGTTCTCTTTGATTAGAGAAAAGATGGTTAAATTTTACTTTTTTTTTTTTTGGCAAATCAGGAGTCTAAAATAACCCCTTAGTTAGAGGTATGTGTATTGAGCTATGGAGAGAATAATATTGAACAGCAAAGGCAGTTACTGCCTTAGATTTCTTGTCCAGCTTTCCTTTATTGTATTAAGTACAGATATGTATGCCTGCTGTTTGGACAACGCTCCAAGTGAAGCTTCTTCCTTGGACTGACACAGTTCCTGAGAAGGACTGTGATAGAAAAAGGACCAATAGAGAAGTTTCTAAAATAAACAAGTAAAATTGTGGTAGCTTGACAGACCACGGATCTGACAGAAACTTAGTGCTGCTGCTTCACATTCTGACTTAACGTGAAGTATTTGTAGTAGGTTTTTGATGTACCCAAAACTCTACATCTCTTAAAGTAAACCAAGTCTCCACCTCTTACATTTAGCTTGGTAAATGTATGGTATCATAATAAATTTGGAAATGGCTACAAGAACAAGATGTTTATATTATTAAACATATAAAACACTTTGTAATTGAGAAATTATAGTATAACACTTAATGCTAAACTTTCTTAAGTTTTTAAACTTGGGGTAGAAAAAAATAAAGGGGTAAAAACGTGAGCCAAAAAAAAGTAATTTGTTTTGCATTCCTATTTCTTTATAGGCCATTGGGATTATATACTTTTTTTTCTTGTTCTGGGACTTGTTAGGGATGATGATGAAGTATTTTTGGCAGGATTGTTCTGGTTAGGTGGATATGTATATTGACAAGAATTACTTCTAACATACAAAAAAAATATTTTGAAGGATAAAGAGGCATTGCAACAGCAACAGTACAACAACCTCATTCAGATCTCAGCTCTACAGTCAAAACTGGATGAAACAAGGCACAGAGTACCAGCAGATGGCAGTTCTGACCCAGGACTAAAGGAGCAGCTACAAGCAGAGCAGGAAGCACTTCGGGCAAAGGAGAGAGAGGTGAGAGTTTTGGTAGGGTCCTGTGAAATTTTGAGTAACTGACATCATTGCAGAAACATGTTGTCAAAACTTGTAGCTGGGAATTTTAGAATTCAAAAACTTAGTGACTAATGTTGTAGTAAATGTGTCGTCTTACCCAGTATTCTCTATGCTTTGGTGTTAACTCACCTTCCTTTTTCTTGCTTTTCTTTTTGCCGTAGCCCTGTCTGTCTCCCCTCCCACTGGAAACTGTCTTGTGCTGACTCACATCCACTTTGAGACTGATTGATCAGTATCTGTTGTAAATTGATTTTTTTTCTTTCCTTCCAAAGTTGAAATGGAGGCAGTTATATTTTTATTTTACTTTGAAGAGTGAGCAATAATTTGCTTAAAAACAGAAGGGACAATTACCCATAATGGTGTCATCTGACCTTCTCTGTTTTGTGAGAATGTTAGCAATGAGTACTTGTGTTGTGTCAAGCTAAGCTGAAATGCAGTGTAATTGGTCACATTATTTAGAACTTTTATTGGATTTACAGACACAGATACATACATACACATCCCTCTTAATGTTTATGTAATTATTATAGTATCTGTATATATCTGTAACATAGAGTCCTGTTTAGGATGCGCAAAGAAGAAAAGCGTGGGTGGTGCACCAGTTAATTGTACACCATTGTTTCAAGAGCAGTAAGATAATAAGAACTAATTTCTTATAGATGCAACTTCCAAGTCTCTTACGAAGTCTGACTTCAGGAGTCCACTAAGCCTTTTTCATTCCCGAAACCCCTCTTCCTTGCTACCTGCTAAGGCAAGAGATGATAAAACCTGTGAGTGTCAAGATCACAGTGTTTCCAAAAAGCTCTTTGCTTTAAAACAGCTACAAACAGAGAAATGTATAGTTATTGACTCTTCTACAGGCTGATGGAGTCCATGCTCAGAACTTTGTTGACTGCTATGTTACTGGGATTAGTACTGCAGTGTTATTTCTGTCTTCTAGGAGGAGGAGAATGGTGATGGCGTTAACTGCTTGTGATTACATTAGATACCAACTGCTAACATGTCTCTTCTTGTTATGCCAAATTACATCTGTGGTCAAGCCTTCTTTATTCAGAACAGAGTAACATATCTTTTATGAGCAGTTATGTGGTTTTAGAAGAAAATGAACAACCACCTTTGCAGTACTCAGCAGGTTTTGCAGCTGAGGAGCTGGAACGCTACCTTCTTATTTTACGCCTCAAGTATTTTATTAACGCAAATTGATTAGGGAGAGTTTAAATCATAGAATTTGCTGAAGTTACTTGCTTTTGGTAAATAAGGTGATAAGTTTTATCTTTTCTGCTTAAATGACAGGACTTAATTGAAACAACTATGCATTTTCTTCTTTTTTAGATTGCAAGCTTGTTAGACCAACTAGAACAATATAAAGATAATTTGATCAGTAAAAACAAGGAGATACTTCAGCTGAACTTGCAGTTAGAGATGCAAAAAAACCTGAGCACTTCCAGCATCAGCCAGCTTCAGTTAGAGAATGCACAGTTGAAGGTAGGTTTCCTTAGCTTTAGTGTGCATGAGCTAAAACTTCAGAGACCTCTGTTCATGAGTGCTGTGGTCTTCATCTCTTGGTGTTATAAACAAATACTTAATTTTGTTTCTGTCGTCAAGGGAATATTGGATTACTGTTACCAGGCTAATACTGGTTATCGTAGAAAAAAAAGCACCCAATACTCTAGATTCATGCTTATGGCAATATCTTCTACAGTAATTTGATTTAAATAAAAAGCTTATCTTTTCCCTGGTCCTAACAACTACAGTGTTGTCATTTAGTAGATACTGTACAGTTTTGTGTGCATTCCTGACTTCTACAGCCATAGCAAGTGTTATAAGTTAGAAAACTGTTTGGTTGTTGATCTGGCAACTACCATATTCATCTCTTGAAAGCTGAGAAATGTTGTGGCAATCTGATCCAGCAGTACAAATCTAAACAAAGTAGCTGCAGTTGTGTTCTCGACTTCTATAACATTATAGTAAGGAGGGGAATGTTTAAATAAAGCCCTTCGTTCAGTTCTGCCATTAGGTTGGAAGAGAAAGTAAGTCCTTTCTAATGAGATTGCTGGTTTTTCTCATCAGGAGGACCTAGCAAAACTTCATGTGAAGCAAAATCAGGATCTGAATATTACTGATTCCTCAGCCTTGTCATTCCCACAAGCACTACTTAAAGAGAAGAATCAAGAAATTGATCACTTGAATGAGCAGATGAAGAGGCTGCAGCATGAGCTAGAGAATACTATGGATAATAAAGTAAGAATAGTTACTATATGTTTATTGCTTGATTTTGAGGGAAGCATGGTATACAAATTCTTACTGTAAGTGAAATGTATTTGATAATTCTCTTAGGAAAGTAGAGAGTATTCTGAGTAGCTACCAGCTGAAGCGTGCAATTCTTCCTGCTATTAAGTGTGTGAATTAATGCTTGCGTGATTCGGAAGAAAAATGTAATTAAAACTCTATGTACAATATTAATTCTGCCTACATACAGTAATATTCAGACCTTATCCTTTTGCTTAGGTTGTGGAAGACCAAAAATCTGAAATTAAAGAACTCAAATCTCTTGTTGAGCACCTTCGTGGTGACCAGGAAAGGCTGCGTAAGGACAACGAGGAAGAGGTAGAACAACTCCATGGAGTAATTGAGAAGCTTCAAAAAGAGCTGGCACAAATTGGACCATTATGTCATGAAGTTAGTGACAACCAAGATGGTCTCTATCAACTTGCATTGGGAAAGCCAGTGGAAAACCTTCAGAATGAGTTGACAAAGGGACTGGAAGATTGTCAGGGTGATATTGATCCAAATGGAAGAAACGCATTGCTGCTCTCCAAAGTGAGAGAACTTCAGGAGGAACTAGAGCTTGTCTCAGCTGCTAGAGAAGCTCTTCAGCAGCAACAGGAAGAGAAGGAATCACAATTCAAAATGGAAGTGGAAATTTTGGAGAAAAAATGCCAGAAATTACAAGAGTCATCAGAGCAGCATGTTGCAGAGCTAGCTGCTCTGAGAATACAGCACGATGCACTTCAGGAAGAGTACAGCCTTTTCCAAACACATTTTTCTCAGAGACAGGTTGAAAAGAGGACAACATTTTCTCATGTTCAAGAACTTAAAGATACTGTGATAGAAAGGAAAGAAGCAAATCTTCTAGAGAAAGATACACAAATGAAGAGAATGGCAGATCAGAGAGAAGCTGAGGCAACCGAGTTGCAGAACTTAACAGAAGAGGCAGCAGAGCTTCAAACTGAGTTGGAAGAGAGTGCAAATCAGGCTCAAGATGTTTATAGTCTTCAGTTGGAAGTTTCTAGACTTGATTTCCAGGTGCAAGCACTCAATCAGAAAGAAGTAGCTTATCAGAAAGAAATCAATGAACTGCGAGAGAGCACTGCAAAACTGAAAGATCAAAATGAGGCATATGTGAAAGAGCTTGAAGCCTTACAACTGGAAAGAGGTGAACTTATTTCACAGCTGGAGTCGTACAAGCCAAAGGAACAACATGATCATGAAGACACTAACCTTCTCAAGCCGTTCTGCCAGAGAGAAAGAAAAGGCAAAGCCCATATAAAAGGAATGGAGGAACTGGAAGAACTGAAAGAAAATGTTGATAAGTCATTTGCAGTACTGGCTTCCCCTACTGATAAGCTGGTAAGTGATTTGTTTTTTAATAGTATTATTTGTTTTTTAAAATAATCCAATTTTATGTGTCATAAACCCCTATAGCTTATCCTTTTCAGTGCTGTAAGAAAAGGTGAAAATGAGTACTGTGGCATAAAAACGACTGTGGTGAGTCAGTTGAAGAGTCTGTGTGTAGTTTCTTCAGCAGTAGCTAGAGCTGGATGCCTGGAATGACTAAGAACGGGGCAAGCATGTGTGGAAACCACCTAATCCAATAAGTTTTTCTGAGCTGGATATGGTTTTGGGCACAAATCTTAAGATATGTATTGGATGTGAATGGCAAGGTGTTGGCAGTGGAGGAGGTGTAGGTAGAACTCAGAGAAAAGGCTGAGGCTGCTCCATGCCGGGCACAGCTAGTTCCACTGCAGAGTTCATCAGCCATGTGGTGGTACTGCTGCAAAAATGTATTTAAGAAAGGGCAGAATGCTGCACAACCAGTAAGAAGCGTGAAAAACAGCCCATGGGAGATACCATAGAGCAAATATCCACACTGCAGGGGAGGAGGTAGAGGAGTTTGGAATGAAGGAGCAAAATTGAATCTGGGGAGAAAAGGTGGGAGGCAGGGTGGGAAGTTGTTTTAGTATTTGTCTTTGTTTCTTGCCATCCAACTCTATTTTAATGGCAATAAATTAAATAATTTTTCCCCGAGTCAAGTCTGTTTTGCCTGTGAGAGTAATTAGTAGGTGATACCCCTGTCTGTATCTCCACCCATGAGCTTTTTGCATCTTGTTTTGTCCCCCTGATCTGTTGAAGAGGGAGAGTGAGAGAGCAGCTAGGTGGGCAGCTGGCCAAGTTCAACCCACCACAAGCTACTAGGACTATATTTACCATGCTTGATGGCTGTCTTGGAGAGCTACATGAAAATACTTCGTTGTGTATTGTATTATTTTTTTTTTTAGAAATCCTTATTTACTGAGACTATCTCTCATATTAACTCTGAATCCTTTTTTAGAACCATTTGCTCCAGATAACCTAATGTGAACTTTTGGAAAGCAGTAGGACCCAGATGACCTGTTTTTCAGAGAGCTGTAGTTGTTTATTCTATACCAGCTTACTGTCTTTTAAGGCTGGCTTACAGAGGTGATAAGTGTTCCTAAGAGGGCTTATATGAAAATAGTTTGAGTGCATGGGAAAAGAAAAAAAAGTTAGGTGTCAGGCTTATGTGGATTTTGGGGATCCTGACTGACAGTATGATATGGGTATAAAATTCCAAGGTGGTTGACTGTTCTGCTTGCCCCTTTGTAGTGGGAAGGGAAGACAGCTTTTCAGCACCAGACAGGAATGATGGTTTGTAGGTAGAATTATTCGATTTCCAAGCAAGGCAATATAACTGAGCTTTAGTATTGGTATCACTAATGGTAAAAAAAACTACTTGCAAAGTTACTGTGATGTTACAGAAAGTTTCATACTACTTTGCCATTTCACTTCGTAGCCCAGCAATTGCAACAGGATGTAGTTCTTAGTTTTAAAACCTACTCTGTAATAACAGTGGATTTTCATTAGACTTTTGTCTGTTGTCTTAGAGCTACCCTGATGTATCTAGGATCTATCTTATTTAAATGATACTCAAATGCCATCTCTACTTATTTAAAGAAATTATAGGATAGTCACTACGTAAAATCACTTATGTTAATTTTATAAGGGAACTGAATTGTGTAGCTATGCAAAATATGTGATCATTACTGGTGTTTGTATTTTTATTTGCTTAAAAGTTCCAGTTTGGGTCAATGCCATTTGCCTAGGTGATACTGTACATTCAGGGTTTGTCTCAGAAATCCCCCAGAAAAAGGCATCGGGTGGGAATAGCGTTGAATGACCTATGCAGAATGACGTACTTCAGACTGCTGAATGTATGTATGCAAGGCAGGAGCAGAGCTTAGCCACCTGGCCTCCAGTCTAGTGGTCTACTGGACCATGTTGCTTATACAGATAATGATTGTTAGATCCCTGTTTAAATAACATAAGTAACTGCCATAACCAAATATGCTTTATACCAGGTCTACTGGCTGTGTTTATCTGTCTCTATAGGTCTCTTTTAGGTTGTAATAGCCACTTAGTAGTAGCAGTAACTCATCAAGGTCAGTTATCAGCTTCCTGGTGGAAATCACATGCTGCAACACTGTTTTTCTCTTGTCCAGAGTAAGAGTACAGCTGCTTGATCTCAGTTTAGTAATGATTGTCCTGGTGGGAGACTTCAACCTACCAGATATCAGCTGGGCACACAACATAGCTGAGAGGGAACAGTCTAGAAGGTTCCTAGACTCCCACCAGACAGACCTGTCTCCCAGCAGACTGTCTGTCTCCCAGCAGACTTCCACCAAGATATCAGCCTTGATGGCCCTCCCCCTGATTCTTACCCATAGGCACTCAACCTTACTTTTACCCTCAATTAGTTCTTGACATTTGTAACCCTCCCTAACATACAGGGCCACCCCTCCTCCTCTCCTTCCTTGCCTGTCCTTTCTGAAGAGTTTGTAGCCATCCATTGCAGCACTCCAGTCATGCAAGTAATCCCACCACGTTTCTGTGATGGTGACTGCATCATAGCTTTCCTGCTGCACCATGGCTTCCAGCTCCTCCTTCCAGTTCCACACCTGCTGCATGCATTAGTGTAAAAGCACTTCAGCTGGGCTACTGGTCCCACCACCTTTTTGGTGTAGGAAGGCCTAACTTCTATCTGACCGTTCCCAGGCACAGCCATAGTTCACAATCCATTGATGACCCTTGCATCTCTGCTGATGGATTCCCCCCCTTACCCCTTCAAACTTAGTTTAACGACCTTTTGATGAGCCCTACCAACTCCTGTGCAAAGACAGACCCTCTTCCCCTTTTGAGACGGGTGTACCCCATCTGTCTCCAGCAGGCCTGGTGTTGTGTAAACCTTCCTGTGCTCAAAAACCCCAAAGTTGTGCCTCTGACGCCAGGCTTGGAGCCAGGCATTGATCTGCTGAGGAACAGTCTAGAAGGTTCCTAGACTCCCACCAGACAGACCTGTCTCCCAGCAGACTGTCTGTCTCCCAGCAGACTTCCACCAAGATATCAGCCTTGATGGCCCTCCCCCTGATTCTTACCCATAGGCACTCAACCTTACTTTTACCCTCAATTAGTTCTTGACATTTGTAACCCTCCCTAACATACAGGGCCACCCCTCCTCCTCTCCTTCCTTGCCTGTCCTTTCTGAAGAGTTTGTAGCCATCCATTGCAGCACTCCAGTCATGCAAGTAATCCCACCACGTTTCTGTGATGGTGACTGCATCATAGCTTTCCTGCTGCACCATGGCTTCCAGCTCCTCCTTCCAGTTCCACACCTGCTGCATGCATTAGTGTAAAAGCACTTCAGCTGGGCTACTGGTCCCACCACCTTTTTGGTGTAGGAAGGCCTAACTTCTATCTGACCGTTCCCAGGCACAGCCATAGTTCACAATCCATTGATGACCCTTGCATCTCTGCTGATGGATTCCCCCCCTTACCCCTTCAAACTTAGTTTAACGACCTTTTGATGAGCCCTACCAACTCCTGTGCAAAGACAGACCCTCTTCCCCTTTTGAGACGGGTGTACCCCATCTGTCTCCAGCAGGCCTGGTGTTGTGTAAACCTTCCTGTGCTCAAAAACCCCAAAGTTGTGCCTCTGACGCCAGGCTTGGAGCCAGGCATTGATCTGCTGACTCTTCTGGTTACTTTCCTCATCCTTCCCTGCCACTGGGATGCCAGAGGAGAACATGATCTGAGCTCCTGACCCTTTGACTACTTGTCCCATGGCCCAGAAGTCTCTTTTGATTGCCCTTGAGTTTCTTGTTACTAGCTCATCTCTGCCTGCCTGCAAAATGAGTAAGGGGTCATAATCTGAGGGGCTTACCAGGGAGGGAAGTTTCCTTTTTATGTCTTTCACCTGGGCCCAGGGAGGCAGCAGAGCTCCCTGAGAAGTGGGTCAGGTCTGCATATCAGGCCTCCTGCTCCCTTCAGGATGGAGTCGCCTACAACAATGGCCTGTCTTTTTTTCTGAACTGAGGATGTTTTGATGCTGGGTTTAGTACGACTTAACCCTGGCGACATCTGTGTAGACAGTGAGTTACCCTTCCCATCATCATTGGTTTCCCTTTGCAGAGCCTCATACCTGTTTTTTAAGGGTACCTGGGGAGGTGGGGGAGTTCCTGGGGAGACATGCCTGCTTCGTTGGCCCCCCATCCTTCAAGTTGCCTTCTTAAGCCTGTCAGGAGCTGGGTTTAGTACGACTTAACCCTGGCGACATCTGTGTAGACAGTGAGTTACCCTTCCCATCATCATTGGTTTCCCTTTGCAGAGCCTCATACCTGTTTTTTAAGGGTACCTGGGGAGGTGGGGGAGTTCCTGGGGAGACATGCCTGCTTCGTTGGCCCCCCATCCTTCAAGTTGCCTTCTTAAGCCTGTCAGGAGGGACAGGGAGTTCTCTGTAGATGGGGCTCTGTCTGCCTGCTTGGTTTCTGTTACGGGAGGCAGGGTGCAACTGTGTCCTTCTCCCTCGCACATTCCCTGATTTTCCTCAACTTACCTCCTCCCTGAGCTCCATCACTAATTGGAGCCAGCCCTTTTTTGCCGCGATTCTCTTCCCCAGTGCGGATTTACCTATACTGGAACTGGTCTCCTTGGCGAGAGGAGACTGTATATACATAAAGTGTGAGGTGCATACACAACTTTAAAATCTTAGTTAATTTAGATACAATTTGAGAATGTATGGAAAATATGCAATATACATGAATAGGGAAATGGCTCACAAAAAATATCACAGGATCACAGAATCACTGTGGTTAGAAGGAACCTCTGAGATAGAGTACAACCTTTAAAAAAAAAAGAACAAAACCAAACCACCAAAAAAACAAACAAATAAAACCCACAAAACACAACACCTCACCACATCACACCCACCCCACAAACCAATAATCTCAGGCACTAGAACATGCCCTGAAGTGCCCCATCTATACGTTTCTTAAATACCTCCAGGGATGGTGACTCCACCACCTCCCTGGGCAGGCTGTTCCAGTTCCAGTGCCTGACCACCCTCTCAGGAAAGTCATTCTTCCCAATATCTAATCTAAACCTCCCCTGCCCCAACTTCAGACCATTTCCTCTGGTCCTGTCATTATTCCCTTGAGAGAAGAGACCGACCCCCACCTCTCTACACCCTCCTTTCAGGGAGCTGTAGAGGGCAATGAGGTCTCCCCTCAACCTCCTCTTCTCCAAACTAAACATGCCCGGTTCCCTCAGCCTCTCCTCATAGGACTTGTTCTCTAGACCCCTCCCCAGCTTGGTGGCTCTCCTCTGGACACGCTCCAGCCCCTCAATGTCCTTCCTGTAGTGAGGGGCCCAGAACTGGACACAGCCCTCGAGGTGAGGCCTCACCAGTGCCCAGTACAGAGGCACCATCACTGCCCTGCTCCTGCTGGCCACGCTGTTCCTGACACAGGCCAGGATGCTGGTGGCCTTCTTGGCCACCTGGGCACACTGCTGGCTCCTGTTCAGCTGGCTGTCCACCAACACTCCTAGGTCTCTTTCTGCTGGGCAGCTTTCCAGCCACTCTTCCCCAAGCCTGTAGCGTTGCCTGGGGTGGTTGTGACCAAAATGCAGCACCTGGCACTTGGCCTTATTAAACCTCATCCCATTGGCCTTGGCCCACTGATCCAACCTGTCCAGGTCCCTCTGTAGAGCCTTCCGACCCTCAAGCAGATCAACACTCCCACCTAGTTTGGTGTCATCTGCAAACTTACTGAGGGTGCACTCAATCCCCTTATCTAGATCATCAGTAAAGATATTAAACAAGACGGGCCCGAAAACTGAGCCCTGAGGGACACCACTGGTGACTGGTCACCAACTGGATTTCACCCCATGAATCACAACTCTCTGGGCACGGCCATCCAGCCAGTTTTTTATCCAGTGAAGGGTACACTTGTCTATGCCATGATTCGCCAGTTTCTCCAGGAGAACGCCATGGAGGACGGTGTCAAAGGCCTTGCCAAAGTCCAGGTAGACAATGTCCACAGCTTGCCCCTCATCGAGAAAGCGGGTCACACGGTCATAGAAAGAGATCAAGTTGGTTAAGCAGGACCTCCCTTTCCTAAACCCATGCTGGGTGGCCCTGATCCCTTGCCTGCCCTGCACTTGCCGTGAGAGCTCTCCCGGGATGATCCTTTCCATGATCTTTTGTGGTACCAAGATCAGGCTGACAGGCCTATAGTTTCCCAGATCCTCCTTCCGGCCCTGTTGACCAGGATTGTTGATAGATGATGGAGAGAGGCTTGGTGAGCTCTCCCACCAGCTCCCTGAGTACCCTTGGGTGAATTCCATCTGGCCCCATAGACTTGTGTGTGTCCAGGTGCATATTTTTTCTTTGAGCATGATGCAGGGAGAGGTGAAGGCAGTGAACACTTCAGAGAATGAAAAGAATGTAATTGTAAAGGTGGCATCTCATAAAGAAGAACATAATTCTAAATTAGGATCAGCAAAAAAAGACTTCAAATTCAGTGAAGAGAGAACTAGTAAAATTTTGAAGGATGTAAAGGTATGCTGGAATTCTGGGGGCAGCTAAATGATTTAAAAATCACTTCTCAAGTAGAAACTTAAATTATGAAATGTTTAAGCTCACGTATATATGTCAGTATATGTATTTCCATGTTGAAGTGCTAAAAGTTTTACAGTAGGCTGAGGAGGGATATCATCAAAGTTGTAGAATGTGTTGAGTCAAAGTAAACAAACTACCATGTCTTCATGCATTTGTTACAATAGACCTTTTCCTACTGATCTAGTTAATCCCAGTATAAGAAAAGGACAATATTTGGTTTGGAGTATCAACTATCCATAGTTGATATTGACCATGAACCTGAAAGCTGGAGAAGAAGAAAAAGAACAGTATTTGTGTACTTCCTGCCGCTCTAGTATGCATTAATTAAATGCCGTTATACAGAACATCTTCAGAGGAAAAGAAATGACTGCTGCTTGGAGTACCAAGGCAGAAACCCTCATGAGATTAGGCAGCTCTTCGCTTAATCCTGAATAGTGAATGAGAGTTGGTTCAAATGGCAAACATCTAAGAGCCCTTGTGTAATAGTGAGTATAACACAAACAAATGCAGCATTCTTAGAGGAGCAAAGAATACCACTGCAGTTATTCTTGTGTTCAAAAGTGGGAACAATATGAAAATTAGGAAATGTATTAAAATGAAAGCTGAAGGAGCAGCTAAAAGTGTAAAGCACTTGCAGCTAGCATGAGGCTTAAACAGGCTAGGGCTTATCAGCTAAGATGGATTAATAACACAAAAGGATTAAAATGGTGCTCTAAAAAGAGAGAACAATATTTAATTGTATCTTACAATGTAAGTGGTATGGAGGGTGAAATGCAATTTGCATGGTGGCAGGTTTAAAATAAGCTAAAATATCTTTTCAAACAATGCATCATTTAGAGTCTTAGCCACAGAATCTAGAAGATCAAAAGAATAACTTCATCTTAAAATTACTTGGATTGAGTGATTGAAGGAAAAATCAATAAGAATTGTCAAACAGAAAGATGTTGACTGCATATGTGGCCTGGGATGTGTAGACCTTGGATTGCAGGATGCTTGGGGAGGTACCATTTCACAAAACAGGGCAAAGCTCTGCTGTCTGGCAGGGGTCCTTGTCAAGAAGATTGTTCTAGTCCTGTTAAAACTTCTTCAGGCTGATGGCGGTGAAATAGAGAGGAAACTACAGAACTAGGGATTCAAAAATTCCTCATTTGAAGAGAGAAGGGGTTGGGGGGAAGGCAACAAGAAGGGGAAACAGACCTATCTTAAAGCAGTAGGTGGGCCAGCTTCAGGGGGGGCTTTGAGAGCATTCAGTGCCTGGGGCACTGAAGATGAAAAAGTGGAGGGAACAAGGTAGCCAGACCTTCTACGTGAGTTATGGAGCCATTTGAAGAGAAGCTGCAGCTTGGCATGCTCAGTATATGTTCTGGAGTCTCCTTTCTGCCACAGAAGAGGCACAGCCTTTGCCATGACCACACTTGTGCCTACTTTTCCCTTAGGAGTGTCTGTATCAATGGCATCAGTAAGTCCTGGAATTACATTGAGTTGGGCATTAACCTTAGGGTTCCTTAAACACTTGGTGATGGCACATCCTACTAACCTGAATCCCTGAGGTTACAAGGATTAGAGTAAAGGTATTTTCATGATGTGGTTCAGAGGTGTTCCACTTGGATGTTGGCCTCCTGGTGGAGTGAATAACAGGCTGAAAGACAGGAATAAGGTTTGACGACTTGCCTTTTGGAGCAAACAGTGGGACTTGTTGGGGCACTGGCTCTAAAACTGCATCCTTCCCATGGTGTCTGTACACCTGCTTGTTGAAAAGAGAATTAACGTCACAGAAGAACAATAACTTCAAGAGGTCTTGGGAAGGAAAGAAAGCTCTTCATATAGAAGTGCTGACCAAATGAGAGCCCTTGTAGTAAGGTAGGTAGGGATGTATCTGCATGTTCACAGTATTGACATTATTCAGATGTCTCTGCAGTTTGAAGGTGGAAGTTCAGCCTTGGCCTGGTCTGTGACCATGCCCTCACACTATGGGAAAGATGCTGGAAAGGTTCTATGGCCATTCAGATACTTAAGCCCTCAGGGTGGAAAATAGCTGGTTATGTGCAAGGATCACAGTAACTGAGGAAGATGGATACCTGTTGTGTCCATGCTAGTTGTATTTCCCAGCTGGACTCTGTCAGAGATGGTTGTTGTGTAGAAAGACTTTGGTCTGTTTTTATGGAGTCAGAGTTTGAGAAATGGTCCGCAGTGTTGCTGGTCAGCAGAGACCTAAGTTGGTTGTTTGATGCTTGGAAAAAATAAAATTGAAAAAAAAGGTAGAGTAGTCCTGTAGGAAAAGAATGATAAAAGGTACAAGCCCTACCAAAATTTAGGATATAGCATGTTGGTATATATGGCTGCTCTATGTGTCACATGATGGGACATGTGAATCCATGTTGCTGTTCCCTCCAGTGACTGGAAGGAGATGGTCGTCAGTTTATCCTGCATTGAAATGGCAGGCAAAGGAACCATCTGTAGACTTCTTAACCATTTTTTTCCTGGTTCCCGCAGTCAGGAATTAAGATTTAAGATAGTTCAGGAGATTTGTCCAGTTAGGAAAGCAACAGGTTTTGATTTGGTTTTATTTGAAAGTAGGAAGGTTATCTGCATAGCTATAGGGAAGAGCCTTTTTCCTGATTGATACAGAATTCATCTCTGCAGAAATAAATTTCCTTATTGTAAAGATTATTTTTTTCTTCTATTGATGATATGCTTGTTAAAAGGCCCAGTTAACTCGCATATAAAATACACTAAACTGTTGTAAAAATGATTTACATAAAATCTGGGAATAATAAGAGATATGACTGTTAAATTTGAGAAGATATTTTTAAGTGCATGTTTTTCAGTTTGCAAAATCATATTTAAATTCCATTGAGCAATTAATATGTGTTATTTCATTGTAGGAAAAAGATGAAGTTATGTTTGACTTGATGGCTCACAATATAAATACAAAAAGTCAGATTAACCAATCGCAAGAAAATATCTTGACTCAGGAATTGGACATGATCACCAAGTCTGAAGAAGAGCAAGGTTTGAAAAAGCATTGCCAGCAAATGTTGGAAATTCATCAAACTGCTGATTCTCCAAAACACAATTTGAACATAGGCAAAGACACTTCAACAAAAGACTTCCAGAATTTCATTACAGGAATGGCTTCATGGGGCTCACCTGAGATTGTGAGAAAGCAAGATATAAGCATGGAGCTTCAACCAATGCTTCATCTGACACCCTTTTCAGAAGTTGAAAGCACAGATTTTGAAATTATACACTCCAGGTCATCCATGCAAGAAGATAATTCTCTGTTGCTGGGATATTCTAACCTGTATGAAAATGGCAGTGAGGAGGCAGCAGTGGGAGTAGATAGAAAATCTCCAGCTTTCTCTCAAAGTGCCTACTCTGATGACCAAGATATGGAGAAGAAGGTTTTAGTAAGTGATATTTCATGTCTGATTTAATTCTAATTAAAAAAGACGGCTCAGCTCTGTCCTACTTGGATCATTGTTGGGCCATTGGCTTCAAAGTAGTAGAAACATACACAGTGAGAGGCGTAGGTCCAGCTATGTTCTGGACATATGATATTTAGTTCCTCTCTCACTGATAAATTGTGGAGCACATTCTGGCCTGTATTAAAACACTGTCAACCATGGCTTCTAATAGTTGAAAACAGTCTTCCAAAACTTAGAAATTATCAGTAAGCTGTTTACAGCAGGTTTTGCATCCTGCATGCTGCTGATGTGGTGTCAGTAAAAACATGAGTATTGCCCTTGTGTTCTCAGAAGATTTGTTGAAAGGACTCTTCAAATCCTGGTGCTTTTGCAGAGACGCTACATGGAAGTAACTGATAAATTTGTGCTAATACTTCATGTGCAAGTAATTAAGCTAAAACCTGTGAAACTTTTTTGCTACCATGGTACTCAATTTACTGTAACAGTTCTCCACATATGAATATCTGTCATTGAATGTTAAAAGAGACTGTTTCAAAACTGGAGAATAGAGGTTTTTCTTTTTAATGCAATAATTTTATATGTTTGTGTCGTATCATTTCACCTGAGGATAGAGTCTGTACTTCAGAAAATTAATCTCTGGCTGTATATTTTTGTGCCTTGCTTTTGAAGGGTATTTTATTATAAATACATGTCTGTTTCTTAAGACTGTTGAAAGGGAGAAAAAACAGAGATGGAATAGCTTCCAAAGAGCAGTGATGTTTCATTCATCATCGTATTTGCCATCTCTGACTATGATCAAGTAGGCATTTGCTAAAATCTGCACTAGTAACAAAGTTGTTATAAATCCAGAAAACTACAGCTGGATTCAGAAAACTAAATTTATGAAAAATTATTTCCCAGCAGATGAGAAAAGCTGATAATCTAACTTTAACCCCTTCTGATTTACAAGATGATGTAAGATCAAGAGCATCTGCCATAGATGCAATGAGCGATGGATATGGCAGCAGTAAGTTAAACTTCGTAGATTCCTTTAACCTTTTGTTAACTTCAGTATAAAAATATTCTAACCTTTCCTCTTCCATTTTCTTTTACTGTACGGTTTGTATTTGAAAGCTATGCCTTTGTCAGGTGGTTCTTTGTTTAGAAAGACTTATATATTTTTACTAGTGGAAGCCTGCTTTTGCCTTTTCATCTTTACATCCTGAGAAGGAGACATGGGGTTTTAGTGAGTCCTGGCTTAATTACTGCACTTTCTCTGGTGCTAAAGGCAACTTAAAACCTTTTAAGTTAGTTGAGATCTCAACCATCTAACTTCAGCTGGCCCTGCATTCATAGTAACAGAAGAAATCCTGGTTATTTTGCAAGCAATTATGCTGGTTTGGTGTTCTTTTCATCTATGTAACACTTGTGTCTTTTTCTTCAGATACCAGCTCAACTTTGGCAGCTAAACTAAAGCAGGAGCTACAAACGTCAGACCACCTGGATGCTAGTTTCATGGCTTATCTGCAGTACCATGGAATGTTTCCAGATACTATGGAATCAATGAGAGAAAAGGAAATACTTTCACCACAGCTGAAGGTAACATATGATTAATAGAAGAATACCAACAAATTAAAACTGAAATGTCAAAAATGAAATGCTAATATAAAATAGACCTAGCTGCTTCCTTTACACTGTGAACTGTTCTGTGATGGTTTAAACTTAAGGTTGATTATGGTTCTTGAGTCATTTTTGCATCTCATGGGACAAATTTACAGACATTTGTCTTGCTTGTACTTGCTAGAATTGAAAAAGTTTTGCTAGGTGGTTGCAACAGCACTGGTGATGTTCCAGAATGTGGTGATACAAGGACTAATTTGGTTTGTCTTGGAGTCTTTACAGAAATCTGCCTCGTAAATAAGCATAGCTAGCTGACGTCATGCTCCCCTGCCTATTCTTGTCATTCTGATGTGATGGAGAGCTGTGGAAACACCACTGCAAGGTGTGGAGGGATCTTTCAGAGTCCGTTGCAGGAGCATGAAGAATATAGAGAAGACTGAGCAGTGATTGCTTACTGTAGTCAGTCAGTAAGGCAAGTTTAAGAAAGTATATGCCTTGGACTTTGGAGGCAAGGAAGGAGAGGCAGCAGGGTTTCTCCTATGTTAAAAAGAAAAAAAAAAAGGAGGAAAAAAAAAAAAAAAAAAGGATAGATTGTGCAGAGCTGACTTTGAAAAACAGAGTAGATTCAGGATGCTGAATCTTAGGAGAGTAAGTTTTCAGTTGTTTGAGGAATTTGTGGATGGGACTTCCTGGGAAACTGCCATTGGGGGATAAAGGAGCAGAACTGACCTGGCAGCTATTTAAGGACACTTTTTTTAGAGCAGCAAAGGTTTTGATTCCCACGTGTGAGAAATCAAGCAAAGAAGGAAGGCAGGAGACAAGCATGGCTGAGTAAGGACTGCCTGGTCAAACTAAAGTGTAAGAAGGAAATGTACAGGCAGTGGAACCAGGGATATGTAACCTGGGAAGAATATAGGGATGCAGCCTGGACGTATAGGGATGGGATCAGGAAAGCTAAGGCACATTTGGAGGGGAATTTGGCAAGGAATGTGAGGAAGAGTAATAAGAAGGGCTTCTACTAGTAAATTGGACAGAAAAGGAAGATTAAAGACAATGTGTGTGCACACACATGATAAATAAGACAGGAGTACTGGTGACAACTAAGGAAATGTACAGGCAGTGGAACCAGGGATATGTAACCTGGGAAGAATATAGGGATGCAGCCTGGACGTATAGGGATGGGATCAGGAAAGCTAAGGCACATTTGGAGGGGAATTTGGCAAGGAATGTGAGGAAGAGTAATAAGAAGGGCTTCTACTAGTAAATTGGACAGAAAAGGAAGATTAAAGACAATGTGTGTGCACACACATGATAAATAAGACAGGAGTACTGGTGACAACTGACAAGGCTGAGGTACTCAACAACTTTTTTTGCCAAATTTTCATTGCCAATCACTTCTCTCACATCTTAAGTCCCTTCCATTGTAAGAGAAGATCATGTTCAAGGCAACCCGAGGAACCTGAACGTATACAAGTCTGTGGCACCAGAAGAGATCAATCCCAGGGTCCTGTGAAAATTGGCAGATGACGTTGAGCAGCTTATCAACTACATGTTTGAAGAGTCATGGCAGTCAAGTGAAGTCCCCAGTGACGGGAAAAAAAAGAAACTCCACACCCATTTTTTAAAAGGGTGATAAAGAGGACCCTGGAAACCTACTGACCTTTGAGCCTCACCTCAGTGCCCACTAAGATCATCGCTAAGATCCTTCTGGCACTTATATTGAAGCATATAGAACACAGGAAGGTGATTAGATACAGCCAACATTGCTTCACCAAAGGCAAATTGTTCCTGACTGATCTGGTGGCTTTCTACAATGGACAAGGAGCAGCAAGTGGTATCAATACTGGCTGAGAGCTGAAGGGATTGAGAGAAGCCGTGCAGAGAAGGACTGCTGGATGAAAGAATGGACATGAGCCAGCACTGTTCGCTTGCAGCCCAGAAAGCCAAGCATATTCTGGGCTGCATCAAAAGAAGCATGGCCAGCAGGTCAAGGGAGGTGACTCTCCCCCATTGTGGTGAGACCCCACATCCAGCTCTGGAGCCCTCAGCACAGAAAAGACATGGACCTGTTGAGGCAGGTTCAGAGGAAGGCCACAAAGATGATCAGAGGGCTGGAGCACCTCTCCTATGAGGAGAGAGATTTGAGGTTGAGAGAGTTGGGGTTGTTCGGCCAGGAGAACAGAAGGCTCTCCGGAGACCTTATTGGAGCCTTTCAGTACTTAAAGGGGGCTTATGAGAAAGATGGAGGGGGTCTTTTTACCAGGGCTTGTAGTGACAGGAGAAGGGCAAGAGTTTTAAACTGAAAGAGGGTTGGTTTAGATTGGAAATAAGTAAGAGGTTTTTTATGATGAGGGTGGTGAGACACTGGAACAGGTTGCCCAGGGAAGCTGTGGATGTTCCATCCCTGGAAACATTCAAGGTTAGGTTGGACAAGGCTTTGGGCTACGTGATCTAATGAAAGATGTCCCCATTCCTGTGGCAGGGGAGTTGGACTAGATGATCTTTAAGGTCCCTTCCAACCCAAACCATTCTGTGATTCTGTATCAAAAAAAATTCTCATAGAGCGTAGTTTCATAGACTTCATGGAAGAGGTAAATTTTATTTTGCCTTAAGATACAGAGAATTTTTTTTATTTAGTTTCTTTCCACGATCTAGATTTTACTGTCTGTAAGGTCTGACTGCACGTTCCAGTACTGCGTGTTTAGTTTGAGCACTTACTGTGCTTCTGTTGTTAATGCTTACCAAAGTTTTCATCAATTAGCATTGGTTCTTTAAGTAATCACTATTTTGATTCCAGTGACAAAAAATAACTCAAGTTGCTTCAAAAGTTAAGTCATTCAAAAAAAGTGCAAAGACTATCAAGACTTAATGAAAAGTACTCCATATTATTTTTGTTAAAGGGAGTAGCAATGAGAAACAGCTTCACATCAAGGCTGGGTTTGTTTTTTGGTTTTTTTTTGGAGGAGGTGGTAGAAATGTAGAAATGGACTTAAATCTCCAGTGACCTTTTTTGAAAAGAGACCAGGAAACATCTGTGCATGATGTAATAGTTTGTGAATGGGGAATTTACTTAAAAGAGATTATTTTAGCTAATAATGTCAGAGGAACCCATTTCCACTCTGTAAGTTACTAAGACTGAATATCTTGGGAGATGTTCTTTGGGCATAATCTGCTAACTTAAGACAAGTTGTCTAAATACATAATTCAAGTTTCTGACTTCACTGGGGTTTAGTAACATGGCTTCAGACTTGTTAGAATTTAATTTATTCCTAGAAGAGTTACCTAAATAGTTCAGAAACAACCAAGATAAAGTACAATCCGTTGGCTTAATTCCATATCAGCATGTTTATGTACGCAGCAATAAGATGCACTAGCCAAGGCTGCCATTTGTACTTTAATATTGTGAATACAGTATTTAAGAATGCAGTGGCCACTGTATTCTTAAATATTTACCTCAGTTGTTCGGAGATAAAAATTCTCTGGTAACTGTTGTTTCATTCTATATATGTGTGTGTGTCTATGTGTATTCTTAGTTTATTAAACATGCCAAGTAGCAGGGCAGACCTGCATGCCTTTATCTGTATCACAGCCTCCAACAGCTTTTTAATATTTGTTGTCTGGTACTATCTGCTCTTACGCTGTCAGGGTGCTGATGCCTGTTTTCTAATATTATGCATTATGGTCATTTTTCCTTTTCAGACTGTGCTGAAGATGGTGTATGAGGAGAGCCGCAAGATACTGGCTTTGTCAGAACATCCCTTTGGTTTTAGGGAGCTGCAAAATGTTCCTGAGACCAGAGCGGTGATGGAGGGTTGGCAGAAGGAGGGCTTAACCTTGCTGGATGCTATACAGTCACTGAAAGATTACCTTAGCAAGCTGGCAGATAGAGGAGACAAGGTATGACAATAAAAATATCCTTTAAAGCAAGGTAGCCAGGTTTTTTTTAATATATATATAGAAATGTATATTGTTATGTATATAAATGTGTGTTCGTGTGTGTATATATGTGTGTATATATATATATAAGGAGCAAGGGACTCTTTCCTTTCTGAACACCTTTGGTCTGCTTAAATTAACAGATTGAGAGAGATGCCGTTTAAAAAAAACTATTTTTTTAACAGGAACATTCAGGTATTGCTGCTGACTGGAGAGGAGAACTTCTGCAAGCAGTACAGAGAGTGTTTGAGAAAGAGAGAAATGTGTTGCAAATTGACTCGACGTCTCATTTCTCCAATCCTGAGTCTGGTGATGAAGGTTCATTAGTGGAAAAACTGGAGTATGTCATGAAACAACAAGTAAGAAAACTTATGCTCATAAATCACTTTTTCTGTTCCCCCCCCTTTTTTTTTTTTGAGGTTTTTACAGTTTTATTACCTGTGTTATTAAATCTTACTATGTACGTTAATCAGATTGTGTGGGATCAGTAGGCTTTTATAGTCTATGTTTTGGTACCATTTTTCTCACACTTTGTATATTGTCTTACAAAGCCTATTGATTATTTTAGCTGGCATGCAGAAAATATAGTGATCTGGAGACTGTGATAGTAAAAAGAAAATATTTGATAAAAAGGGAAGGAGAGGAAGAACTCCATCTAGGAGTGTCACAGACTTCTCTTGCAAAGTGTGTATGTTGAGCTAACTCTGAATCTCTTTGGGATCTTTTTGCTGATAATATTTAGGTTTTAGATTCAAACGAGATGGTTTGTCTTAATGATGTATGAACTGTTATTGATAACTATACTTTATTTGGAATCTATTGAAGTGGTTTTTTTCTGTTTTACTTAATCTTAACATGAAGCATGAACTTAGTCATTTGAAGTTGCCTCTGTACTTGTATTACAAAAGTTTCTCTAGGGTTTATTTTTGTAGAAAATATGGGAATGTAGATGTAATAGGACTTGTTTCGTTTTCAGGAGCAGCAGAGTCAGATGGCTGTTGAGCAGCTTTTGTCCTCAGACAGGAATAGCTTGCTCTCTGAAATACAGGATCTGCGAGCTCAGCTGCGCATGACACACCTTCAGAACCAGGAGAAGCTGCAGCAGTTACAGGAAACCCTCACCAATGCGGAGGATCACGGGAGCAAACAAGAACACTACCTTCGGAGGAAAGGTAGTTGTCCTGGTTTGGGGTAAAACAGACCTAATTTTTTGCTCAGTAATTTTACTTTTTAGCTGGGCCTCTTCTAACTAACTAAACTCTGAAGTGAACAGCATTTTGTTCAGAAACTGTTCACTCTTGCAGTGGTAAGACCCGATTATACCAAGGAATGGTGTGCAGAGAGGCTCGTTTATAGTTATTCCTGTAACAACCAAGGTCAGGTAAATTTGTTATTTGCCCCGTTGGAGGGTGGGAAGCGGAAAAGCGTAGAGGGGTCCCACCTGTGGGGAGGAGCAGACAGGACAGGTGACCCAAACCTGACCCATCCACACCATGCTGAGTATAAAAGCTGAGGGATCAAAGGGTCAGCTCTTCCTTCAATGGCCGACGTCTGAGGAGGACCCTGTCTGTTCGTCTGCCTTTGATCCTGATCCGAGCGTTCCTGACTCCAGCTCCAGAATCCAGCTCCTGTCCATCCCCGAGTCCAGCCTGGGACTTTTCCCTGTGCCTGCTGGTGACATCATCATCATCCTGGGAGCTTGATACCATTTTGTATATACTGTGTACCCTTTTTTCCCCTTTTTTTAAAAATTACTTTTCTGATTATTTATTATTTCATTATTTATCAATATTTTCATTAAAGTAGCTTAGTTTATTTTCCTAAACTGGTAAATCTCTTTACCTCTTCCTCTTCTCTCTTTGAAGAGGGGGAGGGAGGGACCATCTGTCATTCTGATTGGCCAATCCAGCCAAAACCACAGCAGTCATAATCCCAAATTCTTGTTATCTGGTCTTCTATGTCAGTTCTTTCTTTTTTTGCCTAGAAGATAAAAGGCAAAAAAAGATTGTTTCACAAAGAAGCAGTTGCTGTACAGTTCCTCAATTTTACTAATACCTTCAGGTTTCCTACAATTTTAGAAGAGGTAGGAATTATTCTTCTTTCTAATATTAGTAGTTAAGAAAAACCTGTGAAAAGCAAAGAGAAGCTTTAAAATAGAACTGAAGGGTGACTATATTAAATACTACACATATGTAGACAACTTCTCAAGGGTAGTAGAATATTGTTGTTAGTTTTCAGGAAATTCTTCATGTATGTGTTTGCTAGTAAATGGATGGGTTTGCTTAATGAGGTTTAGAATCCATTAGTAACAGTACATTACAGTAACTCTGTCTCGCCCAGCTTTCACATTCTTCTCACCTTGCCTGGTCCACCAGCAAAGATATAGATTAAGAAAAGTATAGATAAAGAAATAGAGGTAGTGTATTTCTATATACACTAGCTCTCTGTGTGTGTATTTCTCTACTGATTCCTGTCATATTTGAAAATAAGTGGTTTCTCCAGATAAGAACACTTTAATACAGCTGAGGGGGTTTTGCCCAATTTGCACCAGTATAACTGCTAACATATTGTTAAATTCTCTGAAATGCAACTAACTGTTAACTTTTTCTTATCCTAGTTGAATTATTACAATATAAGCTTCAGCAGGAAAAATCTGTTGTAAGTGACTTGCATAACACCCTGTCTGAGGAGCAGAAAAGAGCCTCTGAAACATGTGATCTCTTGAAACAAGAAAAAGCAGCCCTGAAATCAGAGCTTTATGAAAGTAAGCAAGAGAATGAAAGACTGCAGAAAACCCTAGAAGAGCTTCAGAGGGAGATAAACCAGTTACGGTGAGAAGTAGATTTATTAATTTATTTTATTTATCAACAGGTCTGAAAGAGTTTTATGCTCATTGGATCCACAAATGGCTTAGCACTTGGGAACAGGAGGAGGAAAACTAACCTCTCTCAGTTGTCATGGATACGCTCATTTTTCCTTACTAACTGCTTAAATTTATATATTCTTCAACTCAAATTTGTACATTTATCTTTTCTGTAACCTTGACTAAGAAGATTGCGGAAACAAGTGCATGTTGTGTTGGTATACTAAATCCCCATACCCCTGATACACCGCACTCCTGCAGCTTTTATCTTAGTCTGCTGGTTGTTCTGTTTGCCTGTCATCTTGTGTATGGGTTTTTTTCTGCACCACCCTTCCTTACTCCCCCATCCTCTTCCTAGTGTATGCCAGTGTTTTTTCTTTCCTCTCACAGGACAACAGTTTTGCGCTGCCAGGATAGGTAACTTCTCCCCATCTTTTAACTGTCATTAAATAGAGCAATTCTAGCTTTCCTTGCAGGGGAAGTAAATATTTTCCGACGGTAAGTACCTGTGACTTGAAAACTTGACCCTCTTTAGAAACAGCAATAAGTCAACAGACCAACTCACAAGAAGTAGCCCAAAATGTCCTGCTTGCATTGCTAGTGAGGACGTTCTGTTCTGAACATAGATACAAGTGTCGTTTTTAACTTTTCAGTTTTTCATTGGAAAAAAACCAAAAGGATTTGACAGCTGCACTTGAAGACTTGCAGACAGAGCACCTGAAGGAAACAGAGCTACGAGGTTTGTTTGAGGAACAACAGCTTCAGCATAAGAAAGCAGAAGATGAAAAGACAAAGGCCTTGGAGGTAATGCCCTACATCTCAATGCTTCACTTAATGTTATGCACCAAGAAAGGTGAACTAACAGGTTATTTTTGCAGGGTTTTTTTTTTTATAACTGTTTAAATTCCTCCCCCTGCCAAACTCCTACTGAATGTGCATAGCATTTATTTTGTTTCCACAGAATTAAAGCTTTCAGTTACCCTCCTTGTGGTAAAATAAGCGAAAGTTTTTTGGTTTGGATTATTTTTTTCCATAACTTCTGAGTGGGTTTGGAGGTTTTGGCATCAGTTTTATGCTGCCCTGTGCTGTGTAGAGAGCCAGATTCTACAATTGTGTAACTGAACCCTTTATTCCAGAGCAAAAGTGCTATGAGGATGTGATGTGTATGATCAACTGAGACTATGCACAAGCACCCAATGATACATACGCTTGGCAGAGAATAACTGGAGCCTTTGCAATGTAACGTGTGTTTCTTGAGGTTAACCAAAGTATGGTTTTGTTCACTTTCTTCTAAATTGAACAGAAAACAAACGAACAGCTTTCTCTCTGATACTGTGATAGCAATGACTCAGTTCTTGTAAAAGGCCTACAATGACTCTAAAAGGAAGAAGATTTAACATAAACTTTTTTTCAAAATAAAAACCAAAACCCAAACTCTATCAGATAACTCCAAAATAATCCTAGTGAAGTGCCCTATGTGAGAAAACATAACTCTGGCTCATTTTCTTGTAGTTTGGCCTCTTACATCATCTTTCTGGTAGATGTTTAGGTTTGTGGGTGATTTTTCTTAGTTGGGATTTTTGTTACTACTTGCATGGCAGTACATGTTGCTAACGTCCTCCATCTTGTAAAAAGACTGCTTATGTAGGGAGGGCAGGGCCCGTCTTAGCCAAGGCAAAGAGAAAAGTGCATTGCTCCAGCTGTAGTTGTACAACAGATTAAGACATTAACAGTTCACACTGCTGCAGTCGTCCGTTCCAAATTGTCCCTTGAAGCCCTGCTATGGAAAGCTGATGCCACTTAGCATCTGACCTGACTTTCTATAAGATCAGAGGAGAAGTGGTGCTGGCTGGAGGGGTAGGGCAGACCCCCTGTGAGGAGGACAGCAATGCCAGCTCTTACAGCAAGTGCCTAGGACTACCCCTTTAGTTGCTTCCTTTCCTTCTGAAGAAAGGCTGGCTCCCAAAATGGACCTAGGAATGGATTATTTTTATTAGCCTGTGCTGTGTGCTTTAAACATATGGGCTCTAAAATCCAGAGGTTTTACATCTACTCTTACTGATTAGATTTTTGGTTCTTCTTAAATTGACATGGCTTATTTCTGCTTCAGGTGTCACTTAAGGTGATTGAGTGATGTAAAGAATAGTGATTTTCTAATGAGCGTCTTGCTAATTGAAGGAAAATAGTGTACTGGAAGATATTTTAACATTACAATCTTTGGTTTTGTTATCTGATGTCAAGTTGCTAACAAGCATGCTTCTGGCACTTGTAATTAGAAAATTAACATTGTCATTTTAAATTAAACTTTTTAATACCTGAACTACTCTAGTTCAATGTTGAATTTCTTCTGGGATAAAACAGGAAGTTGAAAATGGCCAAATCCCTGCCTGCCCCGTGAATGAGTGTTTGTGCTGGAGTATTATGTGTAATATGTGCTTCCCCTTATGAACAGGAGCTGCAGGCTGCCTTGGACTTGCAGTTGGTGCAGAACAGCCAACTGGCTGTATCCTTGGAGCACGAGCAAGCAGTTAATGATAATCTCCACAAGGAACTTCAGATCGAGCACTCGCGCTGTGAAGCATTGCTGTCCCAGGAACAGACCAAACTGTTGGAGCTGCAGAGAACTTTGGATGCTGAGAAAAATCGTTCATTGGAGCTCCTGAATTCTTTGAATCATGAGCGTGTTTTGACAGAACAGTTGAGCATGAGAGTGAAAGAAAGTGCTTCTTGTCAGCACAGGGAGTTGCTACTGGAACAAGCCGTTGTTCGAGAGCTACAAGCCCAGCTGGAAGAAGAGAGGTTGCGAACGAGGGAACTAGCTGCTATTATTGAGAAAATGCACCAGAAGGCCATTTGTTTCAAAAGGAAGCCAGGGGCTGAAGTACAGACCTGCTGCGAAGAAACCCAGAAGGAGAGAGAGGCCAGTGACAAATTACAAGCTACACTGGAATCTCTTCAGGGTCAAAAGCGAGAGGTAATCTGTTCCTTAGAGACCCAGAGGGAAAGAGAGGCAAAGCTGAAAAGTGACTGGGGACAACTGCAGTCACTCTTCGAGCCAATGAAAGAGCACAATAAAAACAAGAAAGAGGAGAGAGAGACAGAGCAAAGGCAGCAGCAACAAACAGAGCTAGAGAAACAGAGGGACTGGCAGAGAGATCAAGAGAGACTGGTGAGAATGCCTCTGCAAGCCTTGCCTTACATTGGAATGGCCAGAAACTGGCATTTAAACCTGTCCATTGTGGGTTTTAATTGAAATGCTTCCTTCTCTTAAACAAAGCATCCTGAAAAATGCATTAGATGAGCTCTTTTCCTGCATTTCTTAAATGCAGCTGTTCTCAGGGTTCTAGGTCTGGGTTTATTGTTGATAGTTGATCTTTGCCTATGCTGGAAATTGCCCTTTGTTAACAGATGGAGAATAATATGGATTAAACACTGAACACGAACTAGGTTTCATATCATTGCCCTTATTTTGACCTAGACCCCTAATTATGGTTTGCAACAGTACCCTCCTTGTTTCTCAGCTCCTTCACTTTCCTTAGAGGAGGAGGGAGGCTTTGCAGGCTCTCTTGAGACTTGTCAGTCACCATGTCTGGAAATAGATGGAGAAAATGCCCACTCCAGAGTCATTAAATGGCTTCCTGGTGGCTCTGTAAGGCAGTACTGTAAACCTTTCCCTGTAAGTGGTCTGTTATTTAAGCAACACTGAAATAGATATATCCTAGTTAGGTGTGATGCTTTTATTTGCAGCCTGTGTGTGTATAAAAAAACAAAACAAAACTTACATGTGTGTATGTACATATGTGTGTGTGTATATATAAGATGCAATTAACTGCTACTTACTCTGTTCAAATAGCAAAACTTGGAACAGCAACACCAGAGAGATGAACAAAGAATTAAAGAGCTGCAAGAAATACCGGACGTATTGGAAGAAAGAGAAAGAAATCTCCCATCTCCAAACTGTCAGCAAGAACTATTGTGTACCTTAAACAAAGATCAAAATGCCAAGCAGACCACAACAAAAGAAACTGAAAAATCACATTTGCAACAGCAGCAATGGCACCTTGAAAAGATAAGACAGCAGTTGCTTTTAGTAGCTGTGCAGCTGAACGAGTTCATATATAAAATCGTAGATAAGTGAGTAGTTCTTCATAAATATAGTAGTTTTCTTTCCATCCTACTCCTGAAATTGTGTGGGTCATGGCTGACAGCCCTGTGCTGAAGGGACTGAATCTGCTTACAAGACTCAACCACGTCTGAAGACATGGTTTTGTGGTGGCAGCAGACTCTGGCTGTTGTCATCCCACTGCAGCCATTCCCATTAGAAGCTTGTGTGCCTGCATTTGAACTAGATCTGTGAAGTGACCCTGCTTAAAAAGAACAACTCAAAAAAAGCCCTACTGAAAAGAGTCTTTTAGTAATTTGGCAACTGCAGCAGTAAGGCTAGAGAGCAATCAAAAAATCAGATAGAATCAACAGGTCTATTCTATCAACATTCTGATGATAGAATCATCAGATAGAATCTATCAACAGATAGAATAATAGAATCATCTAGGTTGGAAGGGACCTTCAAGGTCATCTAGTCCAGCCATAAACATGCGTATAGGTATGCATGTTTAGAACAAGAAATGCCATTGATCACGGCAGGGAAAAGCTAGGGGTCAGGAATGAGTGACCAAGTAGCAGTAATTTCTTGCTTCTTTAGCAGCAGAGTAAAATACTAGTGATGTATTGCTGCAGCCTGAATTTGCATGATAGAATTTCAGACTGGTATAAAATACAGACTCCTGAATAAATCCTATGCAGCCCTATTGAGAAGTTTTACTCTTAAGAATTAATAAAACTTAATAATTTCTGTGTGTCTTCATAGTATTTTATGTGATGAATAGTTGCATAAGTACAGCTTTAAAACTGAAAGGTTATTCAGTGGGGAGAAAGAATCAAATATATGTTAACGTTGCCACAAATCAATCTGATACTGAAAAATTATTTCTGTTTAACAGAACAGTTAATGATTGGTCTGCATCAAATGATGAAGCTGTATCCTCTTTACTGCAGACATTAAAGGAACTGAAGTCAGGTTTATTGTCTCCTCCTGCATCTCAGGTAAGGAAAACAGCATATATTTGTTGATTATGAGTAAGTTGTTCTGTTTTCTTTGGATTGCAATACACATGTAAGTTGATTGATTGATTTGATCCCCCTTGGTCTCCCTCCTTTCTTTTTTGGTAAAAATTCTGAAGAAAATTGTGATTTGCCTTGGGGATGAAAAAAAGAGATGTATTCTTGTACTCACACTGTCATTACATTAACATATTTTACTATCAGACTCTTGCTTTTTTTGTTGTATCACAGAGTCTGCTTCTGATGGCATTTTTTCCTAGGTATGTAATAAGTCCAAGGTTATCAAGCAATGGGATGTTGCTGCTGCTTCTGTATGCAGTGATTTTTCAAAAAATTGTCAAATACTTTTCAAAAAGCTCAATAGTAGTTTGTCGTATCAGTAGGGGTGTTTTGGCTGATGGTTGCAGCATTGCAAATATTTTGTACAAGCCTAGGGATTAATAAAGACTGACCTCCCTCAGGTCTATTGATACAAAATACATCATAAAAACGTAGCTTTTGGATACCATCTTATTCACCAGATAACTTTGTACTGTCATTTATGTCTTTTTTTCATAATAAAGACAGCTTCAACCACACTTCAGCAAAAATTTGGGGATTTAGGGCTAACTAACAGTCTTGGCTCTTGTTTGATTCAGCTTCTCTCTATTCCCTCACCTGCTTGGTGGCACGTCACCAGAAAACATACCTTGTCTGATACACGAAGAGGCTTTTTGGAACTTCTGTTGTTCTCCTGTGCTCTGTAAAAGTCTGAGGCATGACAAGCTGGCCTGACATCGTGCAAGCTCTCCCTGTACCTAACTGCTTACAAAATAAAATAAATAGTTTCCCGCTGTTGCCTGTGCAACCACTTAGGTGGCTGCCAGTTGGATCATCTTCAGCCTTCAGGAGGGGGATGTAACCTTTTCCCAAGTAGGTGTTCATGGAGTTGTTTAGGTTAAGCCTTCCTCTTGCAAAGCTTTAGACACCTCTGCTATGGACAAAATGCTTAGAGACCCTGTGAGGAGAACCAGACAACCTATTTAAATCTGACTTAGCAGAACTCCCTCCAGAGTTAATCTGGTTTTCTGGCTCGGCTCCCTCCACGTTATTACTATACTGGAGAAGAAGAAATAGTTTGGGTTGTTTGGTTTTCCTCTGATGCCATTAAGTCTTCTGCATTAGAAAATCTGTTGCAAATGCTTTTCACAACTTTTTTGTGGAGACGTTTTCCAGCCTCTCATCACCATCAATTAGCAGGCCTCTTAACATGAAGCCAGTAAATACCACACAGAATAGCAGTCCTTTCTCTTGTTGGGCTAGACTTTGCCTCGTCCAGGGACTGTGACCAAGATAAAGTAAAGGGATTTAAGTTGAGTGTAGTGGAGCACTCTTAAGACACATGCCTTTCTATAGACTACAGAGCAGAAACCCTAGCTTAATATCCTTTCCCCTGTGGGCACCAAAGGCCCTCCTCTTTGCCCTCTTTTCAGGCTTTAATTTTTTCCAGAATCACCTTTTCTTTCAGTTTCCTCCCTGAATTTCTCCTTCCTTTAAGGTAGTGAGCCACATGCTCTGGAGACCAGAGGAATTTACTGCTGTTACCTCACGTTGCAGTAAATTGGAGGCTATTAGACAAGGAAAGTGGCAAAGTGCCAAAATAATGACAAATTTGTGCCAAAATGACTATGGAGTAAACTGGTCAATCGAATGCCAACTGGTGCAGTAGAAATCAAACATGTAGATGAATCATGTAGAACTCCTTCAGATACTAGCTGTTTCGGTTGCTGCCTCCAGATTGAGCTTTTATAGGTCTGTACAATGCGTAGGATGGTGGGACCATAGTCCTTGCTGGGATGGCTGCTGAGGAAGCCAAAATAAAGCAGCTTCCCTCCACTTCAGAGTGATACAGATGGGTTTTCTTCCCCATGTTTGAAATATTTTTAGTAATACTTACCTGAAATGTGTTTTGTATCTGAAGTCCTTTCCTCCCTGCCCTTGATCTCAAAATGCTCTTCTGACCCATCTCTGTGTATAATATGGCACAACTGCCATACCAGTGAAAACTGCATGTTAGTTTATCTAACTTCAGTGTAAAAACTTGAAATTGTATAGAACATCTGTGAAGTAGCTGGTAAGTACAGGACAAGGATTTTAACTTGGACAGAAATAAATAGCTAATTTCAAAACAGTACTGAAGGTGGCGTTAGATTCGTGAAGCATTTTTAAACTAGTTTTAAATACATTAGAAGTGTAGAGTGTTTGCTTTCTGATGTTTTAAAGCTGCAACATCAAAAGAGAGAGAGGTGGATTATCTGCCATGAAGGTACGGATAGCATTGGAATCCCCATTTGTTATTGTATATATTGCATTGCTTATGACAAAGTTCAAACTCCTAATAAGGTTGTACTAAAAAAAGTTGCTAGGAGAAATTTGGGTCGGTTGTGTGCACTGGCTCCTCTAATATATATAGATTTTATTTCAAGGGATAAAACATTAACTGTTTCAAAAAAATATCTTTTCTCTCTGTTGTGATTTGCCGCATCACGCACTGATATAACTGCTGACCATTTCATTGATAGTCAATATGAAGAAGGTTATGAAGGCAGAACTTCCACAAAAAATGGGACATGGAGTTGTGGGTCTCATTCCTACAAGAGATGACTTACCACAAAACTGAATTTCTTAGAATTGAATGTGACTTTTCAGAATTTACTTCTGCAGGTGCTACATAACATGCTTTTGTGTGTCCATATACACAGACACCTTTCTTCCCAGTTTCTGTGCTCTGTGTGGATGTTGAAGAAAGCCAGATTATTTTTTTTTTTCCATTTCAAAATGTTTGAGAGGCTTCTGGTATTAAAGGGTTAAAGGGATTCTTATTAAGTGATCAGACAGATCTGTAGAGAAGGGGTGGTGGGGTGGTTTGATTAACAATTAATTTGATACATTTTCAGAAGGGCTGCACCTGTGTTTCAGTTGCCCATCCTACTTTTTAACACCTGAATGCCACTGCTCGTTTTCAGGCTCATTATTTTTATGCTTTACTTCCTCCATAAAGTTAGGATATTATTTGGTTTGAGATGTTTGGCTGTGGAAGTAACGTGCAAAAACCATCACACCTCACTTCCTTTGGGTTTATTTTATAGATCAGATCCGTGGATGATGCTGACTTTGTTCAAGAACTGGGAAGAGATGCTTGGCAGCGAGAGAGAAACATTTTGCAGAATGCACTGAAACAGGCTGAGTCTGAACAGGCTAAAGCAACCCTTGAAACTGAAAACAAACCAGTGGTAGAATCTTCCAGCCCTAAGGTAAAATGATCAGGATGGCCTGCACATGGGCTATCTGGAGCTTTGTAGCCATTAGCACGTCATTTAAACCTTTGGCACTCGTTTGCTTTCACTCTCTTGCCTGTTGAACAGATTTGCTGTGTGAAAACTGTTACCAACTCAAGATCATAAAAACCTCTGGGGACTTCAGTCCTTATTAGTAATTTTTCTTGGGCATTGCCTAAGGGATTAATGTCATATGTAGAACGGGTAACTCAGCAATTCTATTTTATTTTTTTTTTTATAAATATGATAAAGCTTGCTGTTGCTGAAGAGCCCGGACGTGTACAGCTCAGAGTTCTGTGGATAGAAGTACCTGTCAGATTATGGCCTTTAACTTTCACTTATTGCTGTGGTCTTTTTCAGTTGCTGTTTTAAAAAGTGATTTTATAGATGAACAGTTTTATAAACTGCATATTAAATTAGCAACACTCTCCCCATGTGTGCCACATCAGAAAAGTCCCTTTTTAACTTTCTTAATGTCAGACAGGAACTTGCACAAAACGTAGCCTCGCTCTTTGGAATCTCTGCTCTTAAATGAGAGGGAAATTCAGATTTCTTGTCTAAGCATGAAAATATCAAACATCTATTATCTTTATTTTTTCCCCCAATCTTAAATAGTTTTTATTCCTCTGACTCATTTATTTGTAATCAAGTCAGATGGGCACTTATCCCAACATACTTATTGGTTAATGTTTATTGAAAGCAGATGTTATTTTCTTTGTTAAAGAATAATACTGTTTTGAGTATGACAATTTTGCTTTGAAGCATTGGGGAGATTGAAGGCAGTCTGACAATTCAAGCTCTGGTTTTTAGCTATCTACAGAATTGTTCCAGCTGCCCTTGTGTTTGCAGTATAGATACTTGATGTGAAGACAGTGTGTTTGTGGTTGGGTTTCTACACATCAACCACTAACTGTGCCAAAATTTTCTAGGCTAGCCAAGACTTCATAAACTTACAGAAATTTGGTAAACTTGGTAGAAATCTCCACGTATGATGTCCAAACTGCCAGTGTAATACCACGACTTTGCACCAAAACTGGCCAAGTCACAGACTGTGTTATACAAATACTTGCACAAAATTTAATTTTAGGGATAAGTGTACACTGCTTCCATACTTTATTAAATAGCTTTCTACAATTTTGTGAAGCAAAGAATAGGTTTTAGGTGCCTATGCACAACAAAGTTGTGGGAGATACTGCTGGAAAAAGCAACTAACATTTTTGAGCTTTCCATAGCTAAGTTGTAACGGATTGTATTTCTTTTTTCCTTTTTTTTTTCTTTTTCCAGTTGCAGAGATTATATAGGAAGTACCTTAGAGCAGAGAGTTTTAGAAAGGCTCTAGTTTATCAGAAGAAATACCTCTTGCTGCTGCTTGGTGGATTTCAGGACTGTGAGCAAGCAACCCTCTCTCTGATCGCGCGTATGGGGATTTACCCCTCGCCTGCAGACCTGCAGCATTCTGCATCACGTTCCCGTCCTTTCACCAGGTTCAGATGCACAGTCAGGGCCATCGTTGCAGTGTCAAGGTAAAGCCAAAACACTCCCTGTCTCATACGTGGTGTCAGTGCTAAGTTGTGTGAGTACTAAACTAAAGCTGCTTTTGTCTTGAGAGATACCCAGCTGCAACACGTTTGAGAACCAGTGCACAACCCTTACAAAGTGATGCCCTTTTAGGTCTGACCCTTTCGTCTGTTTGGACTCACTGGATAGTCTGTCTTGTATCAGAATGTGGTCATCTCATCAGCCATGGGTTTCTTTAATCCAGTAGCCTGTGTTTCATTGGGTGTGATTCTATCATACTCTGGCAATTTCTTTCAAATTGATTTTGTTAGCTGTACTTGGGACAATAGGCCATCTCATAATAGCTTTTGAGCCCACTTAATAAAAAAAAAATAGTGGTTACTTCTGAGCAATTCCCTTGTCTAGTAAAAATTTAAGACTTTCAGGAGATGGCACAGAATATCTTTAGGCTGTTGTCTTTGACATGGGTGCTATGATAGCAATTCCAAAGGATGTAGGAACAGTGACCTCCAAACTACTCCTCTGAGGCAGGAAGAGCTGCCACAGAACTCTCTAGAGATTCGGGACTGAGTGGAGGAGCTGTGCCAAAACAAGCAAGCCTTTCCAACAGTTAGAGGATTGCTGTAGAATAAAATGGAATAAGCCTTTATTCTAAAGACTGAAGTTAAAGAATTCTTCCTCCATTCCTGCAAGGATTGTTACTTATGTTGCTTAATACGTTTCATGCCAACAAAGAGTTTAATATTAAAATTTGGTGTGTTTTTGCTTATTTTTAATGATACTGCATTTGGTGTATTTTTGCTTATTTTTAATGATAGTACAAATTTATTTTGTTACTAAGGTTAAAGTTTTTGGTGAAAAAGTGGAATAAAGTTAGCAGGAAGAGTGCACAGGGTGAAACCGTTTCTCGCAGTATAGGAGGTAGTACAGGTAAGCATTTTCGGCAAGTTCTTTGGTTTTAATCGTAATTTCTCTTTAGTGCTGTGCTTCATTTAAAAACAAAAATAAAAAAATACCCGAAGAAGTGGCAAAATCTGTTTATCTGTTCACACAAATGTTTTTATCCATTTCCTGAACACAGTGATTAAGAATTTACAAGGATATTGTAAAAAAATTACAATTGAAAACTTTCAGAACTTATAATTTGCAACAATGGTTCCTTCTCTTCTCCCTTTACTGCAACTGCTGAAGCTGCGAAACGGAGTCCTGTGTTCATAAAACTCATCAGAGAATTAAGTTTGGTACAGTTTGAAGCTACCTGTAATGGAAATTAATGCCTTGAGTTATTAATAAGTCAAGGACAAATACCACTGGAATAGTATTAAGACGGATACATGTGGTATCAAAATAAGTCTTAAAGTGGTGTACTCACTAGTGTTACCAGAGGTGAAAAGGCCTTCTAAGTGGTTCCAGAGGTTCAGAAGAGACTTAATCCGATGGCAGATATACCCTAACTATTTTCTCTGGAGTTTATTAAGTGCTATCGAAGTGACAGTGGAGTGGATGGGTAGGTGGTCTGATGCATTCAGTAAGGACTGTGTTCCTTTGAGTTACTTACGGATGTGTTTGCAAGAATTCAAACAAACATCTGAATGCACCCCTTTTAGGTAATATTCCACTACTTGTAGCTTTTTAACACTAAACAAAAATTCAGATTAAATAGTGTATTTTTTGTTACCTAGTACTACATAATTTTCACTGTTCTAAATTGCTGGAAATACTTATTTTAAAAAAACCCAACTTCCTACATAAAACCACTGTGGTGTTATTCTTGAACTTGAATCCTGAGATACATCTTGAACTTTCTACCCCACTACATAATAGCATCCTGTAAGCCTCGTTAATTTTTTTTTTTTTTTTTGTGATTTGAGGGACTTATCGAAAGGCAATTTTCTTTTTTAGTGAAAACAAAACACTCTACCTCCACAAACCAAACAAAAAAATCTCTTCCTTTCTCTGCTGTCTCTAAAGTTGCAGACTGTAAGTCAACTATTTTTTTTTTTTTTTTGTGATTTGAGGGACTTATCGAAAGGCAATTTTCTTTTTTAGTGAAAACAAAACACTCTACCTCCACAAACCAAACAAAAAAATCTCTTCCTTTCTCTGCTGTCTCTAAAGTTGCAGACTGTAAGTAGCATCTAGTTTGAGCAAGCAACAAGTATTAAAATTTCTTGAAAAAATACTTTGTGTATATTGGAACATCCCCTGTGTGGATATAGCAATGGCTACTGAAAAAAACAAGTCCGGAGAAATAAAATAATGCACGTTTTCCATTTGTAGGAAGGAGTTGTTTGACATGAAAATTTCTATTCTGTTAAATCTGTTTCAAACAAACAAAAAACCAAAGCAATAAAGCAGTCAGCTATAGGAAGTGTATTTTAGCTGCATTTAAAACAATTGTATTCTGCTGTGTATATATAGCCTGTATGTATGCCTGTTTTGTATGATAGCCTGTTTTGAATGGTTCCAGTGTGTAGTTTTTTAACTGTTTCATATTTAACACAGCGTCCGGTGCCAGAACAGAAATTCTGAAAGAGCAGCAGCCCCAAGCTGTTCAGCTGGGGTCTCCCCCGACCAGGGACACGGGGCTCTGCCACAGAACCAGCTCTGCAAGATTTGTGAGCCATTTCCCCAGAGCCTCCTACAGCTCACACCACAGGTCAGTCTGCCGTCGCTGCCCGTGTCAGCCCCCCTGACGGACAGTCTATCATAAAAATGTAACCTCTTATTGGAAGAGGTCCTTGAACAAGAAGAGGAATTTGTTTTCTTGGATCTGGTAAATGCTTTATTTCTTTTGGAATGCTACAAGAGAAGAAAACTTCTCATTTGTTTTAAGCATGTCTGACATTCTTGGACTAAGAGCATTCCTAGTTGTGTTCCCAAATTTAATTTGGACAGGCTACAGAATTTTTAATGGCTATGTGTTGCTTTTGCCATCCAAGTTGGAGATTAATTTCTAAGCATCCTGTGGAAGCAGCTCCCCTACAATATTGCATTAGTGTTGGCCACCTTTAGACTCTCTGCACACAGAATGGGAGGTGGAGAACTTGTGGGGTGTGTGCTGTTGCAGTTTTTCATTAATTATGTCCAGTTCTGCACTGAAATACAACCTCAGAGACTTGTTGCTGGGTTGAATGTCACGGGTGATGTTCTGCACAGTGCTGCTAAGACAATGCCTGAGCTGCATCTCTGTGCATAAGTTGGAGGAAGGTGGCCTTCAGTCTTTACTGACCTCCCCACTCCCAGGGACCCAGAATAACTTCAGGTATTTTATAGTCTATTACTGTGTGTAGCATCTCTTTTCCCAAGTCACTCCTTTTATGTGGCTTCCTCCTTAAAGTAAGGATTTTTAGGAGTTGAAAGTAGCTGTTCTCAGTCCCATCAGCTTGGGATGCCTTCTTTGTTTATTAACCTCCTTGCAAAATTAGAAACTTTAACCAGCAGGCAAGAATTTTCTTCATTAAAAAAACCCAAACTAGTGAGGGAGTAGCTGTGGTGATCTAGGGGTATGCAAAGACAGCACATGCTCCAAATTATTTTACGGCTTTTAAAAGTGCTGACTAATTTAGAGGACAGGACAGTGATTGTCAAGAAGGACATGTAGTGTTCTGTTTTGATGGAATTCAGCAAAACATTTTGGAGAGTTAGAGATCAGTACAGGCTGGGGGTGACCTGCTGGAGAGCAGCTCTGAGGAAAAAGACCCAAGAGTCCTGGTGGACAACAGGATGCCCAGGAGCCAGCAATGGGCCCTTGTGGCCAAGAAGGCCAATGGCATCCTGGGGAGCATCGGGAAGAGTGTGAGCAGCAGGTGGAGGGAGGTCATCCTGGTCATCCTGCCCCTCTGCTCTGCCCTGGGGAGGCCCCATCTGGAGCACTGGGACCAGTTCTGGGCTCCCCAGTTCCAGAAGGACAGGGAACTGCTGGAGAGGGTCCAGCAGAGGCTACAAAGATGATTAGGAGTCTAGAACATTTCTCTTATGAGGAGAGGCTGAGGGACTTGGGTCTTTTTGGTCTGGAGAAGAGAAGGCTGAGGGGGGGATCTGATCAATGCTTATAAATACTTAAAGGGTGGGTGTCAGGAGGATGGGGCTGGTCTTTTTTCAGTGGTGCCCAGGGACAGGACAAGAGGAAATGGGCACAAACTTGAATAGAAGAAGCTCTATCTAAACATGAGGAGGAACTGGTGGTGGAGTCTCCTTCTCTGGAGACATTCAAAACCTGCCTGGACACGTTCCTGTGGGACCTGCTCTGGGTGGCCCTGCTCTGGCAGGGGGTTGGACTGGATGATCTCCAGAGGTCCCTTCCAACCCCATGGCATTCTGGGATTCTGTGACCTGCAAGCATTTCCCATAAGACTTATTTCTTCCCCACCCTGTTCCTCTGTCACAGCACATATCTGCATTTGACAGCCAGAAGCAGTAGCTGGCAGCTTACCTATCAAAAAAAAGACATCTGGAACAAGGGTAGGCCCTGACAGATTACTCTGTGTGACTGGGTTAGTGGTAGCTGAAGTCTAATGTGAACCTGAGAGAGCTTCACTAGGAAACAAAAGCAGCAACAGGCATCACGTAACCTATGCAGAGAGAAGGGATGGATAGGAACTACCTTCTGCTAATTAAAAAGTGCAAGGAAAGGTATAAATCCTAAATCCACATAGGAGTGTGTTTTGCAGTGTCCCTTCAATGTATATTTCTGCTGATATTTGAAACTTGTTGTTAATGTCCCAAAAGGCAACAGTGTACCATCTAAATGGTCTCACTTTTCAACCTTGTCCTTCACAATAGCATTTTACCTGCAGAACAGCAGAGGACATGCCTGGCTGTGGCACGGTGCTTTCTAGTTCTTCTCTCCAGAAATGGGTCTTTTCTCACTTGTCATTTGGACTTGCCGCTGGCTGCAGCTTGCTTACCTGTGGGACTTTGTGGTGCATATCAATAGACAGAGATTCATAGATACTCCAGCTTATATCAAAACATCCCTTCTTCTAACTCCCCTGTATACACAGATCCCTGGTCTGTGTTGTTTTATACGTAACTTTTTGGTGGTGGTTGTTTTTACTGTTGTTTTAGTTTGCTTTGCACTGAATTACTGTCTGTATGAATGTAACCTAGTTATATCTATCTAAAAGTATAGCATGAGAAGAAGAAAATAATTTGTTTTCCTTTTAAGATTGCATCCATCCCCAAGTCCAGCTTCAGAAAAGTCACTTGTGCCTGCTCAGGACCCTGAACGGTCGCTAACGGAGTACATCCACCGCCTGGAGGTCATCCAGCAGAGACTGGGGGGCGCGCAGCCAGGTAACAACCACCTTGTCACCCCTCACAGCTGCCAGCAGCCTGGGCTGCTTTTTGCAAGGTTCTTCCAACATACTGCTTATAACACTTACACTGTGTAAAGAGCATCATTTTAATGAACAATTTTAATTATTTGGGGAGGGGGAAGAGGAGAAAAAATTAAGCAAGTCTCTGAAATGAAACCTTTTTATGAATCATATCTAAAACTAATCAAGGTAAAGCATTTCTCAGAAGAAGTTCTTAGTGAAATTCTTCAGCGATAAGGCTGAATAATTTCATATGATTTCCAACCCCTCCTGTTACCAAGTCTAAATAAGCAAATGTTGCAGTTTAAATGAAGTTGTGTATAGAGTTAATTTGCTTTAAAGTCAAAGAGAACCATTGTAATAGCTGAGCAGGACTTTCTCTGCAGCACAAACTATAAAACTTCCCTCATTTACTGCTTCCTTATATTCCATAGCAGATTTTAAAAAAACATAATAAATTGGAGGCTGGTAAAAACAGCCGTCTAGTTCTAAGATTGATTGAAGAGCATACAAAGGTTTGTGGTGGCACTTATCTTTGTTATCATAAACAATGCCAACTAATTTTTAGACTGTGTTTACTTCAACTAATACTCTAGTTACTCACTCTTGTTATGTCTTAGTTAAATCATGGAAATTCCATGTGCCAAGGAAGAACTTATAAACTGTCATCATGTCATCCTCAAATCATCTCCTATCAAGATATAATTAGATGTGTTTTCTAATGTTTTGCTATTCTTGAGACTCCTGTCTAAGCCTTCTCCAGTGTATTAGTATCTCTGGATTATGAAAACAGAGCTGGACTTGCGGCTGCTGTGTCATTTCTGCCAGACCAAATCTGCAGATGACTTGTTTCCTGTTTATAGGTGTGACCATTCTGTGGCAGGGGCAGACTCCTGCTGTCTCTCTTCCCACCACAGGGCAGCAACGTACATCAAACAGCAACACAATATCTATACTCGGGTGCACACAGAGCCGGTGCGCTCGGCCCACGCCGCAGCTGTGCCAGGGAAAGCCGTGCTCCTGGGGGAGGGCACCCACGGGAGCTCAAATCACTGATAGGGATGGGATGGTGGTGACCGTGGTCCACATCTGTATCACACATAGATAGCTTCGTCTAGGCCAAGGGAGAAGCACAAAGCTCCAGCGCTGCCTCCTGTGTGGAGGTCTTTGGAGCATCTTCCCCAAAGCTTGCTTCACCCATCCAGGGTTGTGTTGGTCTGAGCTAGTGTGGACCACCAGGTGAGATAATGCCATTGGTGTTTTCATCCAGCCTTTATCCTTTTCATCTGCTATTGCTGCTTCCTTTCCCGTGTTCCTTCTGGCTGCTCATCCACACAATCAATTTACTTCATCATGCTACCTTTGGGTCAGGTCCTTGATCTCTAGGCAAGCACTGATTACTTTTTTCCACCAGCCACGACTCTTGAGTTCCCATGATTTCAGCCAAAAGCTGAAAAGATTCCAAGGTAGATACTTGGCTGTGGTGCTATGGGAGGGCCACGGGGATCTCTTCACACATTGCACATGCACATCTTAGATTTCTTTCACCGAAGCATAACATTGTCATGTTTCCCAGGCAGACTTGCCTCCCGTAATTGTCTTCTGCTTTTGCCTGAAGAAGTGTCGCTTTATAATGATTGTGCCAAGATGAGAAAAATATTTGACCATACCTGGAAAATCTCTTCCAGTCACCAGTACTCTTAGTGCTGGTCAGCAGATCATTTCTGTGGTGGTTTTTATGGGAGAAGAGGTGGAGATTAAATCCCTGATCACAGTATTAAATTGTGAGTCTTGGCCCTGCAGTCACTGCAGATGCTCATTTAAGTAGCTTCTGCGCTGGCTCCTCAGCAGTACCAGATCTGAACATTTCATCTCTTTGGTAGAGGTGCTGTATTGTTTGCACTTGGTTCTCCACAATCTGTAAAAGGCATTATGAAGTGTGACTTACTGACTTTCCTGCTTTTGGAAAAATAATGACTTAAGTTAATTTCTGAGGCAATTTTTTTATGATGACGTTGCATTCCTAACATGTATTTACTGTTAACTTTGAAAAATTAAGCTTTAAAATTATGTGTTTCTCTAGGAAGAGAGGAATCTTGTCTTTGTCAACATTCACAGGAGCTTTGGTATAGCTGGGCAGCAGCTCTGGGGAAAGTCTAAAACACTGCCTGTTTTCTGCTGCTCTGAGTTGATCTAATTAAAAAAAAAAAAAAAGTTTAAAACCCAATCAAACAAAAAAGGCTAACTTTGCTTACAAATCCCAGTCTTGCTAGTATCACTAAATTCAACAGCTGCAGTGACAGTTCCACGTGGGAACTGTGATACTGTTCTCAGCAGGATTTTACCTAGAAACCTTAATACAGTGACTTTGTGGGTTTTTTTTCCAAATCCTGCAGTTGTTTATGGCAGATGCAGAGAGAGGAAACAAATTTTAGAATTGAAACCTGACAGCATTTCTTAGAAATAAGGTGGTTTGCTTTATGCTAAGTATTCTACAGCTGGGACACCATTAATAGCAATTTTTGTGGAAAGTGCGTACTGGTCTTGTAATTTTCATGTTCCCAGAATGATGATGTTGGGAATTACAGAATGATGTTGCACCCTTTAGAACAGTGGTGTAAGCAAAATGGTTTCCCAGTTTCTAATGAACATTAAAACACCTACTGAGTGACAAGATGTTGTCCAGCAACAGGATGGGTATTGAGTCATTATGAGGGTGGTGGGGTTGACGTGAGCAGCTGCATGGCCATGTGTGAAGGCGGCCTGCGATTGAGCACTGGTCTTAATGGTGAGTGTTCACTTTGGCAGAGGTGTGAGCTTTCAAATCTTGTTTTGCATTGTTCCTGGGTGCTTTATGAAAATGGTAATTGCTTCAGCGTAGCTCGTATGAAGCCCATTGACGAAATGATGTGCCGCTAACTGCACCCGGTTGCTTCATAACACAAACAGCTTTCTAATATTCATTTGTTTTATTTATATTTAGGACAAGTTCCAGGCCCACCTCGCCAGAAACACATGAAAAAGTGATGATAACACTTCTGAAGTCTGTACTGTGAACCTCTCCGAGTTATTGCTTCCTTCAGAGTTGGTCCATGCCGAAGGGAGGCAGTTGTGATCTCTTCTGCAACTGAATAATGGGCAGTGCTTTTGCGTCCGATTTTTATATGACTCTTTTTATTATATTTTAGTACTGTAAGAGGAAATAACTTTTAATTAAGAACAATATTTTACATTCTTGTGTGAAATTACTACTACGTTAACAGCTGAAGTGTGCCTGCATCACTGTGTTGTAAGTTGCAAAGTGTCCCTTTGGTGTTTATTTTTCTATAGTGTATAGCTGGATTCCTTGTAAAAAAAGTAATTAAAATGGCATTTTATTAATGAATTATTACTTTGTGTGGTTATTTGTTTCCACCTTACTTATTTTGGCTGTTATTAAAATTGTTTGGGTTTTAATAGGATCGTTCTGACTAACAAAACAGCTAAAACACTGTCCCAAATATCAAAGATATAAACAGCCTTCTGTGAATTTAGGATTTGCTCTTCTGGTTTTACAATAAATAAGCCGTCCCTCAGTCTTTCTCACCACACTCCCATTCAGTGTCAAGCTGCTGCTCCTTCAGCTCTTCTGCGATTGAGCTGTGCGTGCATGATCCATTTGGTCTGACTGAATTCATGGAATATAGTCAATCTGTGCCTGCTTGGGAAGTCAAATGCATGTTAGATTTTCCTCCAGTGTGACCTTCACTGATCAGACTGATCTGTCCAGCCATGAACTTGACTCAGTATCAGAGCTGTCCTTCAGTTTGCTTTGGTCTCCCCTCTGGGGAGAGGGAAGAACAGAGCTTTTGGGGGAAAAGATCTCGATGTTCAACATAGGGTATTTCCATACAGTACAAGATGTCTGCCCTTACTGCACGGCGGGTTTGTCCTGTCTGGTGTGTCCCCTCCACCCCGCTTCAAGTAACGGTTTGGGCAGGGGTGTGAGCTGATGCAGGCAGGACACAGGAAGAACCACAAACCACAGATGAAAGGCAAAGAACAAATTTAATCTCAGCACCTCATGGATCGGGGAACCTCTGAAGCAGCAGCACCTGGGCAGAGGCAGGCAGGGGATGGAGGCACCGCAGAGTGAGATGGAGTCCTTATTGACAAGAGAGTCCTTGTTAGAAAGGGAGGGAGAGAGCGAGAGAGCTCACACTTGCTGTTTGGGGCTGTATTTCAAGGATTCTGGCAGAGCTGGGCTTTGATCTCTTCAACAGCAGGGCAGGAATCTTGGGTGTGCTCAATAAGGTGTCCCTGAGTCCATCCCAGGCCTACATTATGTAAGTGCAGATGTTCTACTTGTTGAGTGTTATCCTATAATGGGTAACAAGCCCTTTCAGAAGGGGAGATCTTAAAGAAATCTCCTTTAGGTTGCATATTGAAACACTGGAAACAAGTAGGAGGGGACGCCCTCATGGGGAAACAACTGATTGAGTATTGTAATAATTGGTGGCTGTTCTATATTTTAGAAGATCAAGAAAAATGGCCAAGGAATGGGACGTTAAAATATAATACAATTTTACATCTTAAGTTATTTTGGTGGGATGAAGTACCATATGTAGATTTGTTTTTCACTTTAGGAAACCACCCAGAGTGGCAGAAGGATTGTGGGCAAACTCCACAGGACCCTATGGTCCTGGCACTGGAAAAAGAAAGGGGGAATAAAAACCTGAGGAGATGTTGTTCTGCATGTAGCATTGGGAAAATACATCTCAAACGTGAGAGGGAGGAGGATGATTTAGTGTTAATGGTGGCCCCAAGACAAAGGGGAAGAGGATTTGGGCCAGGAGGATGGGGGAAAGGCAAGAGGAAGCCACAGCCGGGAAGGGGAAGGGCAGTTTGAGGGGGCAGAGGGATTTAGCCCAATTGCAGGCAGAACCAGGGGTAGACAGGAGGGGGTTATTCAGGTTCCATTGAGACAAGGAGTCAGAAATAACAGTCCGGTAACAGTAAAGGTACTGTCCTCAATAACGAACCTGTGGCCATGGAAGGAAACAGCAGGAGTTTATAGGGAAGATCTGGAGAAAGTGGCTAAGATATCTGAGACTATTATTAGAACCCAGGACTCCGACTGGAATGATCTGCAGGTGATTTTGGAAACATTACTGGACAGCACAGAGAAAAGCATGGTATTGAGTGTAGCCTGGAAACGGGCAGAGGGGACACATGCGTTACGGGGACCTGCAGGGAATGGTACATCAGAATTTTCCTACTACCATCCTGGGGTGGGACCCTAATCAACTGGGACCCTGGGGACTCTTAACCAGATACCAGAGATGGTTGCTATTCAGAATAAGACATGCTATGCCAAAAGCAGTTAATCAGTCAAAATTGTCTTTATGGAATGGCTAAAGAATACTGCTGGGACACTTACGAACTTGGACCCCAAGAAGCCGGAAGAGAATGTGCAATTAGCCTATATTTTTATGGGACAATCTGCCCCAGATAAACGGAAGAAACTCCAAAAGTTAGAAGGAGCAGATTCGAGGGATCTGGGAAAACTGTTGGAGGTGGTTTGGATGGTCTATAATAACAGAGAAAAGGAGAAGGAGACCCACCAGGCCTGCAGGGAGAATCAAAGAGAGGGGAGATTCATTGCCACATTGACTGGAGTTGCTCTGGGAAGAGTGAATGGGGCCTGGGGAGGTAGAGGAGGCTACAGAGGAATTGGGAGCGGGAGGGGAACTCATTTGGTAAAATTCTACTGATTCTCTATTTAATATTTGTAAAAGCAGCCTTGACTGTGAGACTGTAAGTGGTGTTGGTGCTATGGGAAAACAGCAAAACTGGCCCTTTTTGAGACCTCTAAGATTCAAATTGGGAAAGCAGTGGATGGTTCACCAAATTGGTGAATATATATGCCTGAATGTCCAGTGCCCCTCATGGGGAGGGATTTGTTGAGTAAATTGGATGCACAAATACTTATAAGGAAGGACAAGTAAAACTGTTGATACCAGAATCAAAGGCTGTGAGAGCGGGGATTTTTATGTTACAGACTGTTCAGTGGAGGTGGGAGGAAATTCCAGCAGAGGTGGAGGATGCAGTGACACCTCTGTCTGGGCCAACAAAGTTCCAGGACAATCAGAACTGGCAGGTCCGGCAAAGATCATTCTGAAACCAGGACCCAGAGGGGTAAGGCAAAACCAGCATCCTATCAAACCGGAAGGAAGAAAAGGTTTAGAAGGGTTAATGACAAAATTTTAAAAATTTTGGTAGAATGGGAGTCAGAATATAATGCTCCGATTTTGCCAGTGAAAAAGCAGAATGGTACAGATTATAGGTTAGTTCAGGATTTAAGAGCTGTAAAACAGATTACCCAAGATATACATCTAGTAGTAGCCAACACATACACCGTGTTAACATCTCTGAGAGGAATATAAGCAGTTTATGGTCCTTGATCTTAAGGATGCTTTCTTCTGCACACTGCTGGATAAAAGTTGCCAGATGATATTTGCTTTTGAATGGGAAAGTCCTTCAACCGGATGCAAAATGCAACTCACCTGGACTGTATTGTGCCAAGGGTTCAAGAATAGTCCAACAATATTTGGAAATCAATTGGCAAAATATTGCAGTACGAGGATGACATCATTCTAGTGGCAGCAGAACCCAACAAAACTGTTTAGAGATTATTCTAGGCCTACTGAATTTCTTGGGCCATGGGTCTTACTGCGTGTCTAAAGGGAAGGCCCTGGTAGGAAAAGAAGTAGTAATCTGTTTGGGATTTGAGATTCTAAGAGGACAACAAAGATTAGGAACTGACAGAAAGGAGGCAGTCTGTCAAACTCCAGAGCCTAGAACTGTTTGGGACCTGAGAGAATTCCTGGGTACAACTGGATGGTGTCGGTTGTGGACACCCAGTCATGGACTATTGGTAAAGCCCCTGCATGAAGGGGGATCTACAGAGAAGCATTTACTGACTCATTGCATTCAGTGTCAAACAATGTTCAGAGAACTGAAGAAAGCATTGATGTCAGGCCCTGCACTGGGATCATCAGATTTACCCAAGCCCTTTGAACTGTTCATGTACAAGCACCAACATCTCACCTTGGGAGTGCTGGTTCAAAAGCTGGGGCCTTGAAAATGACTGGTGGGGTATTTTTCTAAACAATTGGACAACGTGAACCAGAGGTGGCCTGGGTGTGAATCGTAGTCACTGTACTCTTGATCTAGGAGGCCAGGAAGCTAGCTCTCAGACAGAAGATCACTATGTTTGTCCCACGCAGTCCTCCATCCTGGAACAAAACGGGGGACACTGGCTATCACCAAGCCGTGTGCTCAAAAATCAAATTGTTTTATTGGACCGAGATGTGGAGCTGAAAACCACCACCGCCCAAAATCCAGCTATGTTTCTGAGTTCTGAGGTGAAAGATGATGAGCAATTAAATAATGACTGCTTGCAAAATATTGAGCAGGTGTATTCCAGCAGAGAAGACCTCAAGGATGAACTACTGTGTAATCCAGAATTAGAGCTGTTCAAAGATGGGAGCAGTTTAGCTCGAGAAGGGAAATGGATGGCTGGATACGCAGTTGTCACAACTACAGGGGGTAATAAAAGTGGAGGCCCTGCCCATAAGGCAGAACTGATTGCGTTACAACAAGCCCTGAAGATAGCCGAAGGAAAAAGAGTCAACATCTGGACAGGCTCCAAATATGCGTTTGGAGTGGTACATGCTCATGGGGTGATCTGGAAAGAGAGGGAATTATTATTAGCTCAGGGATCACCAATTAAACATAAGGAAGAAATTTTGCAACTTCTTCAGGATGTGCAAAAACCCAAAAAAATGGCAATAACGCATTGCAAATCTTACCAGCTGTCATGGTTTGGCCTCAGACGGTGACAAAGAAACCTGTTGGATGCCGTGCTCTCTCAAGCCCCACCCCGGCCCCGGCCCTGAGGGGAGAATCGGAAGAAAAAGGCAAAAACTCGTGGGTTGGGACAAAGGTAGTAATCTATAGGTTGAACCAGGTCCTAGGAATTCAATGGGATCTACACACACCATAGACACTGCAATCAAGTGGGTAGGTAGAAAGGATGACTCAAACTTTGAAATGACAGATAAGCAAGATATGCCAGGAGACTTCTATGAAATGGCCAGAGGCACTCCCATTAGCACTTTAAGGGTTAGGATACAACCAGGGTCTAATAATCCCAAATTTTAATACACCTGAGAGTCAGAATAAACGTAACAAACATGTTAAACAATCAGCCCATCAGCTGGATGACACTTATGAGTCTGAAATAATGCTTTTTAGTCCAGCTGAAATCTCAGCAACAGCCTTTTTAGCCCTGGGAGTTGGAGTTGCAATGAATTATCAGACAATGAAGACTGTGCCTTAGTG